GTATGACGCAACCGTGAATCGAACCACTCACCTTGAATCAGGAGACCTCTATCCACTACACCACAGAGTTGTCCTCGAACACTCCAGGCAGACCGAGTGGGATAACCGGAACTTGAACAGCCAACTAGTCCACCAGTTTTACTTTTAATATGATATGGAAACGAAATATTCTACCATGACTTCAGTAAATACTGGATTGTGATTGGTTAATCAAAGTCATTCACAGGTATATAATCACGTTAAATATCTCTCATTTTCCAACACAGTATGTATTTTTTAAAATCTTAATGATGCGGTTATGGTAGAATGGAGATAAACATACTGTGTCAGAAGTGTATAACGAAATTATAATAGCTCTAAATTGTTTTTTAAAACCTGATTTTTCCAAAACAGTATGTTTATCTCCTAAATATGTTGTTTCAAAGTCTGCATCACACGGGGAGACTAATATGTTTCAGAAAATCAGTGGAAATTCAAATCTGAAGTGCTCAAAGGACGGTGGGGTAGCCGGGTCAAGGTTACTCCGCCACCCCTATTTCGGTTCGAGGAGAGAAACGATGAAAAAGAATCTCAAATTAGGACATTACAAATGTTGACAACAAATTGTTATCATATAAAGTACACAAGACCTTTTTCAAAATCTACAAATGTCTGTTGATATTTGCACACATCACATTAACAAGAGCAATGTCTGGAGCCGCGATAATTTCAGGTGCCACTTCAGTTTCGAAGTGGATAGATACTTTTTTCAACGGTCTGTTTCCAGCTTTGTAAACGTCGAACAAATATTGACCCCCAGTTTAGTTTGTTGAATCAAGGAGTTATCATGCCATTTGTGTATGTATATACACTCGGATATAAAGTGTAATTCAGTAGTCTTTACTGAACCTCAATGCTCTCAGTTCAAGGGCGTAGCTGAAAATAGAACTTCGATATATATGCAAACCCTGGACATATTATCTAGGGCTCACATTTAGGTAAACACTAAACTATTAAGCTGCCATCGGGCCCCCCAGGCTTTAGAGTCTGCAGGCCCTCACTAACTCTGCTTGCCTTCAAAGGCAGCTTATCGGACAAATAGTTCGAGGTCATAACGACCCAAGCACATATGAAACTACAGTAACTGGCCCAAGAAGAGATTTACATGCCACGGGCAGGTACTTATTTCGAGATCTGGGTAACGGTCCTCATGTTTGAGGAGCTTGGTTATTTTATGCAACTTCCTCAACATTTATGTACAAAATCAATGACCCCCGCCCTCCCTTTCCCATAATTTCCATAGAATCGGTTAGACTTCTGCTTTAGAAATACAACCCATATCAACAGATACCCCCTACATGTCATGTGCTTCGGTAAACCTGCACTATAACCTGGAGATATACATAGAGGTTGCCCGACATGTGGCTGGTATATATTACTGTATAGAACCTCTACATCGCCAGGGCTCCCATCTTGGTAAACATACAGTAACGGGGGTTATATGTATTGTATACATAATTTCTCAATTCTCGATGCTAACTTCGAGTTAATATTTACCTCAGCGAACTCATTGACGAAGAGAGTGCGACATTTCATTTTCTCGCATTCCCGCGATTTCGTGTTTTTGTGGCCTTATCTGACAAGTCGAGATTGCGAGATTTGACAGTATGTACAAATGTCGTATTCTCGCGTTGTCGACTTTTGACAAAAAGTGCTATGTACCAAAAACACGAGAATGCGAGAACGCGAGATTTTGGCCAAATCTGGCGATCTCGCATTCTCGCACTTTTAGCATTTTTAGCTTGTTTCCAAAGGTCGAGAACGCGAGAATGCGAGATCGCGAGAATGTCCCTTACAGTATTCCATATACTAGTAGATCACAGACAGGCCATGAAACAGATACTTGATGTGGACAAATCAATTAATTCTGAGGTCGATCTCTTTGTTTATGGACCCCTATCTCGATGGGTTGGTGGAGTCCAATCACCACTGGGCTACCCCACCAAAAAGATGTTAGAAGATGGTTGTTGTAGTTACCCTGTCTGGAACTCGGCATTAAAATGATAAAATCGGAGTCATCATACTGTGTCTGAGTGAGGTAATCATGCTTAACTACGGCATGGTATCTCAAGGGGCTCACTATAACATAAGCACTAGCCCGGACTAGCCCGACACCCTAACACACATGACGCAACGTTCGACCACATCATCACCATGATCACGTATTACCTGTAAGTGACAAGCGCAATATCCAAAAACACCTTGCTTTGTGAGACAGGTCCGAAATGTTGAAGCTGTCTGGGGGTGCTTTCGACTGCTGAAATTTGAGTCAGATGAGATACGCACATGTCTGTTCAACCATACCGGGTTGACTATATTCAATCCTAGTTACCCTGACTTTTTATCAAGGAGACTGTGGACAGTATTCTAAATAAAACATATGACTGCAACTTCGGATGTAATGAACATTTTAACTATTGGAATCTGACCGTTGAAAATAAAAATACATGACTGGCTTTCGGTCTCGTCTCAGCATAGGAAATGAGTATGAATAAAGATGTGGTGGCGCGTGGTCCTGTGGCGCGTGGTCCTGTGGCGCGTGGTCCTGTGCTCAAAGCTCAGGTCACAAATCGGTGAAGTTCAGCAGCGTTGAGCTCGGAGAGTCCTTGGATGGGTGACCGTGTTTGGCAGCTTGACTCCTGAGAGTTTCTAGGACTTGAGTCCTGCCCCACAACGAAGCACATGTGACACATGTGGTCTCACCTTAGCCAAGTGAGTTTGTTCAAAATTGTCTCTGTTCACCCAGCAGGAAAATGGGTACCCGGTGGAAAAAGTCATATGACTATAACCTCCAAGCGCCTAACAGGCAGCTTGGGTTATCCGGGGTAATAATGTGTTGTGCCTTGATTGTTAGCGCTATGAGCATACCTAGTGTGGAGTTTGGCGCTATATAAATGGACACATTATTATTATAATTATAAAGATCATTATGTGTTGAGTGACAATAGTCGTTTATTATCATTTAGGCATCAGTTCTCATTCAGCACGTCGGCTCCGTCTGCCGGCGAACGAGAACAAATCAGGTTCTATCCGGATATAATTGGTCTTCAGCAACTCAAGCTTGTCGTAATCGATCCAGTAATCAGGTTCGCTGACTTGGTTGACACACGTTATCGTACCCGAAATGCGTAGGTCGATGCTCATGCTGTCAATCACTGGATAATCTGGTCCAGACTCAATTATTTACAGTCCACCGCCATGTAGCTGTAATATGGCTGAGGGCGGCGTTAAACCGAACAAACAGGTTCGACCAATCTTTCATATCGATTACTGTTATTCAAACCAACCATCAGTACCATGCTGTGTAAGGTGGGGTTTAACATCGTACTTGAGAATATATGATGACGTGCATGCGTGTGTATGTGTATGTGCGGCTGCTTGTACTAGCCCAGACTGAAGCTGGTTTTATAGTGCTAACCCACTGAGATACCATGCCGCAGTAAAGCATGAATACCCCACTCAGACACATTATACTGACTCCGAGCCGACCAGTCCTTGTTGTACCTATTAATGCCGAGCGCCAGGCTGGGACAAACAAGTACCATATTTTAACGTCTTTTGGTATGACGCGGCCGGGAATCTAACCCGCGATCTTCTGCTGTAACCACTACACCACGGAGGCGGTACCATGCAGCTAAAAGTGAATGATAATTGTTTAATGCCACTTTTGCCAATTTCCAACAACATCGACACCATCGACACCGCAGCCCAGTACTTATACCAGAGGCCCGTTCCACAAAATGACCACAGCATCACGATCGCTTCGATCGCTTTTTGAAACCGTGCCTTCCCTATTAACTGTGGTATAAGTAGTATCAAATGCTCTGTGGTGTATGCCTGTGATAACATTGATGTTGACATGTAAATTTCGCTGCTGAGATTCTTTGGTTGCAAGAAAAAGTTCCCTCGGGTTAAAACACTCTTTCCGATCTTAATTTTCTATATATGGCCTTCAAAGTCAGTGAAACGCCACAGCCATCGATGTGCATTCCGGGAACAGGACAATCGGTACGAACCTCCGCGGGTATGGATCGTCTAGTACCCTGTATTGTACAACACACAACTGTGAAAGCTTAACAAGTGTTTAGTGATCGACAAGCCTGTAATGACAGCATTTCTTTTTAATGAATGTTAAGCCACATATATCCTTAATTTTATCATCAAAATTACATAACATTAGTACAAATATGTAATATAATGTTACACATTGTGTCATAGCGGAAAAATACCCTCAGTGACCCATGTTTTTTATACTTATTTTTATGGCAAAACATGTTGTCATTAACATACCGGAATTTAGAAAACAAGTTTAATACTAGAAATTATGAAAATGAGGGATCATGTCAGAACTTTGCTGATTTTCCCATAGACTCCCATGTTAAAAGTCTTGGCTAGCCAAGGATTCTTCAAGACTCCATATCTCCAGAAAACCCACAGTACCCACTCCTTTTCTGGGCTTTTTTTACAAAGACAAACGTCATACTTTAAAAACATACCAATTAGAAAAAAAGTTTAATACTATTTATATTACCAGCGAACTTCCTTAAATAGACTTGTATAGACTTGTATAGCCTTAAATAGACTTGTCTCAAAATATACATAAATTGTACAGAAACAAACAATTCATTTAAAAGTGAAAAGAGCACAAGTGAAATGGAGATTCAGAACCTGAGGAAATCTAGACTTTCTTCATTTAGGGCTTTAGCACAGAAGGGGAAATAATGACAAAGAGGTTTCAGGGACTGTGAGGCAGACTACAGGTCGACGGACAAGTCACAGTAGAAGAAACTCCCAAATGATTTAAACATGACAGCTAATGTACGTTTTTAAAAAATAAACAACAAATTCATCATCTTTTAGTTTCGCAACCAAGTTGTGAATGAATGTTGACGTTCGCGTTCTCAAACTTTCTAGCGGCTAATATCATTAAGCAATAAGTTGAATAGAGTGGTCTCCCTTAGGACGATCAACGACTGACAGTTCGTCGCCATTTGGAGTATGTTTTCTGAGTCTGTTAATATGTTATCTCTTTGAATGAAAGTGATAATGGCGAGCGGACCATGTTACAGCCTGAGGGGGTCCAAAAGTCAAAACAATTCAATGTTTCACGTGGTTGTTGTCTTCGAACACTTGACTGTTGGACCCCTCTCGCGACTCGCGTCTGCGGTGATTGTTTGTGTTGAGAACACTACTACCAGCCTTAGTTATGAAATATGACCGGCTAAATAGTTTTGAACAGACAGCACTGACCACAGTTAGGCGATCATAGTGTTCGGACGCCAGTGCTTATTCGTCCTAAAACGAGGGGTGTCGTGCCAGCCAGTGTAAATTCTTCAGTGATAGAGAGTGTAGATCTACAGGATAAAGTTAACTTTTATAAGTTAGTGAAATGTTTTATATTTTTTAACCGTGCGATTAGAATTAAGAAAAAAACCCCGAATTTTTCTAATGTGTCCCAAAACCCATAATTCAAGGATATTTAGTGGGAAATGAATTTTTAAGGAAGAAGGTTGTTTATGAGGTCACTGTGTGTGTATACTCTGTACTGTGTGGTGTGAAACAATGGTAACTATTAAAAGATGAGTCAAATTAAATTGAAAAACATAAGTAAGTTTACCAAAAATTGAATCTTTAATAGTTGTCATAGTCATGTTTTATCATCATAGTCATATAACTAGATCTAACAACAGAAAATATGGGTACATCCAAGCCATTAAATGCAGTATTGTTTCATTTAAAACAAAAGTAGAAGAAGCTGCCCTTATTTTTCTGTATAAACTGACAGTCCACATTCAAATGGAAATGATTTCCTTCTTTTAACTTGACAGCATGCCCCTAATCAAGTGTTTTGTTTTGGCTCACTGAAAAAAAGTGAATATCTGGTAAAGGCCACAAATTTGACTGAAACACCAAGCCACCATGGCTTCCACAATAATGGAAGTCTGACAACTGGTAGTCTAGATCACTTACTTTGTCTAGCCCTCTGACAAGTGTAAATTGGCACAGCACAGCTATGGTCAAAGCTATGAATATGTATTTGTAGGTCACTGAAATCACTTAGTTCATATGCGGGTGATTAGAAGCCTTACTCTGTGAGTGTGAGTTTGAATCCTGAATGGGACTCGACATAAAAGGGCACTAAAATTTGTACTTTAGGCCAGACCAATTATAAAAGTAAAATACTTTTAGCATTTATATATTTTTTTAATATTTTTTTTCCCCTCCTGCCTTAAGGTTTTTTGAGTACAAAAATCTGTAAAACAAGAAATAAAATTGGTCTGGCCTTACTGAGAATATGTAATCCCAAATATAACATATACTACAAGTCTTACTATGCTGATAATGGGATTAACAGTTGAAGAATATGTTCATGCCATTGACACTAATATGATTGACACTTTTATTAAACTGGAAATCTGATCAGTGATTTTTAAAAACAATTAAAAGTACAAGATTGAATGTGATGGAAAAATCTACCCAAACACATGCCTAAAGATATGGTTTTTAATAGTTGAACATGATTCAAATGAAGCTTACTTTTTTTTGCTTGTTTTTCAGGATTTGGACATGGATGCTTTGCATAAAGCTGTATGTGCTGGGCAGATTGATGAAGTAAAGAAGCTGGTTGAGTCAGGTGTTGATTTCAACCATGTGCACGGCATGCAAGGAACAGCACTCTGTAATGCTATCGCCTCACATCAAACACACATCGCGGAGTATTTGGTCGGAGCTGGCTGTGACGTTAATGCTGTTGATTATGATGGAGAACCACCGTTGTTGCTGGCCTTAAGAAAAGAAAACGTAGCAGTTGCAAATATTTTAATTGACGATGAACTTTGTAATTTTAACAATGTCGACCCTGTGACAAAACAGACTGCTCTTTGCTTTGCTTCATCAAATGGGCTTGTCGACATTGTAGTGAAGTTGGTTGAAAGTGGTCATTGTGACGTGGTGAAATCTGATGCTGACAATAACACTGCGATGCATCTTGCTGTGCTGAAACAGCACCGTGATGTTCTGAAAATTCTGTCAAGAATCCCAGACCTGAAGACTCTGCGGAACAAGGGTGGACTCACGCCACTCCACATTGCTGCGCTGAATGGTGACCTTGAAACCTTAGAGCTGCTGTATCCTAGCAACACAGGAGCACAACATACTCTGATGGAGCCATTGTTTGGTAAAGTGGATTTTGAGACCAGCAGTAGACATCCAACAAAAGATCTGAGCATAAGAACTCGCTACACCAATGATACCCCATTGCACTATGCCGTGAGGGAGAGTCATCGAGGAATGGTGGAAGCTCTCATCAAAAGAGGTGTTGACATCAATGCTCAGAACAACGTGGCTCAGACACCATTGCTGATTGCATGTGGGAACAGTGACCTTGACATTGTCCTACACCTATTGGAAAACAGAGCGGAACCAAACACACCTGGTACACTCAGCAACATCACAGACTCTGTAAAAATTCTTTTGATGAGAGATCGGCAGATCACTCCACTGGGTGCAGCTGCATACTGTGATAACCTGCCTCTAGCCGAAACTCTGGTTCATCATGGGGCAGACATGAACCGGAAAGATGATCGAGGGCAGACCCCTCTCTTTGTTGCCTTCATTCAGAATTCTCCTGACACGGCCATGTTCTTGCTGTGCACGGCACTGGAACAAGCTGTTGACATCTCATCTCACAATTACTGTGGTGACACTCTGCTTCATGCGGTCGTCCGGTGCACAGAGAAAGCTTATGAGCTGGCGTGTTTCCTCATTGGATTGGGATGCCCAAAAGATGTCCGGAATCGTCTAGGTAACCTGCCAATCCATGAAGCTATTGCTCATGAGAATGAAGATGTAGTGCGAGCTATTGTAGATGAAGGTGGGGACATAACGGAGCTTGACAGAAGTGGGACATCGCCCATGCACTTGGCAGCCTTAGTAGGAAACATAGAAATTGCTAAAATTCTCTTATCTCATGGAGCAGACGTCAATGAACTGTCAGACTGTGGTAAGACCCCCTCTATTCATGGCTCTTGAATCAGAGATGGTGAATTTCGCTCAGTTCCTTGTCAGGAGTGGATGTAAGTTGACCATGGAGAGGTATTTGTACGAGGACTTTGACTTTGATCACAGTGATGACGAGGACATTCCAATGATTCTCCTGGAAGAGGAGGGCTTCCATGGATGGCTGAAGATACAAGCCAGAACACCACAGAGCCTACTGAGTCTCAGTCTGGAGAGTATCAGGGATGTGTACAGGAAACATCCAAACACCTTCATCAACATATCATCACTGCCACTTCCAGCAAAGCTGGTTGACAAAATTGTTGTACAGAGACGTTGAGGTAGAGGAGGATGTGTAGATCTGATATCACTTCCCACAAAGCTGACTGACAATCTGTTGTACAGAGGCTTGTGGTAGAGGAGGATATGTAGATCTGATATCACCTCCCACAGCTGATTGACAATAAGTTGTACAGAGACCTTGTCGTAAAGGAAAGATATAGATCTGGTATCAGTTCCTCCATGTTGAATTTTGCTTAAGAGTCCTATTTTCATAGAGCCTCTGGCTTTGAATGATTCTTCACAATCATTTTGTTACAAGTGTGATATTGTTTTTTTTGATTGGTTTGATGCTTTTATCATGTTTACCTTGTTGGACATTTACATTTGATGTGCTGTGATAAGTCCAGCATGCCTTATTAGGATATTTTGATCCGTTATTCATTTTCTATGTTCATTTGCAAAGATGCCAAATCCCTTCATTTGGTAAAGAATATCAGTCCATTGTCATGACTGTTACCAATAAGATCTATTTGAATTATGGTAACATGGTGCTTCCATATGTTTTTGTCTCACCGAGTCTTCCCACTTCCTGCCTTAAGTTTTATCACATGACAATTTAAAAACATGTTATTGAAACACGGTCATTGGTGATGTTACTTCTTTGATTGGCATTCTAGAAGTTTGGTAGATGAAGAATGAGGACTATTTTTATGACTAAAGAAGTTGTATATCCATAAAAATAGTCCTCATTCTTCATTGGTAATGTTAGTTACAATGACCTGCTCAGTTGTGACTTCGCATTACTGACTGCCACGGGCTAATTTGCATAATTTGTGACTAGACTTTTTCCTTGTTTGTAAACAATGGGTTTATCCTGAAATTAGAACCATCTGGCCTAGTTCAGACTCACAGATTGTTTTGATAAGACATTTGAGTGCAACAGTAAAAGTTTGAGCATGTAGAGCCGTTCATCCAATGTGTATAAAGGGTATTTCATAAATGGAAATACAGCTTTATGTTTCAGGATATTTTGTGATATTTTGTCTGAAAAGTAACCATTTCATAACATATGATATCTATATAGTTTGGACCGCCTCCGTGGTGTAGTGGTTAGAGCGTGCGCCCGGAGAGCGGAAGGTCGCGGGCTCGATCCCCGGCCACGTCATCCCAAAAGACGTTAAAATATGGTACTTGTTGGTCCCTGCCTGGCGCTCGGCATTAATGGGTACAACAAGGACTGGTCGGCTCGGAGTCAGTATAATGTGTCTGAGTGGGGTATTCATGCTTCACTGCGGCATGGTATCTCAGTGGGCTAGCACTATAAAACCAGCTTCAGTCTGGGCTAGTACAAGCAGCCGCATATACACATACACATACACACGCATGCATGTCGTCATATGAGCGAAATATTCTCAAGTTCGATGCTAAACCCAATTTCACCTTACCTCTATATAGTTTGGTAACAAAGGTTAATGGTTAACCACTTGTTGAATAGACTGTGTATTTGTTTGTTTTTAAATGCTGTACTCAGCAATATTCCAGCTATATGGTGTCAGTCTATAAATAATCGCGTCTGGACCAGACAATCCAGTGATCAACATCACGAGTGTCGATCTACACAACTGGGATATGATGACATGTCAACCAAGTCAGTAAGCCTGACCACCTGACCCCGTTAGTCGCCTCTTTTGCTGTCCAGTGGCAGGTTTTTTTGTTTTGTTTTGTTTCACTTTTTTTTTATTGGTTTCCAGGATTACAATGTCATATGTAGAACAGTGATGTACAGACAGATGGATGATGTACAGGTACTAGGGCTGTAATGAATACACTATGTTGCGAATATGATACGTATCACGAATATTGGGTAACGAATACGAATAATTATTCACGAATACAGTCTTGTAGTTGAGATGCACAATATTGATTGCCCATGTTGACAGTTTTGATTTGCCACAGCAATAACCAGTGATCTCATGACACTCAAATTTGGTATGTAATAGTTATAGTTGACAGTACCATGTGCGGCCTTGGCAAACTAACATGACTTGCGCTACAAGGCTAGTGCATAATGCATTCTTGCATATCTCATATTGAAAAAGGACAAAGGGGTTCAAGTAAAACATACTCCATAAAGTTTTTTGTAAATATTCATGAATATTCGGTTCTGGTGACCACGAATAACGAATTGAATTCATGAAGGGCTACGGTTCGATTCACCGAATATGCGAGTGAATCGTAACAGCCTTAACAGGTACTATGTCAATATCATGTTAATACACATATATAAGTCAATAAAAGAGAAATATGACCTCAGGTAAATTGGATACATTTTAAATTCATCAAAGTACTGGGAAGAGAAGACCCCATTTATGATTGAAATGTTCTATTTTATTATTTCTTTTGCATATATGGTTTTCCACAAAGAATATTTCTTTCAAAGATTTTATAAATAGTTATGTTTGGATGCATATTCTTAATACTGCATACGTAAATGTGTCTTTTTGCTGCTATGATGATGTGATTTAGTAATATATTATGATGTAGAGTACCAAACCAAACCGTATGTTTTGATAATAGCAATGGATGAGGGTATAAATTGTTATGCCTTTGTAGGTTCCAGTGGCAGGGTTACCAGGTTGACAGCAGGGAAATCTGAGTAGGAGAGTCTGTACCTCCATCTCAGTCTCCTGAATGATGTTTTGTGTTGTGATTGTAGAGTCTACCTACAATATTATATCCCTGGTGAGAATAATCCTCACGAAGCTTCAGGAGGAAGAAAGGAAAATAGTATAAACATTGCCTTTGTGCCTTAAATAATGTGTGTCATATGTCAAGGGGGAAGAACAGACAGTTATATTCAGACTTAAGGAAATGCGTTGACTTTGCACAATCTGATGTCAGCAAATGTTAGATGACAGATTAATTTGTCATGGCCTGTTACAATGATTTGAATCCTCTCAACTCCGTCCTATTTCTCTGTCCTCATCAGCTTAAGAGGATGGGGACGTACCACAGCAGTATGTACATGTTGTGTAGCTAGCATGGACTTTTGTTGTGTTTTGCCGTGCTGCATTGACATCTTTGTGCCAAATGTATTAAAAGTTTATTTTATAAAAAGTTGTGAATTATTTTGGGTAATTATCAACACAATTCCTCTGTGTGGATCAGGACTTGTGGTGCTGCCATAACAGTCTCCTTATGAGGAATGTAGTGTTGAAATGATTAAATCCACCTGGAGCCACTATGTGTAGGGGAATGTGGTGTTGCCATGGTTATACTCCACCTGGAGCCACTGTGTGGGAGAATGTGGTGTTGCCATGGTTATAATCCACCTGGAGCCACTGTGTGGGAGAATGTGGTGTTGCCATGGTTATACTCCACCTGGAGCCACTGTGTGGGAGAATGTGGTGTTGCCATGGTTATAATCCACCTGGAGTCACTATGTGTGGGAGAATGTGGTGTTTCCATGGCTATAATCCACCTGGAGCCACTGTGTGGGAGAGTGTGGTGTTTCCATGGCTATAATCCACCTGAAGCCACTATGTGTGGGAGAGTGTGGTGTTGCCATGGTTATAATCCACCTGGAGCCACTGTGGGAGAATGTGGTGTTGCCATGGTTATAATCCGCCTGAAGCCACTGTGTGGGAGAGTGTGGTGTTGCCATGGTTATAAACCACCTGAAGCCACTGTTTGGGAGAGCGTGGTGTTGCCATGGTTTTAATCCGCCTGAAGCCACTGTACGGGAGAGTGTGGTGTTGCCATGGTTATAATCTGCCTCAAGCCACGCTGTGGGAGAGTGTGATGTTGCCATGGTTATAATCCGCCTGAAGCCACTGTGTAGGAGAATGTTGTGTTGCCATGGTTATAATCAACCTGGAGCCACTGTGTGTGAGAATGTGTTGTTGCCATGGTTATAACCCATCTGGAGCCATTGTGTGGGAGAATGTGGTGTCGCCATGGTTATAATCAACCTGGAGCCACTGTGTGTGTGAATGTGGTGTTTCCATGGTTATATAATCCATCTGGAGCCACTGTGTGGGAGAGTGTGGTATTGCCATGGTATCAATCATCCTTGGTACTTGGTACTGGAACTTTCTTGCAACTATCTTGACAAGGTACATATCACCTGCTTGATGTTCCCCAAGTTAACTGGATTAAAACAGACAACACACGCTGAATGTCTTTAATTTTATTGCAGTGTCTATCACCACTGACACACAAATAGCCTTTATGGAAGGTAATTGCATATCAACCAATGAAAGATATCTTACATGGAGCTGTTTCTGTGTACATTAATATTTAATACATATGGAAAGATGCACTGGCTTGTGGAATGCTGAAAGTGATTTTGAATCACAGATTTGTCATCAACAAAGCTTCATTGATACTGACATGATAAAACCACGAATATCACAGATAAAGTTTGCTTCAAATGATGCTAAGCCTCTGGCTCATTAATCTCCAGCCATGTTTTGCCAGGATCTTGCAGTCGACAGAACACACATAGAGTCACATCGCGGAAGTTGTCCAGCTGAGCTATTGAGAAGGGCTTGCCACATGAAGAACACTGAAACATAATAATAATCACTATATTATCACTGACCATTACTACCTCCTGCCAAGAGGTGCTAGCTACTTTTGTCATGTGTCTCAGATAAGACTGACTGACTGAGTTTGGTTTTACGCCGCTTTTAGCAATATTCCAGCAATATCACGTCAGGGGACACCAGAAATGGGCTTCACTCATTGTACCATGGCAACCCCACCGCCCCATCTCAGATAAGAGGGGCGGTGGGGTAGTCTACTGGTAAAAGCGTTCGCTTGTCACGCCGAAGGCATGGGTACCATTCCCCACATGGTTACAACGTGTGAAGCCCATTTCTGGTGTCCCCCGCAGTGATATTGCTGGAATATTGCTAAAAGCGGCGTAAAAACCAAACTCACTCAGATAAGATGCTATCATGTCTCTTGAGTGATTAAACATTTAACATCACATAAGCGTCAATTTCTGTGGACAGAAACCCAGGCAACCATGTGACATGAAGCATCCTTCAGGGTACCCATCTATCACCACGTTTCACCATTATGTTTGTTGTGGGTACAAACACATTCACAATTTCCCAAGATTTACATTGATGAAAAGATGATTAAAACCGTTACTTAAAGAATTTAGACATTAAGTTTATTATTAACTCCTTATTTCCTTGTTATTTTCTTTACTTTTCAAAAAAGAAATCATATATTTCTTGAATTAAAAGGATATATTATGAAATGAAATATTTTTGGATACCAAGACCTAAAGGAGTGTAGCCATATTAGCCATGCCATATGGAGTTCTGCTGTCCTACCTTGATGACCTTGAGGCCAATGGACCTTCTGTTCTCGAGGACAACAGGGATCTTGTCGGTGTCCTCAACATTCCACAGCCGGACAGTCTCGTCCTACAAATCATACATTGGGGTCAGTTGCACTACGCTAAAGTAGAGGGGAGTAAATACTTAGAGGTGTTCTGGTGATTCCATTTTATCAAATGCTGATCGGTAGATCTACAAGTACAATCTGTCAAAAAACATTTCCAAAGATAATGTTGTTTAGAAAAAGTATGCGAAAAATGCAGACTTTTCCATCAGACAAGCACAGAAGAACATCGTCTCACTTGCAGCTCTACAAATACCTTTGAGGTGAGGTGAAATTGGGTTTAACGTCGTGCTTGAGAATATTTCGCTCATATGACGATGTGTATGCGTGTGTATGTGTATGTGCAGCTGCTTGTACCAGCCCAGACTTAAGCTGGTTTTATAGTGCTAGCCCACTGAGATACCATGCCGCAGTGAAGCATGAATACCCCACTCAGACACATTATACTGACTCCGAGCCGACCAGTCCTTGTACCCATTAATGCCGAGCGCCAGGCTGGGACCAACAAGTACCTTATTTTAACGTCTTTTGGTATGACACGGTCGGGGATCGAGCCCACGTTCTTCCGTTCTCCGGGCGGACGCTCTAATCACTACACCACGGAGGCGGTTAATACCTTTGAGCAAGAAAGAAGCCACTTCTGGTCATCGCTGAAGCAGACGTCATTCACCCAGTCTGTGTGTCCCTGTTGGGTTGAAGAGTATTAAACACTACAACATGCATATCAGCTTTGTTTTGTTACATAAATTATTTCATGTGATAGAGAAGAGGGAGTTGTTAAGAAAGGGAGATGGGTATAATACTGGTTTGAACAGTATTTCAGTTAATTACAGGGCGTCAGTTTAATATAAGGCACAAATATGCATGTCATTCATGTTTACAAAATTGGTGAAAGCCTGTAACATTGGTATGTGTTGACAAAGACCCATCATCATCAGGGCCAGTACCGGGTACACACATCCTGGCCCTGCCAAGGGATGTAACTCTGCATAGCAAATTAAGGCACTTTAGATCACCTGGTAAGTTGGCACCCCTTGCATAAATAAGAACACAACATTTTCATACATGTATCCTTGGAAGTTAATGGATTTTATATATTTCAAATATGGATTGACACATCGTGTGCTCCTGATTGAATTCTAAGAAAAAATCTGAAAAATGAGTGAGAGAGAGTAAGCAATGTGTAAGTTGGTACTGAGTGTGTGACAGTGGTTGTAATTTGTGAGTGATAGCTTCTTTCCCTAGTTGGGATAAATGCTGCTTTGCACATTTAAATTTCAATCAATGCACATCAAAACCAGTTCTGAGTTTACAGACATGATTTTATAACAAACAACGACTGTGAACAGGACAGATCCAGGTTCTGTCCCCATGTTGTACTGTGCTATTGTACCTGAAGCTTGATCTTCTGTACGTGGTTGTCCGTGTCCCATACCACCACACTCTGATCATACGAGCCTGTCACCAACATCTGGCCTGAAAACACCAAACGATTCAACCATAGGATAAAACGAGTGTTTTTAATTAGGTTCTGTTTTTTTCCCCATGAAATATGAAAAATATTCAGCTTCTGTCTATTGTTAACATCACATTCAGCAATATTCCAGCTTTAAGATGACAGCCCATAAATAATCAAGTCTGGACAGGGCAATCCAGTGATTGATGTTATGAACAATGATCCACAGAATCGGGGTACGGTGACACACAATCAACCAAGTCACAAAGTCTGACCACCCAATCCACAGAGGTTGGCGGGTACTGATTTCATCCTAGTCTAGACGTTTTAAGAAAATGTTTTTTGATTATTTAACAATTCCTGTAAATCACTCTGAGATTACAACATTTCATATCAACACAAATCAAATTTATAGCATATAGCCACACAATTTTCACACAACGGACTTCTACGCTGTCCACAATTGTGTTTTAGTTCTCTGTCTTAATAATATGTGAATTTTCACACTGGGTGGAAATACTGGTTCGGGTAAAATAAAACATGATCAAGGCCTGCCCATTTTGCAGAGATGTGAATATAGAAGCATCACAAGGCAGCATCTCACCATCTTTGCTGAAATTGCAGCAGCTGACTGACCCCTCGTGCTGGCCCTTCATACACACTGGACCCTTTGACCTGGAAGCATACTCACATACATAAGTTGTGCAACATAGACTTCCTATACAAGATATTACTGACTTTCTGGAAGACACTGTCAATTCTCTACATGTGGTTATTTGTACATGCCAAAGGCAGTGTTATTGTCTGTACATATCCGAAGCAATGTGATTACATGTACTTGTATATGGACACGGCAGTGCTTTTCAGTATTGTATATATGTCAATGTGATTTGCTGGTAATGTCATCAATATTACAAGGCCAGAGCAATGTTAGTTACTGTACAAGCTTGTGACAATGTCATTACCTGTACAACCCATGTGGCAATGTCATTACCTGTACATCCCTGTGGCAATGTGGTAACCTGTACATCCCTGTGGCAATGTTATTACCTGTACATCCCTGTGGCAGTGTTATTACCTGTACATCCCTGTGGCAGTGCTATTACCTGTACATCCCTGTGGCAATGTTATTACCTGTACATCCCTGTGGCAATGTGGTAACCTGTACATCCCTGTGGCAGTGTTATTACCTGTACATCCCTGTGGCAGTGTTATTACCTGTACATCCCTGTGGCAGTGTTATTACCTGTACATCCCTGTGGCAATGTCATTCCCTGTACATCCCTGTGGCAATGTCATTCCCTGTACATCCCTGTGGCAATGTCATTCCCTGTACATCCCTGTGGCAATGTCATTACCTGTACATCCCTGTGGCAATGTCATTACCTGTACATCCCTGTGGCAGTGTTATTACCTGTACATCCCTGTGGCAGTGTTATTACCTGTACATCCCTGTGGCAGTGTTATTACCTGTACATCCCTGTGGCAGTGTTATTACCTGTACATCCCTGTGGCAGTGTTATTACTGGCAATGTTATCACCTGGCTATTACATCCCCGTGGCAATGTTATTACCTGTACATCCCTGTGGCAGTGTTATTACCTGTACATCCCTGTGGCAGTGTTATTACCTGTACATCCCTGTGGCAGTGTTATTACCTGTACATCCCTGTGGCAGTGTTATTACATGTACATCCCTGTGGCAATGTCATTACCTGTACATCCCTGTGGCAATGTCATTACCTGTACATCCCTGTGGCAATGTCATTACCTGTACATCCCTGTGGCAGTGTTATTACCTGTACATCCCTGTGGCAGTGTTATTACCTGTACATCCCTGTGGCAGTGTTATTACCTGTACATCCCTGTGGCAGTGTTATTACCTGTACATCCCTGTGGTAATGTTATTACCTGTACATCCCTGTGGCAGTGTTATTACCTGTACATCCCTGTGGCAATGTGGTAACCTGTACATCCCTGTGGCAATGTGATTACCTGTACATCCCTGTGGCAATGTTATTACCTGTACATCCCTGTGGCAGTGTTATTACCTGTACATCCCTGTGGCAGTGTTATTACCTGTACATCCCTGTGGCAGTGTTATTACCTGTACATCCCTGTGGCAGTGTTATTACCTTTCCAACCCTTTGGCAGTGTTATTACCTGTACATCCCCGTGGCAATGTTATTACCTGTACATCCCTGTGGCAATGTCCCACTGCTGTACTGTTTTGTCCCACGAGGTTGTAGCAAACTTCCGCTCATCATAAGAGATAGCACAGCTTGATACAATGTTGAAGTGGCCCCTGTTACACAAGAGAAGGACTGTGAAGGGGTTTACTCTGCCAGCACAGTTCTTCATATTCCACATAAGCTAGATATTGTTAGATGAATTGGGGGCTGAAAATCCAGTGATTGATGTTATGAGTAACTGATCACATAGTACGATAGAATACTGACTGTACAATTCAGTCCAAAACTCACTTTATAAATGTTGAATGACCTTTCACAGGAAATATAAACACAAACTTGTTAAAGCTGGGCTAATTACACATTACAATACAGGCTTTTGTTAAATGATAGGATGATATCACTGATCATAATGAGGTTCGGGTGTTTAGTCATCACTTTTTAGACTTGATGTCAATTCTAGTTATGGTGCAACAATGTCTAAAATTAATCACGATGTCAAAGGTTCTTTGAAGGGCATGTAGCTGTAACACACATAAAGGTGAAAAAACCATGTGGATGTCAATTTTTCTGTCATATGAGGAGCATGATGCTTTCGGAGTACAGTCTTACTTCTCATCAATGAAAAAAACCTACACAGCAGATAGCTATGTAAGTACATCATATGAAACAACAACAGTGACAGGATGACAATGGTTCGCACTTAACAAGGGAAGCCAAGAGTAAATTGGTACTGAATGGTAACGGCAATGAGATGATAGAGGCCAGGAGTTAATCCCGGTGTAAATAGTCCTGTATGTAACGGACAAACAGACAATAAAAATACAACCACTGTGCTATCTCATGTCAGTAAGGGTGGTGGGGTAGCCTATTGGTTAAGGCGCTCGCTCGTCATGCCGAACACCCCAGTTCGATTCCCCACATGAGTACAATGTGTTAAGTCCATTTCTGGTGTTCCCCGCCAAGATATTGCTGGAATATTGCTGGAATATTGCTCAAAGCGTCGTAAAACCAAACTCACTCACTCACTCATGTCAGTATGTCTCTTCCCGCCTTCAGTCATCTTGTATTTGTTACACGTTTGTAGACATTATGTTCCGTCATCACCAGTAGTGAGGCATGTCTATTTTTAATCCAGTGTTGCGACAAGTACATTCACAGAAGTCAAATGAGCCTTCAACAGAGCAGACAGTTGTGACGTTATTCCACAGAAAGTTATTGCTGTTGTGAATTGAATGCTCATTGGTCACACTCAAATGTTTCCCTACACACTAGACCTAGAACATTGCTTGAATCATTGGTTCCAAAATAGTGACAACTGTAAAACTGCCCTGTGTAATAATGGGTGATGAGGAACGTAGTGTTTACAAACAATGTACTATATTGGGCTTCAGCCATCAAACCCTTTCTCAGCTTGCTCTAACTCACTCCAGTTGAATGGTAGTTGTACAAGTCCTGAGATCGAAGAACTTGGTCGCCCTGTCCATGGATGTTGTGATGACTTTATCATCCTTGGGGGAAAAGATGCAACTGGTGATGGTGCTGGAATGGTGGTCTGGAATGAGCAAGGTACTGATGTAGAGTTCAAACTCCACGGTATTTGTCCATCGCCATCTCCTACTGGTTCCACAAACACATAACCAATATATTCGTTTTACAAACACCAGAGGTATTAAGGTTCAAACAATGTGGTGTTCTTGTCCACAATATGAAACATAATAATTGATAATTTAAGCATCTTAAGTCGTCAATACATTCAGACCGAGTTGGTGAATTTTTTCATTGAATCCCAATTGAGTAGATTGATGCTCATGCTGTTGATCACTGGATTGTCTGTCTAAACTCTGTTATTCACAGACTGCCACCATATAGCTGTAATATTGCTGAGTGCAGCATTAAACAAGAAACAAACAAACAAAATGGTGAATTTTGTTTGATGCTGATTTTAACAATATTCCAGTTATCACAGCACGTCAGCTTGATGTGGGAGGGAAGCCTGAAATGGTGAAGTTCTCAGATGTTTACCCCTTTGGTGAAACCCATCCATTGTTATGGTGCAGACGATTGACCCCCAAAGGATGCAACTCTGAATTGCCAGTGAATCACAGAAGAGTCTGCCCCTCATTTTCATTCAGATATATTTTAAACATTAAACAGATTTAAACATCCATACACTTATCTCTGACTAAGATGATGACTGTGACTCATCCCTAGCAGTTCTAAGTCAGTGTATTGTACAAACAGCCACAGGGTACCTTTGAGGTTGTGAATTATCTCCCCTGATCTGGCGTCCCAGATTTTCAGGATGTTGTCCATGTCGGAGCCGGAGCACACCATCGTCTCGTCATGTGACAGTTTACAGCAGGTGACGACCCCGCCGTGCTTCCCTGACCACTGAACACAACAATGCACAACAGTATAAACCTCTGTGCTCATGTACCTGACGGCCAATACCAGAATCCCTATTCACAATCAATATTCTGGAAATTCTGAAAAAAATTCCTCCTCAGTAAATATGAATATGCATGAAAAGCGGTATAATGATTCATTAATAAGGACATAGACAAGCTATGTTTTCAAAGGACTGTCTGCATATTTAGCCTCTTGTCTGAAATTCAGCTAATACATGCTGGCGTATGATATTGAAAATCAGATCTTTTAGGGGCCATTCATAATTTATGGCTAGGTGTGTGTGTCGGGAGGAAGAGTTGATGATATTTATGAGGAAGCATGGACAATGTGAATGACCCCCCCTAAAATCTATGTACAAAGTGAGTGACCCCCCTGCAGCTGCCTAGCACAAGTACACAAAATAAAATTGATGAACCCCACCCCACCCCACCCCACCCCACCACACACACACACCTTAAAATCACATCCCTCCTAGCCATAAATTATTAGTGGGAACAAGTATGTGAAGTTTAAAGTTTCAATTGTTACAGTGGTTCCCAAGGAGACTAAGGAAAACTGATAAAGAATTCAAGTCATAAACTCACTTGAATTGCAGACCGGTGAGCTAAAGATGAATAAATTAATAGAAAACTATTTGGATTCTCTTACCTTTTCTGCAACCTTCTGAGTGTCCCAGAACTTGACTTTTTTGTCCCACCCACAACTGACAAAACTGGAAAAAATCATATTGTCTGAAACAATATTCACACTGTACAAGGAGCCAGTTTCTTCCTCAAATCGAAACATCCACGTTGATGCAATTCATTAAGCCCTATGCCATACTGTCAAGGTCATGCAGAACTATCTGATGTTGAATTACTAAGTAGACTAAAGGTTTACTGGCACTACAAGATTATAAATGCTAGGGGTGGGTATTGCAGAGAACTTTCATATTGCAACATATTGCGATGCAAAAGCATACATTGCAATATGTATTGCAAAATATTGCAAGAATGTTTCTTTAACAAACAACTACTTATAATCGAGTTGTACTTATAATCGATTTATAAAGCAAAATCACAACAAAATCACCATGCTTGATTAAGCATAATAAAAGCATTATACAAAATAAAAATGTAAATAATATAACAAATGAAACAAGGAAAAAATCAATTGAACATCAACACAGTGGTTACTAGTTTGAACTAGTTTCTCCACTCTCAAAAAAAAGCCCTGAGATTTTAGACAGCAACTTGACCTGGTCAGGACATATGAGAGATCACTGGTCATTAAATTAGTAAATATTTAAAAACTTGACTTCCAGTGTGAAAAACGAAAATGTCCGAAGATTTCCGAGTGTTACGAAGTTTTCCGAATGCATTTTAAAAAAATAAGGTTTTCGATCAGCGTATCGCAATACGTATTATTTACATGTCTGAACCGGTAAATACCAGTAAACCAGTTATATTGCGCAGCCCTAGTAAATGTAGATATAATATATAACACACTTTGATATATCATCTACTAACCAAACTTGTTGTTTGCCATTATTTTCAGCCAATTTCATTGCTATTATTTTTAAAGGATTTTTTTCAGTTACGTATACTTGAGCTCAAGTGATTATAACTCACCGAAACTTTGAACTTGTGGCTACATTCACAAACTAATACTGTCTTAATCAGCTCTCTACATCTAAAGCATTACATTTCAAGGGTCTGTTTCCAACCATCTTTTATGATCCAGTGTATAACATCTCAATCTCTACATTACCCTAGACCTGTTCGGTGCAGAACTTAAAAAAATTCAAAAGTGATGCCACCATTTTCCCATTCACTAAATGAGCCAGATATTCTCACTCATGGCCTTGAAATGAGAGGATCCAGGGTAATGATTAAAATACAATTTAGATTCAATTTACTGTTTCTAATGAATAGGAAAATTGAGGATCATTTGTAGCCCCTCCAGAATGTCAGAATGTCTATATTATTGGAACCGCCTCCGTGGTGTAGTGGTTAGAGTGTCCGCCCCGGAGAGACCGGAAGGTCGTGGGTTTGATCCCGGCCACGTCATACAAAAAGATGTTAAAATATGGTACTTGGTCCCTGCCTGGCGCTTGGCATTAATTGGTACAACAAGGACTGGTCGGCTCGGAGTCAGTATAATGTGTCTGAGTGGGGTATTCGTGCTTCAACTGCAGCATGGTATCTCAATCTCAGTGAGCGAGCACTACAAAACCAGCTTAAGTCGGGAAGTCTGGGCTAGTACAAGCAGTCACACATACACACGCAAGCACATCATCATATGAGCAAAACATTCTTAAGTGCAACATTAAACGCCACTTCACCTCACTTCACCTATATTAATGGGTTTCTGGTTCACATTATCACTCTCCAGCTTTATCTCTGTAACTGTAGCTGGTCATACTCTACCTATTTCCATCGGATGTAATCCTGGCTTCGTTGACTGGCATGTCATGTATGTTCTCCAGGCTGTGTAGCACTCCCCCGGACCCAAAGCTCCAAAGCTTGACGCTCTTATCATCTGATGCTGTCACAAATTTAGTACCGCCGTTGAAAAACTGACAACTGTTTACTCCTTTTGAGTGTTCCCTCAGAACTCGCATCCGTACCTATCACACAAAAGACACAGTGACATATTTGATCAGTAGCAGGATTCAATTACTGTCAAGGGTCATGGGGTTTGGCAGAAATAGACTTTAAAATCCTTATTTTGTTTCATATTTTATCAGTAATACTTATTTTCCATTTCATCTCTGGTGTAAGTTTTTTTTCATATGGTAATTTCACGGCGGTGGTTGTCCTAGTGGTTAAAGCATTCACTTGTCATGTCAAAGACCTGGTTTGATTCCTTGATTGAATGAATATGATCAAGATGGCCATGCTTGCAACATGTTACAAGGTCAACGACAGCTTCAGTTGTTAACATTATCTGATGAATGTGAAGAAAAAAATAGGAAGAAAGAAATAATGAATGGATTCTTTTAACAAGAACTGAAGTTCTATAAGACGCAGCAGACAGAAAAATTGCCTATCATGCAATCAATATATTCTTTACCAAAATTATAAATAATTCATACACATATGGAAATTTATATTCATACTTAGGGTCTGTGTGTAAAGATAAGTCCATGCTAATCAAACAAACTCTTATTTCTTTTCAAACATGTTTTTTTTTTGTTAAAAACAACTTGTTTTCAGAAAACTATTTCCAGACATGAATGACTTGCACAGAATGCTATTTCCATGCAGCTTCCTAAAACACACTTGTCTCCTCCCACAGATATGCATAGCAGTGTCCGTCTTGGTGGTGTATAACAGCTGTATAAAGAATTCACAGTTTAGATTTTTGATACAAAAACTCATTTTCACAGTAAATTTCAGGGTAAGACTACAGAATACCGGATACGTTCCGCCATCTTTGAAAGCACGAGAGTTTACTTAGGGTTAGGGTAAGGTTTAGGGAAAGATTTAGGGTTAGGGTAAGGTTTAGGGTTAGGGTAAGGTTTAGGGCTAGCGTTTGGGTTCGGGTGACGTGACACTAAACAATATGGCTGGTAGGTATCCGGTATTCTGTAGGTGTACCAATTTCAGTGGTCTCAAGCTGAGAATATACCTGAGCTAAGTCTTCATGTTCCCAGACTGCCTTGTCTTTCTGTGCATCATTTTGGGCCGCGAGATTCAGATCTCGACTCAGCTCCAAGGCCAAATCTAATTCATCTTCTGCCATGTTTTTTTTTAGTTTCTAAGATTACTTTCTTTCATATCGTCTGCTTTTGGTTTATTTATGACATATGCTGTTCATAAATCTCACGTATTAAGAGCACAGACTATAACCTCTTTCATGTTTCTGACTTTTTGCGTCTATCGTTACCAACCGGAAGTCAGTCGGTGCGAGTCTATATGTGGTTGTCGTAATAAAAAGAAATACCGTTAACTAATTAAATAGATAGACTAGAAGTTACATTTTTATACTAGTGATCATGTATAAAGATAAAACGTGTTCCAAAAATCAGTATGCTGCTTTCTGTATCTCTCCTTGGGTAACGGCGTAACGACATTCCCTCCAATATGGATGACCAAGAGGGACAGCCAGGTAAAATCTACCATTATTTTCGCTATTTAACTTGCAATCTGGATAATTTGATGTATATATATGAAATATCCGGATATAACAGTATCTGCTTTTCATCTGTATGTGGAAGCTACTTATACACGATCCATTGTTATCCAACACATATTTGTTTACCTGATGGTGGTGCGAAGCGGAAAGTTTATGTTTGTTTGGTGACAAAATGTCTGCAAAAGCAGCACGTAGCAGTCTATTTGATTGAAAAAAGGCTGTATTTGTCGTTATTTATTACAGTTGAAATACGGGGATAAGGTTATATTCATAAAATTCAGACTAGCACAACATCTTTAATGCTGTGATTTGTCTTCATCAGTTCCTGTCAGTAATGGATTCAATGGTTCGGGCGTATTTGTATATGGTTCCAGAAATGTTGCCTATAGATCTAGTATTATCGCAATTGTTTTAGTGAGACCCACTCTGAGTAAAATATTGTATTATTGTGTTAATGAAGTGTGTGATCAAATATTTGTAAGCGTGTTGACTGGTATCCTTCCTGGCTTGGATATAATGTTTCACTTTGATAAATAACACCCAAATTCAAGTAATAACATTGTGTTTAAATAATTCATCAATATTAGATTCAAGTGATAGAATTAAGTTCATGAAGGGAAATATTTTGATTCCCGAATATGCGAGTGAATCATAACAGCACTTCTGTGTAAGAATGTCCTCAAAATAATAATAGACTGAAAATGTGGGACATTACTTAGGAAATGTGTAATTGTCTTCTGCTCAAAGGCTGTAGGTGAATTCGTAGACCAGACTGGTTCGTAAACGTGGAAATCTGGTGGATTCGTAGTCAGATTGAGCAGTGGATTTGTAGACGTTAATAAAATGGGGAAAGTTCAACATCAATGATGATGAAAATCGATATTATGACTTGAATGTAAACGAAAAGTGTTTGCATTTTGTGAAATAAATAAAATATATTAGGTAAGTATGATCGGTGATGAAAATAAAATATGCTTCACAGCGGTTCACGTCCGACAAGTTCCAACAATCATAGGCCGCTAATATATTAAATTCAGTTTGGTGAAATTAAAATATATATATTAGGTAAGTATTGTCAGTGACGAAAACCCATTCAACATTCAGCTACGCAGACCAGCAGAGAAGTAGCAGAAAACACTTCTTAAGAAAACACTTCAATATACACACAGTATTTTGCAATCAAAACAACTCAACACTTCCTAATTAACATTCACAACAACTCAGCGAAACTGAAACTTTTTTACTTATTTTAATATTTTAATATTTCTTTGTGTTAATCATTCTCAGTATGTAACTGTCTATATCACACCACCAAATGAAACTACAGCATTGTTCAATTCACACAACCAGGATTACTGTCTCCTCTGAGATCTCTGGAATAATCTGACAGCTCTGTAAAAGTCAAACTATCATCGAACAATTGTTATTGAACTGAATTGTGAGGGCAACCCATAAAACTTGCGTCAAGCTTGACTCGTATGATAATATTTTGAGTGTCGTTTACAAAATTGTTGCGTCAAATACGCAGGAATCACGGGTCATGTAAAACCTTGGATGTAGGTGTAATTATGATTTTCCTTGTGGCTGGGACACATCTTGGGTTGGGCAGGTCATGTGTAGTATGAGGCTGGACACCCACAGGTACGATATATAGTGAAATTATAATAACAATACAACTTTGTGGATTCTCTGTAAATTGCTAATAGCCACATTTTATTATTGAGTGTTTGCATGATCATTTAATTTTTGTTTGTGTTTCTAAATATGGCTTGCCCTGGCTCCGGTAAAATACATGTCAGACATTTTGTACCCAACTCTTGAGATCTTGAGCAGATACTCGAGTATGGTTGGGTAATAAGGGTTTGAGCATCCATGTAGTAAATTCTGACCAGGTTCAGGCCTAATGCTCTCATTTCTTGTGTTTAGTCACAGTATGAAAACAAAATCATGTTAGTTTGCTGCACATGTATCAGGTTTTGGAGACAAGATGTATTACCATTGCTTGACGTAGATTGATGCTCATGCTGTTGATCACTGGATTGTCTGGTCCAGACTTGATTATTTACAGACTGCCACCATATAGCTGGAATATTGCTGAGTGTAGTGTAAAACTAAAGTCACTCACCATTACTTGTACATGTTCTGTTTATCAAAGTAGTAAGCTGGTAGTGGTAGGTCAATATTAGAAGAGCATAATGAGAAAATTCAGGGCACCAGATACCTTTTTTAAGCCTTCAGTAATTATTCACATTGGGTATCGATGATTTCCTTTGGGTATTCAGTGTATGTATGCTCCGTTGAGTATGTATACCCCAGTCTGGTTTGATGCAATGCTTAGACATGTATCATTCCTCATGTTGACCCCTGTGATGTCACTAGTCTAGACTGCACCATCCACTCATTATTCCCGGCTATAAACTATTTTGACCAGTATGCCTGAATACTGTAATCACATGGCAAGTCAGAGGTATGAAGTGGAACCTTATGCTTTATCGTGTTCATACTGATTTACTCATTCCGATTTATCAAACTTGGTGTTATTTTCTTTCCAGATATATGTCGGGTGTGTCGCTGTGAAGGGACCCCTGACAAACCCCTCTATCATCCATGTGTGTGTATGGGCAGTATCAAGTTCATCCATCAAGACTGGTGCGTGTTTTTGGTTATTTTAAACAAAAAAAATTATCATGGAGTATTGAAACTACTGTAAATCATGCATTGAAATTAATGCATCACAAATTTAATGCGAGTGCGAGGGTCTAGTCTAAAATGTGTCGTGAAATTAATGAGAGCTCAGGAATCTGATGATTAAATGTGATTAATGTTTGATGTTGTTCAATTTCTTTTAGTTTCACACTTGTTATTTACCAAATAACCTGAATTGAGCTTGTTAAGCAATGAATGGAAATGAGCTGACGATGTTTTGATTATGCTGCCATGTTTGATCTCGTGATTGCTTGCCAGTACTTGTCTTATGACACCATTTAAAAACGTAATCCAACTTGAAAGACTTCTGTTCAAAGGATTTGCTCAAATTAAAAGGTGAGCAAAGATCGCAAAATGATCCTGCGTGGTTGGAGAATGTCCGCTCGCATTAATTTCATGATTTACTGTATATTTACAGGGTGTGAGCATATTTAGGGGAAGTGTAAGGAAGTATTTGAACGAATGCCATTACATTGTTTGGATGTGTACCTCAGGGCATTGACGGGATACATAGTGACACATTCCATGTGTGTGTTGTTCAAGAAACACCTACTAATATAAGCATTGAATGATTGATATATCCAAAGGTCTGAAGTAAATGATTAAATGTGTTTTGTCTTTATCATCACGAAACAGCCTAATGTTTATTTCTACTGAGATATATTCATAGAAACATTGAGTTAAATAGATAGAAAATCAGTTTTTCAGCTTGATGCTTCTACATGTTCGGCTGTGTGTAGTGTGTATGTTTTGTGAAGACAATATGAATGACTAACATTGACTTGTACTGTTAATAAGTCCCATTTTTTTCCTCTTTCAGTCTTGTTCAGTGGTTGAAATACAGTCGTAAAGAATACTGTGAATTATGCAAACACAAATTTGCATTCACACCAAGTAAGCAAATGTTGACTTTTCAATTTGATTGAAATTAGTAATGTTATAGTGTAAAATAAATGTTGCATATAAATGTTGATGTGAAATATAATAAGATATATCTTGATCATGTTGATTCCAGTTATATATGAAGATGACCTGTAAATTGTTAATGGAACTTGACATCAACATGAATATCTTATCAATGTGTCCACGTGAATAGCTATGTCTTGTTTTCATTTCTGACTTTTTCAAGATGAACATAAACATGAAAACAAGGATGGGGAAGAAATAGCCTAGCTAGGCCAGAATCTCCCCTTTTGTTACGAGAACAAGGTTGGGAAAGAAATAGCCTTTAAAGTTGATTCAAGGGTGGGGAAAGTTTGGCCTAGAACAAACTTTCCATGGGGAAGATTAAGCCTAAGGGAGGAAAGTTTGGCCAAGGTCAAAGTTTCCCTGGGGAAGGTTTGACCTGGGAGAAAGTTTGGCTTGTTACACTGTTTGATTCCCCAAATGGGTACAGTATGTGAAGCCCATTCTTACCTTGATATTGCTGAAATATTGCCAAAAGCGGCATAATTCTGTGGGGAGTAAATTTTTTAATCAGCTGATGTGACAATCATGTATGAGATGCTACAATGTAATGGGTCCCTCAGTACATCATCTTTGCATGGTAAACACTGAGTATTCCTGGGTGTCACTGGCTTCCTTCTCGGTGGAAGTTACTGGAACCAGTCCAGTGCTTGATTCGGTGGTTTATAATAGCATAGGGGAAATAGGTATTTGTAGGTGATGAATGAACATGGTGTACACATATAGGTGTAGTGTTGTGTTATGGAAGCAATGTATTGTGTACCTGAATCAGACTGTGAAATCTTCTGTCAACAGTTTACTCGCCAGACATGCCGAAGCGGCTTCCTATCAAAGACATTGTGAGTGGTCTGTTAAAGAGCATTGCGCGAGCTGTCCGATACTGGTTCCATTACACCCTGGTGGCCTTTGCCTGGCTCGGAGTCGTGCCGCTCACAGCATGTAAGTTACATTAGTTCTGTAAACAAAAACAGTGTTTTTATTGTTTATTATTCACCCAAGTTGACAGGTTTGAGTGTAAAATGTAGGTACAAGAACACATCATGCTAATGTGAGATGCTGAAGGGCACAGAAAATGCAAAGACTTCATCCATATTAAATATGCATGATGTATGACATTGCACTATTTTCTTTTGGCTTTGATAACATCTGAGGTTGCTATACATCTAATATACCATTATAGCATTTAATCTGTGTGTTGCTTGTGTTGTGAGAGTTGCTATGAACATGGCTTGTTCATAGACTACATACAGGTGTGATTGAACATCTATTTCCATGTGTTTTGGATTATATTGTTATCGAAGCCTGATCTGGTTGTTTTTGCAGGTCGTATCTATCGCTGCCTCTTCACAGGATCCGTGAGCTCATTGTTGACGCTTCCTCTTGACATGTTGTCTACGTAAGTTTCACACATAAGTACTACAGGACTCATTTACAAGTACTACAGGTCTCACTGACCAGTACTACAGGTCTCACTGACCAGTACTACAGGTCTCACTAACCAGTACTACAGGTCTCACTCACCAGTACTACAGGTCTCACTCACCAGTACTACAGGTCTCACTCACCAGTACTACAGGTCTCACTCACCAGTACTACAGGTCTCACTGACCAGTACTACAGGTCTCACTCACCAGGCCCCCGTTCCTCAAAGCGATCGTAGCGCTAAGGTGATCGTAACTCACATACTTTAACATAGACTACTACAGGTAGCACTCATCACTTTAAGGAACGGGGCCCTGTACTACAGGTCTCACTCACCAGTACTACAGGTCTCACTCACCAGTACTATAGGTCTCACTCACCAGTACTACAGGTCTCACTCACCAGTACTATAGGTCTCACTCACCAGTACTATAGGTCTCACTCACCAGTACTACAGGTCTCACTCACCAGTACTACAGGTCTCACTCACCAGTACTACAGGTCTCACTGACCAGTACTATAGGTCATACTCACCAGTACTACAGGTCTCACTGACCAGTACTATAGGTCTCACTCACCAGTACTATAGGTCTCACTCACCAGTACTATAGGTCTCACTGACCAGTACTACAGGTCTCACTCACCAGTACTATAGGTCTCACTCTCACTCTCTCAAGTACTACAGGTCTCACTCACCAGTACTACAGGTCTCACTCACCACCAGTACTACAGGTCTCACTCACCAGTACTATAGGTCTCACTCACCAGTACTACAGGTCTCACTCACCAGTACTACAGGTCTCACTCACCAGTACTACAGGTCTCACTCACCAGTACTATAGGTCTCACTCACCAGTACTACAGGTCTCACTCACCAGTACTATAGGTCTCACTCACCAGTACTACAGGTCTCACTCACCAGTACTACAGGTCTCACTCACCAGTACTACAGGTCTCACTCATAAGTACTACAGGTCTCACTCACAAGTACTATAGGTCTCACTCACCAGTACTACAACTCTCACCAGTACTACAGGTCTCACTCACCAGTACAGGTCTCACTCACCAGTACTATAGGTCTCACTCACTAGTACTACAGGTCTCACTTACCAGTACTACAGGTCTCACTCACCAGTACTACAGGTCTCACTCACCAGTACTACAGGTCTCACTCACCAGTACTACAGGTCTCACTCACCAGTACTACAGGTCTCACTCACCAGTACTATAGGTCTCACTCACAAGTACTACAGGTCTCACTCACAAGTACTATAGGTCTCACTCACCAGTACTACAGGTCTCACTAACAAGTACTACAGGTCTCACTCACCAGTACTATAGGTCTCACTCACCAGTACTACAGGTCTCACTCACCAGTACTACAGGTCTCACTCACCAGTACTACAGGTCTCACTCACAAGTACTACAGGTCTCACTCACAAGTACTACAGGTCTCACTCACAAGTACTATAGGTCTCACTCACCAGTACTACAGGTCTCACTCACAAGTACTATAGGTCTCACTCACCAGTACTACAGGTCTCACTCACCAGTACTACAACTCTCACCAGTACTACAGGTCTCACTCACAAGTACTATAGGTCTTACTCACTAGTACTATAGGTCTCACTTACCAGTACTACAGGTCTCACTCACCAGTACTGCCGCTTTCACTCACTCACCCTTTTGTACTGCAAGACACCAATGCAGTAATATAATTATGAGCACCATGAAGGATTTGGTTAAAATTGCTCTTCAGCAACCCATGCTTGTTGATAAATATAGAAATACATAGCCCTACATTTAAGATACATGATATCACTGTACAGAGCTAATTATTTTTAGTACTATTTGTATGTGTGTATGCTGGTAAACATAGTGATTGTCTGTTAGTGGTCTGTGATCAATATGTGGCCTCATTATTAAATGACTTTCTATACACTGGTGTTGTGTGTTTCAGAGAGAACCTGGCATCAGACTGCTTCCAGGGCTGTTTTGTAGTGACCTGTACACTGTGTGCTTTCATCAGCTTGGTGTGGCTCCGGGAACAGATCCTGCACGGGGGAGGGCCTGACTGGCTGGAGCAGGACAACCAGCCCGGGGGAGGACAGAGGGTAGGTGGATACTGGGGTGTGGCAGGCAGGTGGGGAACAGAGGGTAGGTGGCTACAGGGGTGCGGCAGACAGATGGGGGACAGAAGGTAGGTGGATACTGGGGTGTGGCAGACAGGTGGGGAACAGAGGGTAGGTGGATACTGGGGTGTGGCAGACAGGTGGGGGACAGGATAGGTGGATACTGGGGTGTGGCAGACAGGTGGGGGACAGGATAGGTGGATCCTGGGGTGTGGCAGACAGGTGGGGAACAGAGGGTAGGTGGATACTGGGGTGTGGCAGACAGGTGGGGGACAGGATAGGTGGATCCTGGGGTGTGGCAGACAGGTTGGGGACAGAGGGTAGGTGGATACTGGGGTGTGGAAGCCAGGTGGGGGACAGAGGGTAGGTGGCTACAGGGGTGTGGCAGCCAGGTGGGGGACAGAGGGTAGGTGGATCCTGGGGTGTGGCAGCCAGGTGGGGGACAGAGGGTAGGTGGATCCTGGGGTGTGGCAGCCAGGTGGGGGACAGAGGGTAGGTGGATACTGGGTTGTGGCAGCCAGGTGGGGGACAGAGGGTAGGTGGATACTGGGGTGTGGCAGACAGGTGGGGGACAGAGGGTAGGTGGATCCTGGGGTGTGGCTGATAGGTGGGAGACAGAGGGTAAGTAGATACTGGGTTGTGGCAGCCAGGTGGGGGACAGAGGGTAGGTGGATACTGGGGTGTGGCTGATAGGTGGGAGACAGAGGGTAAGTAGATACTGGGGTGTGGCAGCTAGGTGGGGGACAGAGGGTAGGTGGATACTGGGGTGTGGCAGCCAGGTGGGGACAGAGGGTAGGTGGATCCTGGGGTGTGGCTGATAGGTGGGAGACAGAGATACTGGGGTGGCAGCTCCTGGGGACAGAGGGTAGGTGGATACTGAGTTGTGGCAGCTAGGTGGGGGACAGAGGGTAGGTGGATACTGGGGTGTGGCAGACAGGTGGGAGACAGAGGGTAAGTAGATACTGGGGTGTGGCAGCTAGGTGGGGGACAGAGGGTAGGTGGATACTGAGGTGTGGCAGCTAGGTGGGGGACAGAGGGTAGGTGGATACTGGGGTGTGGCAGACAGGTGGGAGACAGAGGGTAAGTAGATACTGGGGTGTGGCAGCTAGGTGGGGGACAGAGGGTAGGTGGATACTGAGTTGTGGCAGCTAGGTGGGGGACAGAGGTAGGTGGACAGGGGGTGTGGCAGACAGGTGGGGGACAGAGGGTAGGTGGATCCTGGGGTGTGGCTGATAGGTGGGAGACAGAGGGTAAGTAGATACTGGGTTGTGGCAGCTAGGTGGGGGACAGAGGGTAGTTGGAAACTTGGGCATGGTACTCATGTGGATCCTAGGGTGTGGCAGACAGGCGGGTTACAGAGGGCACCCCGCCTGACTCACCAGGGGTGTGGCATCAGGTGGGGACAAAGAGGTAGGGACTGTGGACAGTAGGTGTGGCATTATTTTCAATAATAGGTATGTTTGACAATTTATTGAGGTTTGTAACAAAGGGTAACCCTGAATCTGTGACATTGTGACTTGTTTCAGAACTTCCTTGATGGAGGTGCCATGAATAATTTGATTGGTGGTTTTGCTGGTGGCAACCGAGGTGGAGTCAATCCGAATGATGGCAACCCTGGCAACCTTGGGGGTGACGATGACAGGGAAGAAGAAGTTGAAGGAGAGATGAACGCCAACAATGTTGCACAGGGTGAGGAGTTGTTATTGCAGAAGAGGGTGGGAGTTAGTTCTGTCTTTCTTTCCTCCAGAAGGCCCTTCAGCGTATTATTCATCTTAGCCTGCTGATCAGACTGTTTCGTCCTTACATGTGTCTGGACAGTGAAGGTGTAACGAGGTCAGGTCATCGTATGATACTATACATCCTGATACTATGGGTATGATACAAATCGTATCCCGATACAGTTGAAATGAGATCTTGTTAACTGGCAAACACTTTGAAAATTCATAAATTAGTGAACTTTCATTAAATTTGAACAATTTGTTTAGCATTTATAATCTGTCATTATGCACGCTATTCTTGTCACTCACTCGCACGTCCACCCACCCTTTCACTCACTCACCCACCCTCTCACTCACTCATTCACCTACCCACACACCCTCTCACTCACTCACTCACTCACCTACTCACTCACTCACTCACTCACTCACTCACCTACTCACTCACTCACCTACTCACTCACTCACTCACTCACTGTTTCAGATGACAACAACTGGAACCCCATCGAGTGGGATCGCGCAGCTGAGGAGCTGACATGGGAAAGGGTAGGCAGGGTTCCATCTTTGCCATCTTTGTTCATTTTGAGCCTGGTAGCTTGTTGATCATTAATTGGCCTTAATTGCCCAGTATCCTCTGGAAATCAACAACTTCCATCTTCATTTTAATGTTATTTCTTTGTTTGGGTGACTAATGTTTGACTGGTAAAAGGACCAACAAAAAGTAAACGTTTAAGTGCTTAGATTTATATCAACACAGAAGCAGATGTTAAACTGCAATGTTGAAATACCTTCGAATTTAGGAAAATATTCTGTTAAAAATATCCCTTTCTTTCCTGTTATGCTTTAGTTTGGAATCTTAGCTCATCTGTGGTGAACAGTTTAGTGATTTGTCAGTCTGTTTGTTTCAGCTGCTTGGTCTGGATGGATCCTTGGTGTTCCTGGTAAGTTGATGAAACTTGTAATTCTAATTCAACTTAGTATGTAACACGAGCTCTGATTGGTCAATGCTATAAATTTCCGACCGTATAATCAGCATATACGGTCACAATTTGAAAACCAATTCACCAAAACCTTTGAATGTATCCCTACACTATTGAGGTAACGCTGCTTTGCAGGACATTGTCATTTGCTGAAGCCATAGGTCATTTAACTCCCCTATCCAGCTAAAATGGGTGGAATTTGTGTTTAAAAAGACAAAACTGTATCATAAATTTAATTTTAAGTTCAAACAACTTACTCGCAACGGGCTCTTGACCCAACAATGTTAGATCATGAAACAAGATTTATGACGTCATTATGGAGCGTGACGTCACCTCCTGTGACGTCATTTGACAACAGAGCTGATAATGGCCCGTAATTGAGGAATCAGAGGGCCGCTCATTCCTGTAACTTGAAGGCTGTTTCATCATAATTCCGGCCATTTTATCTATAATACTATGATCAATTCATCATTGTCAGATTTAGTCTGTGTGCACATAATAAACATGTGTAGTTTGAAAAGGGACTACTTTTTCTGGCGATGGTGTAAGTTCAAGGAGTGATATGATTAACCTTTGACCTAGAGGAACTTTGACCTGGTTTAAATAATGAATTTCTTTCACGAAAAAACAGCATAAAATGGGTTGAATTGAATGGGGATAACTGTACTGTGTGTGACGAATTGGGGACGTATAACGGTGGTAATATAACCGCAAATTTAACGTTATATCGGCTCCGCTTAGTTATCCCCTAAGTGATCTAACAGTTAACTTTGTATCTGTGAGTTTGATCATACAAGTGTGTTAGAGAGACTAATTCTGAATTTGTAGAAATATTAGCTTCATATATATAATGGTATGAGTGGGTGAGTGAGTGAGAGAGAGTGGCTGGGTGAGTGAGTGAGAGACAGTGAGTATCATTGCTGTACATTCTTCAATGTTTCAACACAATGTCTTGGTTGCAGGAACATGTGTTCTGGGTCGTCTCACTCAACACTCTGTTTATTCTCGTCTTCGGTGAGTACATGCATGTTGAAGATCAATACTGATGCAAGAACACTGATGGCTGTCTCCTAAACATATAGAACTCCATCATTGCTGTCATCATGCATCTGGATAAGATGCTATAGCTGTTATACTTCTGCCTCACGTATAACACCCAATGATTTAGAACTTTTCAGGATATGCCTGATGTCAAACTGTGCATTTGTGTTTCAGCTTTCTGTCCATATCATATTGGGCATTTTACCGTTGTGGGATTGAAAGCAGATGATGCTGTAAGTATACCTCAGTTAAGATGTAGATGTGGTTAAAATCATCTAGGGGTGATGGGGTCTGCGTGGTGTGTCAGCTCGTCACGCCGAAGGTCCGGGTTCGATATCCCTTGATTGCCCATTTCGGATGTTCCCCACCTTGATATTGCTGGAATTTTTCTAAAATCCCTGTAAAACAAACACTCACTCACTCACTCACTCAAGGCACAGATATGGATGGTCATTCTCTCTGCCGGGCCGTGGGTCTAGGTGTGGCACAATTTGTCATTTTGTATCCCGTGAAAAGTAGATTGCTAAAAGCTCATGATGTCAATCTCAAGACTGTTTGATCCAGACTTGTGTATGGACAGAGCCCTGTTACAGAGCTAGGATATTGCAGAATGCAGTGTTAAATTTCAAACAGGCCCATGTTTCTCATGCAGAAGTCAAATCATGACAAATACTGTAAACGTACTTATTTTCTCGTGGTGCAATTTTCGCAGAATTGACAGTTTAGACTACATCGCGCGGTCAATTATTCGTGCAATCAGTAATTGCCGGAACTGCCAGCTGTCTCTTTGGCCGCCACTAATAGCAGTGAAAACAAACAGAGTGGCTTAACCTGTCAGGCGGCGTTTATTGCTTACTCACAGGAAATCCCTATCTGTGCGATATACTAGTACACAGTCATCCGTTTACTCACGGAAGAGATGAAAAACACATCAGTCTTATGTTCCGAATTCTGACGATCTGACGAATTAACTTCTACTGTATATGAAGCTCTTTGAGATTTCAAACACTTCTGATGCGCCGGGTTGTTGTGAATGAGATGATTGAGTGTTAAGTGACTATTCGCTTCATGATGTACTGGTAAATATAATCTTAATGAATAAATAAAATACTGCTGTATTATTTCTTTCGAGTCGTTTCATGGTAATCTGTTTTGTATCAAACCATCTGTATGTGACCAATTTCCATGGCATGAAACCACAACACACTTTGCTGTTTTAAGCTAATTGGCAATGGGATTTGGCTCATTATTTAATTATGTTTTGGGAAATCCATTACAGCGACAGTTAAGTATGATTCTTTATGCTACTATCAGTCGTCATTTTAAGATTCCCGTAGATTTCTGTCTTCAAACTTGATGTGTTATGGTAACAACTCGGGGGCAAAGCGTGGCTAGACTGAATGAATGACAGGTTTATTCAAGCAATTGTATAAATTTTTGGCTAAAACGTTTTTCGCGAAAAGCGCAAAAATAAAACCTGCGCGAAATATAATACGTTTACAGTATCATGTGAACATACTGTGACCTTGTGATTGTACTAATCCTGTACAGCCAATTGTTACTAGGTGATTTCTTAATTGATATGCAAGGGTTAACCAGAAATCAGTAAATAACCAGACGTGATCAAATGATTAATATATTATACTGAAATGCACACTTTCAAGTTTACAATCTCACAAAAGCAATGCAGTAAGACACATATGTCACAGCAATAGTATGAAGTCAGAAGAATGTCCAGCCTTTTGTCACTGTCACTTGTCTTGAAAGAGGCATGTTCTTCATTCTTGAAATTGGAAGCTGGCAGGAATTCAGCGTTTTCTAATAATAAATAGGAATTGCAACAATTGCCTTGGTGTCATTCTGAGATAGCATGATCAGCCTTCTAAAAAATGTACCATCCTGAAACTTCACATGTGATCATATCTGTCCTGTTTATCAACACTCAAGGGAGGTAACTCTGAATTACACTTCTTGTTACAATCGGGCCTCTTCACCCCTTGATATTTTATGAGTTTTTCAGTCATTTGGTGCCATGAACAATGACTACAATGGTAATACATTTCAGTAATGTGAACAGGTGCAGTGGATTTGTGAAATGTTGTTGACCATGGCACTAAATACACACTTAATCACTTTTCCAGGTTATGTCGTCCCACTTTGAAGGCTTGCTGACAACACTGACTGGCTACGTGGTGATTGCACTCTCCTTGTTGGCGCTCTATGTCATGTGTTCTGTAGCCCGGCTGAAAAAGTGAGTTTCATGTTACATTCCTGCTGGACGGTACAAAACTTAAAAAGTTGTTATCCATAAATTTGTCTTCATTGCTTATATCAGACATGGGATATCCTTTGATCTTTGCATAGTGCTAGTGAGAACAGGGATCTGATTTTAATGAAATTTATCAAAAATAGTACCTTTTGCCTCTTTGTGATGGCCAGTATGGCTTGTTATTTCTTGACAACAGTCAAGAAAGTCTGGGGGGATTATTTGGTACACCTACAGATTACCAGATACCCGCCAGCCATATTGTTTAGTGTCACGTCACCTTAACCCTAACCCTAACCCCAACCAAAAGTAAACTCTTGTGCTTTCAACAATGGCGGAAGGTATCCGGTATTCTGTAGTCTTACCGATTATTTAAACTGTATTCAGTTATATATAATATGTTGTTGATAAATCTCTACAGGATTTAAAGTATTCCTATTGTTATAACCTAGATCCTGTTGAGATAGTGGTGCTCATCATATCAATCACAGGATTCTCCAGACCTTGTCGTTAAAAGTTGGCTGAGTGTATCATAAAATCATTTTAACCACCTCAACCACCTCAATATCGGTCTATTCAGTGACAGTCTGTAGACTCACAGTGACAATGTATTACTTGTGTCCCAGGTTCCGCCGTGACAATGTATTACTTGTGTCCCAGGTTCCGCCGTGACAATGTATTACTTGTGTCCCAGGTTCCGCCGTGTTTTAGGCCTGTGTTACGTGGTGGTGAAGGTGAAGTTGCTGGTTGTCGTGGAGATAGGGGTATTTCCACTTATCTGTGGCTGGTGGCTGGATATCTGCTCTCTGGTGAGTATTGAAGAAACCCTCAGAAAAGAGGGTTTAGAACATGATTTAATGTAACTAATTGATACAAGTCTGTTGTACATTTTACTTAAGAGTAAACTCCCTTTCCTGTTAATTATCAGTACTTCTTGTGTTTGTATGCACTACATATGCAATCATCCAAGAAATTGGGGCAGTTATACTCTTTTGTTTGTTTAAATGTTCCTTCAGCCTGGGGGGCAGTGGGGTAGTCTAGTGGTTAAAGCGTTGGCTCGTCACGCCGAAGACCCGGGTTCGAATCCCTACATGGGTACAATAAGTGAAGCCCATTTCTGGTGTCCCCCGCCATGATATTGCTGGAATATTGCTAAAAGCGGCGTAAAACCAAACTCAGTCAGTCCTTCAGCCTGGTTCTCGCAAGAGAGAAACCAGCAATGATCAGACCAATATTTCTTGTTGTCATCTGTTCTATAAATGACTTCAATATTTATAAGTCAATTTATTTCATCATGATTGTTTTTGGTACAGTTTGTTTTCCTTTGCTAAATATCTCCTCTGTTTCTGCAGTCAATGTTTGATGCAACGCTCAAAGATCGTAAGACGAGTTTCCACCTGGCACCCGGAACGTCGATGTTCATCCACTGGTTGGTGGGGATGGTGTATGTGTTCTACTCCGCATCCTTCATCCTGCTGCTCCGGGAGGTCCTGCGACCGGGGGTGCTCTGGTTCCTCCGAAACCTCAACGACCCCGACTTCAACCCCATACAAGAGGTTAGAGAAATTCACAAACTTTGTCACAGGCCTTGGGGTTGGATTTGGGGGTGTGTGTCATGGATTTGTTGTGTTTGCTATCAATACATGTGGCCTTTTGTTGGTCATTTTTTCATATGACCATAGCACACTTGTGTAGCATGTGTGTAAGTTGATATGAAGTGTGTACATGTGTAAGTAGTGTTGTTTAGTGTTGGGAATTGGTTAAAATCTCATAATTGATGATTGGTCCATTACAACCGATCAATCATCGAAAATAATTGGTTAGCATCATTTATCAAATGTTCCTGTTGTCTTTGTAAAAAATAAAGAAAAAACGTAGTAATTTTTTGTTGTTGGCAAATTAAACAAAATCCATTTGCAAATTTTGCATATTTAAAGGATTATTAGTATGTTAGGAACACAGATTTCCTGGATTCTTTAAGATATATTCAATCATATCTTGGAACGAGCTTGTTGTGCTTATGACATGTAAATTTAATGACACAGACAAAAGCACACTTGTGAAAAATATTGTTGATGCAGCATGTGTTCCAAGATTGGTTGCATTCGATTATGAGAAAACATGTTCGATTGCTTGGTCGTTTAGTCACTGCGACCAATCTTGGATTATTTCAATTAATCAGATCACCACTAGTGTTGTTGCGGATGTTGGTACAGGTATGATGTGCTTTGTTTCAGATGATTCATCTACCTGTGTACAGACATGTCCGCAGATTTGTGGCGTCCGTGGTGAGTTCACCTCCCTTCATACAGTCAGCATTCATCGCTCAATAATGCACATTATCTTAGTGAGAATTTGTACAACAATCTACTGCCTGCCTACAGGTTGGATAGATGGGACAACACATCTGTGTGGCCAGCAGGACCACAGCATTGTCCCATGAAGCAAGGCTGATAGCATTTAGTGATTAAAAATCAGTAAAGGTTAAGAATTTGATTTGAGACATCCTACTTTGTAGCATCACACAGAATGTCAGCAGTGTAAACAGTGATACTTAAACATTATGAAGAAAATGAAAACCACAACTTAGAATATTCAGACATAACTTGAACTCTGTTTCTATCTTTCTTTCTTTGTTTTCAGATTATATTTGGCAGCACAGTGCTGTTGATGCTATGGCTGCCAGTGAGGGTCATCCCGAAAGCTGTTTCCAACATTCCTGCCATATCATGTCATGCTCTCCAGGTCAGTGTGACCCAGGGTGATGTCAGTGTGACCTAGGTTCATGTGAGCTTGATCCCTGGTCATATCAGCAGAGTTATTGACCCTTTTGATGAAATCTGGAAATATGTTACTCCAACCCTCAAGGACAGACTATGTGTTGTGTTGTAGTGATACCCCTGTGTTGACATGTACCTCTTGTGTTGTAGTGATGCCCCAGTGAGTGAGCTGTCCTTGGAGTTGCTGCTGCTGCAGGTGGTGTTGCCGGCACTGCTGGAACAGGGACACACAAGACTGTGGTTGAAGGGTCTCGTGCGAGGGTGGACGCTGGGGGTAGCATACATCCTCAGTCTACGGTCGTATCTCATCGGAGACATACAGTTTCAGGAAGGGGTAAGTGGCACAGATTCATTTCTCAACCTTGTAGAATTTTAGGATTACCCCCTGTATCTTCAAGGTCAGTGTAGAAGAATAATGTGTGAAGATCGAGGTTAGAATTGGCTAACCATTCGGCTGGTCAGGCTTCCTGACTTGGTGGAAACATGTCATAGTATCCCAATTACATGGATAGATGCTCATGACGTCAATCACTGTATAGTCTGGTCATAGGACTCCCATTGTTTACAGACCAGCATCATGTAGCAGGATGGGATTGGTGGTCAGGCTCACTGACTTGGTTGACACATGTCATTCGGTTCCCAATTGCGCAGATCGATGCTCCTGCTGTTGATCACTGGATTGTCTGGTCCACTGGATTATTTACAGACCGCCGCCATATAGCTGGAATATTGCTGAGTGTGGCATAAAACTAAACTCACTCTGCGCAATTGGGAACCGATGACATGTGGCAACCAAGTCAGCGAGCCTCTGATTATTTACATGTCATGCCACCGGAATATTGTTTCGTTGAACAACCAATCCATGAGTTAATGACTTTATACTTCTGTTGCAGGATGAGGTTGTTCATGGAGATCACCCTGTCCCCCCTCCTCCTCCTCCCCCTCCTGCACAGGACAATGCTGCAGCAGCAGGTGCTCCTCCCCCAGCCCCACCCCAGCCCCCCCAGCAGGTTCCAGGGGAGGGTCTGGGTGCGGCACACCAAGCCATGCTCCAAGGGGGAGGGCCAACTGGTTTCCAGCCTTACATCAGACCCACGCTCTTTACTGTCAAGGTGAGTCACAGTGAGGGAACCCGAGAACATCCGGGTTAAAATTGGTCTTCAACAACCCATGCTGGTCGTAAGAAGTGACTGACAGGATCACGTGGTCAGGCTCACTGACTATGCTTGTCGTAAGACGCGCTGACTGGATCACGTGGTCAGGCTCGCTGACATGTCATCGGATCCCAATTGGATCGATGGTCATGCTGTTGATCACTGGATTGTCTGGTCCAGACTCGATTATTTACAGACTGCCGCCATATAGCTGGAATATTGCTGAGTGCAGCGATGAACAAGAACAAACCAACACACAGAGGGACATGCATATATCATGTTACACAAATGATATTCTGAGAATAGTATCGCCATATTAGATATGACCCTGTGGTCACACTTCTCAGTAACCGTTATTCATCGCACAATCACAGTACAGTTCTGTCAAAGGAATATAATATACACCACTGTTGCAGTGATTAGAACAGGGAATGAACGAACGAGTTACTCACTAACGAAGGAACAATTGAACATTCAAAATAACAAAGTTACTGATTATGCTGTCTCAAAAATAGTCAACCAATTATCAGTTACATGAAATATTTCACTATTGTTTTCTTATCACAATGATGTTTGACTATTCCTGTATTTTCAATGACCTGTCTTCACCACAAATGATTTACATGGTATGAAAAAGGCACTACTTTTATTATGCTGATTAGACTACTTCTTGCCTAACGCTTCCAGTAAGGGCAGATAACTCTGTATCAACTGCAGCAGTATCACACCAGAATTGTATTCATAGTTTCAAATATTATTTCCCCAAATTAGGAAATGTCTGAAATGTGGATTACGTTTGTAAAGTAATATAATATAGAGATTAATGTACAATCAGGAATAGAAAATATCCATGACAAAGAAGTTTTGTTCTTATATATATATATTGAATTGATGATATTGAAGCACACTTGTTAGGTGATCTTGGTTTTTGAGATCTGACGGGTTTTTATTGTGTTTCAGGTCATCTTGCTGGTAGTACTCATGTGTGTGACGCTGTTTGGTGCTAGTCTTGTCTCACTTGTTCTTCCAGGTACGTTCACAGGCTTCATGTCTGGTAACAATCTCAGGGGCAGTGAGGTAGCCTTTTGGTTAAAGCATCTTAATCATGCTACAGACTTGATTTCGATTCCCCTGATGGGTACAATGTGTGAAGCCCATTTCTGGTGTCCCCGTCGTGATATTGCTGGCATATTGCTGAAAGCTGCATAAAACCATACTCACTCACTCACTCACTGTAACAATCTAACTGAGAGACCTGCAAAATTGTTATCTGAGTCGAGTGGAGCAGTGGAGTGGAGCATATCTTGCTTGCAGCTGAATAAGGCCAAATCTGAAATGACACTCTAATATTGCATCAAATTAGTTGTCATTCATAAATTGTGTCTACCAGTACATTGCTATCAGTCATCTTCTTTTAAATGCATGTCAAACAATTAATGTTTGACTTGTTTGTGTCCAGTATTTGTAGGTCGGCGGTTGATGTCGATATGGATGGGCGATGCGAAGATCCACGAGCTGTACACAGCAGCGTGTGGTCTGTACGTGTGTTGGTTGATGCTGAGGATCAGCACAGTCCTATATAACTGGATACCTCAAGGATCAGCAGCCATCTTCACCAAACTGAAAAACTGGGCATTGTTGGTGAGCAAATATGTATCATACTGCAACACTGTGCCGATACGGTGTATATACCATAGGGGCACAAAGTGATGTTGTTATCATTGAAAGTTTTGAGTTTCATCGATGTTTGAACAATGGTTGTTCACTACCACTCAATCTCTGAAAACAGATTTTATTTTCTATTCTTAGTTTTACTGAGCACCTCCATCTGCCAATTTTCTAGTCATCCCTGGACACATATTATCGTGAATGCGATACTTCACTTGAATGAGAGTGGATCTGACTTTGTCTGAGATATGCCTCTGTTCACCCAGCAGTAATATTGGTGCCTGGTAGAATGAGATGACAGTGTGACTGTGTACTCGCTAGCTCCTGACAAGGCACCATGTGTTGTATGATCCTAGGGGAGCTGAGAATGAAAGAATGAGATGACAGTGTGACTGTACTCACTAGCTCCTGACAAGGCAGCATGGGTTGTATGATCCTAGGGGAGCTGAGACTGAAAGAATGAGATGACAGTGTGACTGTGTACTCACTAGCTCCTGACAAGGCAGCATGGGTTGTATGATCCTAGGGGAGCTGAGACTGAAAGAATGAGATGACAGTGTGACTGTGTACTCACTAGCTCCTGAAAAGGCAGCGTGGGTTGTATGATCCTAGGGGAGCTGAGAATGAAAGAATGAGATGACAGTGTGACTGTGTACTCACTAGCTCCTGACAAGGCAGCATGGGTTGTATGATCCTAGGGGAGCTGAGAATGAAAGAATGAGATGACAGTGTGACTGTGTACTCACTAGCTCCTGACAAGGCAGCATTGGTTGTATGATCCTAGGGGAGCTGAGAATGAAAGAATGAGATGACAGTGTGACTGTGTACTCACTAGCTCCTGACAAGGCAGCATGGGTTTTATGCTCCTAGGGGAGCTGAGAATGAAAGAATGAGATGACAGTTTGACTGTTAACTCTCTAGCTTCTGACAAGGCAGCATGGGTTATATGCTCCTAGGGGAGCGGAGAATGAAAGAATGAGATGACAGTGTGACTGTTAACTCTGTAGCTCCTGACAAGGCAGCATGGGTTGTATGATCCTAGGGGAGTTGAGAATTAAAAACAAGTGGAGACTGTTCCTCTCACCAGGATGATAATTAATATTACAGTATTCTCCATACACCTTGTGCGTGGAGGGTGGTGCTTTATTGGCAACATTATGTTTTGTTGTTATCATGATGATGATGATGATGATGACAACGATGGCAAAAAACACGGTGATGATGATATTGATGATGACGACCTACTTTTATTCTGAGATTTTAACTGTTACTGTCGCCAAAAGGACTTGTATGGTCTTACAGTGCTGTCCACATGTATAGACTGTACATGATATATGTATTCCTTGTGCTGCAGGCCTTGAAGTGTCTCCTCATCGCGGGTCTCCTCATCGGGATGGTGCCCCTCTTGTTGGGCCTTCTCCGTTCGTTCCATTCCACTGTTCCATTCCATGTCCTCCACCAAGTCATTTCATCCATTCCATTCCTCCACTACTCCATCCACCACTTGTCCACTAGGTTTCCCATTTTTGTCCCTGTCCACTGTCCATTTTCCTGTCCATGTTTATTTTTCCATTTTTCCATGCATTTTTATGTCCATTTTCCTTGTTATTCTCCACACGTTACTGTGTCCTTTATTTTTCCATTACGTGGTCCGTTATTCTGTCCATTATGTCCATGCCTTGTCCATTTTTGTCCACTGTGTCCATTTTTGTGCCTTGTGTTGCGTTGTGCATTGTGCAGTGTCATTTTCCTTGATCCTGGGTTGTGTCCGTTGTGCCTTGTCCATCCACATTTTGTCTTCGTTGTGTCCATTCTGTGTTGGGTGTGTGATTCGTTTATTTTTCCTGTGTCGTTGTGTGTGTGCCATTGTGTTGTGTCCATTCCTTCCTTGTGCCTGGTCCTTGTCATGTGTGTGTGTGCTGGATTGTCTGATCTGGATTTGATTGTTTTTACACTGTTTTTACATTGTTGGAATATCGCTTATTGTGGTGTATTTGTGACGTGGTTGATGGCTTATCATCATACCCAGACAGCATGAATATCAGCTTGGATTCTCCAGTGTGTCTTGTCTCCTGTCTCCTATGATACGATACCCAGGATCTTGTAAACCATTGTGTGTAAAGATTGGTCATCTGCTTCTGTTGAATGTATTAATCAATTGTGCTACTTCATGAAGAGGCATTTTAATTGGTGACTGGGTCTTGGGTGTGATATAATTCTATAGTAAGTTAGTGCTACAAGGGCTAAGTTGGTGAGTAACTGTGAGATGACTCTGAATGTACTACCTGGGTACTGAGACCTCTCTTACCTGACCCCCCATGGGTACCCACTGTAGGGCTCAAGAGATGAATACAGAATGTCTGATTGGTAGTTGTTTGATGAGGGATTCAAGTATAAAACGATCTGGTCATGGATTCACTGAGGATGACTGGAGTTTTAAGTTTATGGGGCAACTCGGTCCAGGGTATTTATAGAAGTAGAGTGGAGATTTAATACACTGGGAAATTGGGTACCTGGACAAAGAGTGTCGGTGTACTCTCAGCAGCTGGTGATCAAACTGGTGACCGTGAGCGGTAGTGGTAGCAGCAGCAGTTGTAGTAGTGTGAGCTGTAGCAGTAGTTGCAGTAGCAGAAGAAGTAGTAGTGTGGGCTGTAGCAGTAGTTGCAGTAGCAGAAGAAGTAGTGTGAGTTGTTGCAGTAGAAGAAGTAGTAGTAGTGTGAGCTGTAGCAGTAGTTGCAGTAGAAGAAGTAGTAGTGTGAGTTGTTGCAGTAGAAGAAGTAGTAGTAGTGTGAGCTGTAGCAGTAGTTGCAGTAGCAGAAGAAGTAGTAGTGTGAGTTGTTGCAGTAGAAGAAGTAGTAGTAGTGTGAGCTGTAGCAGTAGAAGAAGTAGTAGTAGTGTGGCTGCAGCAGTAGTTGCAGTAGAAGAAGTAGTAGTAGTGAGTTGTTGCAGTAGAAGAAGTAGTAGTAGTGTGAGCTGTAGCAGTAGTTGCAGTAGCAGAAGAAGCAGTAGTGTGAGCTGTAGCAGAAGAAGTAGTAGAAGAAGAGCTAAAGCAGTAGCAGAAGAAGAAGTAGTAGTAGTGTGAGCTGTTGCAGTAGTTGCAGTAGAAGAAGTAGTAGTAGTGTGAGCTGTAGCAGTAGTTGCAGTAGCAGAAGAAGCAGTAGTGTGAGCTGTAGCAGTAGCAGTAGCAGTAGTAGTAGCTGTGAGCTGCAGCAGTAGCAGAAGAAGAAGTAGTAGTGCTGTAGCAGTGTAGCAGAAGAAGCAGTAGTAGCTGTAGCAGTAGTTGCAGTAGCAGAAGAAGCAGTAGTAGTAGTGTGGCAGTAGTAGCAGAAGCAGTAGTAGTAGTGAGTGTAGCAGTAGTTGCAGTAGCAGCAGAAGAAGAAGCAGTAGTAGTGTAGCAGCTGTTGCAGTAGCAGAAGAAGTAGTAGTAGTGTGAGCTGTAGCAGTAGTTGCAGTAGCAGAAGAAGCAGTAGTGTGAGCTGTTGCAGTAGCAGAAGTAGTAGTAGTGTGAGCTGTAGCAGTAGAGCAGTAGCAGAAGAAGCAGTAGTGAGCTGTAGCAGTAGTAGCAGTAACAGAAGAAGCAGTAGTGTGAGCTGTAGCAGTAGCAGAAGAAGTAGTAGTAGTGTGGGCTGTAGCAGTAGTTGCAGTAGCAGAAGAAGTAGTAGTGTAGCTGTTGCAGTAGCAGAAGTAGTAGTAGTGTGAGCTGTAGCAGTAGTTGCAGTAGCAGAAGAAGTAGTAGTGTGAGCTGTAGCAGTAGTTGCAGTAGCAGAAAGAAGTAGTAGTGTGAGCTGTAGCAGTAGTTGCAGTAGCAGAAGAAGAAGCAGTAGTGTGAGCTGTAGCAGTAGTTGCAGTAGCAGAAGAAGAAGTAGTAGTGTGAGCTGTAGCAGTAGTTGCAGTAGCAGAAGAAGAAGCAGTAGTGTGAGCTGTAGCAGTAGTTGCAGTAGCAGAAGAAGTAGTAGTAGTGTGAGCTGTAGCAGTAGTTGCAGTAGCAGAAGAAGTAGTAGTGTGAGCTGTAGCAGTAGCAGTAAGAAGAAGCAGTAGTGTGAGGGCTGTAGCAGAAGAAGAGAAGTAGTAGTGTGCAGTAGTTAAGTTGCAGTAGCAGAAGAAGCAGTAGTAGTAGTGTAGCAGAAGAAGCAGTAGTGGGCTGTTGCAGTAGTAGCAGAAGAAGTAGTAGTAGTGTGAGCTGTAGCAGTAGTTGCAGTAGCAGAAGAAGCAGTAGTGTGAGCTGTAGCAGTAGTTGCAGTAGCAGAAGTAGTAGTAGTGTGAGCTGTAGCAGTAGTTGCAGTAGCAGAAGAAGCAGTAGTGTGAGCTGTTGCAGTAGCAGAAGTAGTAGTAGTGTGAGCTGTAGCAGTAGTTGCAGTAGCAGAAGAAGTAGAAGTGTGAGTTGTTGCAGTAGCAGAAGTAGTAGTAGTGTGAGCTGTAGCAGTAGTTGCAGTAGCAGAAGAAGTAGAAGTGTGAGTTGTTGCAGTAGCAGAAGTAGTAGTAGTGTGAGCTGTAGTAGTAGTTGCAGTAGCAGAAGTAGTAGCAGTGTGAGCTGTAGCAGTAGTTGCAGTAGCAGAAGAAGAAGCAGTAGTGTGAGCTGTAGTAGTAGTTGCAGTAGCAGAAGAAGTAGTAGTGTGAGCTGTAGCAGTAGTTGCAGTAGCAGAAGAAGTAGTAGTAGTGTGAGCTGTAGCAGTAGTTGCAGTAGCAGAAGAAGAAGCAGTAGTGTGAGCTGTAGTAGTAGTTGCAGTAGCAGAAGAAGAAGTAGTAGTGTGAGCTGTGTAGTAGCAGAAGAAGTAGTAGTAGTGTGAGCTGTAGCAGTAGTTGCAGTAGCAGAAGAAGAAGTAGTAGTGTGGGCTGTTGCAGTAGCAGAAGAAGTAGTAGTGGGGCATTAGCAGTAGTTGTAGGAGCAACAGTAGCAGAGGAGGAAGTAGTCATAGTGTGAGCAGTTGTTGTAGTTGAAGGAGGAGCAGTAGTAACATGTTTGTAAATCCTCTCCATACAATGTGTTAAATAATTCACTAAGACAAACTTGTTTATTTTCAGATACCTTGTTGGTCAAAGATTGGTAAATTACGATCCTTTGAACAACGTGCTTCATTCACATACAAGTTCCCCAGAACAAGAAGCAACATGATTGGTTAATGCAGCTGTCAGTTTCTTTGTTACGGAGATATCCATTGGTTGCTGTCACTCATTGTTGTCATGGAAACATGTCCATCCACTTGCTACAGTTTCACCACGGGAGTCCTGAGTTTGGACCTAAGTAATGAAACAGTATGCACTTTTTACTGTATATATGAAGAAAGAGGGTGTTTTAGAGTATCCAAAAGGCATACAACTTTTGTGGGAACTCTGGCTTCCTGTGGTATGACTGTCTGAGAGATGGCAGCCATTGTGGCTGTTGGCAAGGTGTCAGTGTTTTGTGCAATTTGTTGGATGCTGTAGTCATGTATATGGCAGAGGTGTGATAGAGAGAGGGGTTGTTTCAACACTTTTAAAACATGAATAATATTTTAGTTGTTTCCCGAAAACATTACAGACAGAAATTATTAAAAATAATATATATTGTGTAGGCGAAGTTTTCTGGTTTGTTTGATGGTGAGAAAGCTCTCTGACACAATAAAGGCCCTTGTTTAAATCACCATGTGGGGATGATGTGTGAAGACCATTTCTGGAGTCCCGTTCTTGATGTTGCTGGAATGTTGGTGAACATCGCTTAAAACCAGACTCAGAATTCAGAGCTTTGGGCAAAAACATGCTACATAACAGCCATCTCAAAACCTTCATCATGTCCACACTTGTATGAATAGTTTGACAGGGAAAGCCTTACATTCACATGATACAGCCTCCGTGTCCCCCCAGACATGTGAATCTATGGTGAATCTAATGATGTACATGTTTCAGACAGAAATTACTCGGAAGCTGGGGTTTCTGGACAAAAGAGTTTCTATTTTGGAGAGGTTCTTTCGTGTATGATCTCATGCTTCAAGTATCACATTTTGATATTTCATGGCTCAAAACATATGGCTACATGAAATTGTTCTGTTCAGCAAAATATATACATTAATTACTCGTTGCTATGGTGAGAGATAGTGCTGGCTAAAATGGTCGATACTCTGAAATATCGTCACTAATAAAAATTATGATTGATTATCGATATGAAAATTGTGTTATCAGTGGTATCGTATGTAATCGTTTGTGACAGAATGAAGTTTTAATTTACTCACACAATACAGATAGGTATTCATTCATGGGCTTCTTCTAAATTTTGTTCAGGACTCTATTCTTTTAGTAATCCATGCATAAACATGTCACCACTTGCCAGTGATGTGATCTATGTTCATTTGTTTCAGAATGTTTTGGCATGTTTGCTCAAAGTTACTCCTCCAATATTTATCTATATTTGATCGATATTTAGTTAATGATTATCGATTTCTATGATTGATACCGATAACCTGCCCCAGTGAGAGAAAGGTGTTGAAGCAGCCCCTTCAGAGTTTCTGTGATTGGTTTGAGTGTGTTAAGGTCTTCATTGCTTTGAGGGTTGTTGATTATAAAATTCATAGATGCACAGAACTTTTCAAAGCAATTCATAATCATGGAGCAGACCACAGTTCAAAGGTGGTTCACTCCGTGAATTTCACAAAAATGTCCTGTGATGGAGGCGTCTAGGAAGTATGAACACACTAGTATAGTTGTTTTATTATTTTTCATCCAAAATTGCCCCGAGGCACAATGAGAAAATTTGTTTACTTTGACTAAATATACTACAGCATTGTCTTTTACTTTAATTTAGTTTGACAAAAAGATCTACCTTTGGCGTGGGCAGGGTGAGGACATTTCCTTTCTCTTTATTTTTTGTTTACCCCAGCATTGTGTATTCGTTGTCATCTGATCAAGATATAGACATTATTAGTCACCCACATGAAAAAAGATCAGATCAGTGGGACCCCCCAAATTTAATTTAATTAAGGATGAAGACCCTGCCCCTCATCAGTTTGAAACGAAATGTCTGAGATGCATTTAAATAATTTTTACACCAATACTATTATTTTCAAGATGTTTACATTTCAACACAAATTGTGTTCTATCTGACACAACTATTGTGAAAATATTTGAATTTTTCGTAACTCACAGGTGTCTAAAAATGTTTAAAATGGTAGATTGAACCTTTTTCCAGCTTTGAACAAAACATGTATTGATTTGTATCAGTACTGTCTTGACCAGGGGAGAATTGTGAAACTATCAAAAAGACGTTACGGACCATGTGATTCTTTCCACACCTGACATCAGTCATACGAAAGAATCGTGTGGTCTTCAAATTGAGTAGTGTATTTTCAATCAGATATGTACTATTCAGACTGAATATGTAATATATTGAAACACAAGTACTATTTTCATCTGTTTTGAAATCATGTTTGTGGAACCATCTCAGTGATACCTAAACAGAAATTTGCCAAGATTTCTCAGTAATTAATGTACATGTTATATGTATTTGTACATATGATGATAATTATTAGTATTATGAATGTGTCTTTTGTCTGAGGAGTCAGTAGTGTTGTTATTTCATTCAGTTCAAGAGAAAATGGACGCAACCATGTTTTAATATTCTGCCAAGACGTTCGTCTTTCACCTTGTGTTCCTTTATGTCTTACGATGTGAGTTTGTTGATAAGAAATGAATGTAAGATGGACAATAGCACCTATTGTTATGTAATCAGGAAGGTTAAGAGTCCGCTTAGTTGCTGAAGCAAACATTTTCTTGGAGTGAGAATGTTTTATTCGCTCTACCAACAAATATCGGAGCAGAGTCATATCAGACCAACATGTCCGTAACTGTAGTTACCGATTAACTTTTATCGTCAGCATGAACATTCTTTCACATAGACCCAACACTAATTTACTTGGACTATCGGGTAACAGTTCTCAGAAAACGGTATGTACTGATGCCATTATTTTATGGGGCCCTAAGTTTCTTGAGTACACTGATTGTATGAGTTAGAAGATGAAAGAAATTTCTATTTGACATTTCGTCAGTAGAACAGAGTAAACAGTGTAAGGCTTGTAATGGCTGCAAGCATTGTTTGCTGATAAGAGTTTATATAGGTAGACAAGTTAAATAAAATTCAAGAATAATTTGTGAAAGTGGGCATTTCATTCATTATTATTTTTAACCTTTTGGATTAAATTTAGAGGAAGCGTGTCAGTAAAACATCAATTGGTCCAATCTAATCATGGGGTCCTGTCAAAGATTCAGGAGCTTGGAGATGGATTCTGTGAAGAAAATAAGTTGGGTGAGGCTACATTGATGGACTCCTCTATAACTGTCATCTCCATACAGACACTGGTAATGGTGTCAAACTTATTTTGCTGTGTGACTTATGGTCCTTGTTCCACAACATTAAAACTGCATTGATAAAATTCACTCAATCAAATATTACAAAAGATTGAAGTAAGAACAGATACATTAAGTATTATTTCATTTTTGATTTATGAATTCAATTTGTAATACGATTATTTATGGAGGATAAGCTTATTACAAAAGATTGAAGTAAGAACAGAAAAACAAAGTGTACATTTAATTGAATCGGTACTTAGTAGGGGCTTGAGCATCATTTAATTGTTTTACCTTTTGTGTGTAGTATAATTGTTAGCATTAACCCAGGGCTGACTACCTCTATCAGTGGAATAAGGAGAGTGGCTCTGTGTAGCTGTGCTATGGGCACCTCCTGCGAGTCTCTCGGTGTACAACGTAAGTGTTAATCTTGCCAGACCTCGTATCCTAGTGACTGAAGCAGCTAGGTATGGCTGTTCTTCCACAACTGGTCATGGTAGGCAGGAAAATGGAGATGTTCGATTGTGGGTATATGCCGGTGGTGATCAGGTGGGTTACCATGGTTACAGGACATTCTGACTTTTGTTTGCTTCTGAGGATGTGTATTGAGTATCCAAACAATTTGAAAGAATTATGGAGGATGTATTCTAAATTTTAAAAACAAGAAGAAATGTTTCATGATTTACTATAATCTTCAATTTTTGATGAATTAAGGCATGATTGTGTTTGACACAAAGTAAAAACTTCTAATTGTAATATTAATATTAATAATAAGTTGAAATTTTCCACTGAATGGTGTATATGTGTTTGACAATTTGTGGAAATTTGACCTGGGGAATGGTTAAAGATACTTTGTACATTCAACAGCTTTGTCACAATGGAGAGACGTCCTTGGGGGGATGACCAATCATTTTAAATGAATAGAATGTCCGTTACAAACAGTATGTCTATCTGATGACCAAACGCCAAATATAAGTTGACCTGCATACTGTTATGTCCATTACTAAACACCGATTGTTGTTTGATCATCTGTTACATTAGAGGGACGTTCTGTGTGAAGGTCATTCACTACTAGTCCAGATTACCTGCGTAATTGGCAGAAAAAAATGTAATATGTGTGCTATTTATTCATGTTTGCTGTCATGTCATGAAACCTGTACATTAAAAAAAATGGAATAAATCTTGAAATATGTTTTGTGGATTTTGTCTCTTGTAAACAAGACATTATGAGTACCCTTAATCCTGATACAGTGAAAAGTGGTGAGTAATTTTGTATTTCCCCGAATCCCAAGAAAATACTCAACATTACAATCTGAGGACCGCTTGTTTCCATTATATTTCATAAAATGTCATGTCAAATTGTATGCCACTAATTCTTTCAGCAGATCTTGGGACTTATGAAGATCTGAGTTAAAACTGATCTTCAGTAACCCACGCTTGTCTTGGGCGACTATCGGGTGGCCAGGCTTGGTTGATGCATGTTAACGTATCGCAGTTGCATAGATCGATGCTCATTATGTCAATCACTGGATTGTCTGAGTTATTTTCAGACCACTATCATTTAGCTGGAATATTGCTGAGTGTGGCATGGTGTTAAACAACATAAAACAGATGTGCCCTGGCATATCAGCCTCATCATGCAAATGAAGGAAGAAATGGGATGGGAGATAAACCCACAGGTGAATCCATCTTAGGACTTAGCCACACCTGGGGGATGCAAGTTCACCATAGACGTACAACATATCAGCCTCATCATGCAAATGAAGGAGGAAATGGGATGGGAGATAAACCCACAGGTGAATCCATCTTAGGACTTGGCCACACCTGGGGGATGCAAGTTCACCACAGATGTAGAACATATCACAACAGCTGAGTGTTTGGGAGAACAATTCCACTAGGAAAACTGTCTAAAAACCTCAATTCAGAACAAGAAGACAGGAAGTGTAATTTATTTCTGACATAAAGTCATGTAAAAAGCACTACATTAAATACACACGAACATAGAATAACAAGAACAGGATCTTGATGACAATAATGAATGTCATGCACAAAAGGTCAGTCTCACAACCAGATGAGTAACAAATACATGTACACTAGGCAGTATTACACCTACATGACAGTGGTTTGGTGTTATTGGTTCCAGACCCGACAATGCAGTGACTGATATGGGAGCATTGAAACACGCCCTTTGGGTACAAGGATATGCTATCAAGTTGGACCATCTGAGTTTGGACTTACTATATATAGTAGCTGGGAGCCAAAGTTTACCCACACTCCTCAGCATGGGATGGAGGAATTTTGTGTTTAACGCCGCTCTCGGCAATATTCTATATCTATGGCGATGGGATGGATGAGTTGTCACCCGTGAAGTGCATGTGATATTGATAGGCTGTTCATATATTACACTAGACCACATTGGTGTCAAGCTTTAGTGAGTATGTGGGTTTAGTTTTACGTAGCTTTTAGCAATATTCCAGCAAAATCGCGGCAGGGGAACCCGGGTCTTCTGCGTGATGAGCGAACCCTTTTAACTACTAGGCTACCCCACCGCCCCCAGCTGCAGATAATGACTGTATCTTCCACACAGTTTTCCATTGGTAGTCTTTGGAGATGATGCACTCAACATTTGTTGTATCCAGGGAATCCGTGATCAGGGTCGGTCGGTGGATTTGTTCAAACACCTTACGTGTCCACTTGTTTCTGTTCACCTTGTGACTTTGGTACATGACTCCATTTTTGAAAATCCTGAATGCACCTCTACAAGGCTCAGAGGTTCTGGGTTCTGGGTCCACATGCACAAATCGATCTTATCCGAGACATTGTAATACCATTGTGTAACATGGACCTACAATAGTTGTAGAGCTGTGACTGTTTTGTGCATGTGAACCATTGAAAGATATGCACGGAGTCTCATCCCTACTACAAAATCAGATCATTTCTCTGTGGGAACTACGAGGCTCACTTCCACCCCCTACATAAACTATGTATTGACTGAATTCCAAGACAGGTTCCTTCTGTTCATAACTCCCACATTGGCACAATGTGTGAACCCCATTTCTGGTTTCCCCCACCGTGATGTTGCTGGAATATTGCTAAAAGCGGCGTAAAACCAAACTCAGTCAGTCAGTCAGTCTGTTCATAACTTCCTACCACTTCATGAAGAATGTAACGACTGAAATCCATGCGAGTTTACTAATATTTTGTTTTATTCATATGTATTTCACATTTCTTCAGTTCAAGAGATTCAACACATATTGGCTTTGGTGATTTATGAATATATTTGCAGGAAGATGCCAAACGGTTTTGGTGCAGCTCTACTGAAAACCAGAAACAACTCAGACCATGTGTTTGTTGAATTGGCAGAAAGAGATTCCAGCTGCAATATTCATGAAAAATATTGCCACTGAAAGTCACATGATCTGAAACACCTTTAACTGGAACCACAAAATTAATAGTTGAGACCAGATCAGGCCATTGTCTGAGACAAGAACCCACTTTTGGTGGAAAACCACCAATATGGTATCCACACTTAACAAGAAGTGAGCGAGTCTGGTTTAATGGCACTGTAACCTATATTGGAGTAAATTCATGAACACCAGAAATAGGCTTTGCACACTGTACCCATGAAGGGAATCAAACCCAGACCTTTGGCATGATGAGCGAACGCTTCAACCACTAGGCTATCCCACCGCCTCTACTTAACAAGAAATATCTGGCTTAAGAAGTAAACTCATGTTGTCAATGATCAGCAACAGTGAAATTCGTAACAATATCCTTCCAACATACTGGTTGTATTTGTCTAAAACTGCATGTTAATACCATTAATACAAAAAAAACAGCATGTTTCATAAAAATTGCAAAACCAAGATAACATGACAAAATGTCATGCAGTATGATGTAAGTCAAACTGCCTACAGCGCTGTCAACCCTCCATGCCACAAACTGATGCAATGACTGTCGTAAAAACATCTTTGATGGAGAATTTGTGATGGGTAAATGAATGTTAAGTTGTGACAGTCGTTATGCTAAGGCAGCTTTGTGAAGCTGGGCCCCATCCTGAAAGTTGGGACATTGTTTATTGTAATACCATGATGTTTCAATCACTTATAGTTGAACTTGACCTTGAGGAGGTACCTCATCTTGATTTGTGCCGTGTCGTAAACGATAAACTCGTTGTAGTTGAGTGTGTAGCCATGAGGATTCGTGGTCCCTGTGTCAGTACCCTTTCCAATAGGAACAGTTGTACCACATGACCTGTGGAAGAAACAAAACCAGTCAATGTAATTACCTGAGTGAGTGAAAATATTACGTTGGCTGAATTTCAACCTGTGGTACAAAGATATTACATTGCTTGACTGACCTAATTAATTTTAAAATTCACATTCACCAAACATTCAAGAAATGCTACTGGTTATCAGTAAGAAGAAGCTCCATGTGGGAAGTGAACCTATCTTCTGACAGATGAACTAACACCTTCACCATTGGACTACCTTATCTCACTTTGATCACACTCATGGTCTGTTGGACAGAGTGGAGGCTTGAGAAATGGAAAGTCACTGGTTTGATTCCCAGCTACATCAAACCCATCCTCCTTATCTTCTAGGCAACCATTTTGATGATCCCACTCTAACTCCTTGATATATTCCCATGGTTCTCATGCTCAATTACCTCCCTTTGATTTCAATTTGGTAATTTTATAGAATAATCACAAACCTGCCTCAATGTTAGGTTGGCAGTATCAACAACATGGCAGCCAGTCCCAATGATTATTATTGAATTTGTGACAAATTCAACATTGAAAAGCTTACTGACACGTAAAAGAAACCCTCAAACACTTTTTGATAGAAAGGATGTGCAATAAATTTGCAGGTGGCTTTGATGTAGAACTAGTTACCTCCCTTCCCCTTTCCCCTATGTCAACATCTGACTGGTTGATAAAATGGGGGAGTGAGTGAATTTGGCTTTGCTTCACCTTCAGCACTATTCCAGCAATATCACAACAGATATTCCAGAAAAGGACACAACACAATGTGCCCTGTTTTAATGGGGGCTGTGGGAGCAAAATCAAGGCAAAAGGGCTTGAGGCTGTACCCCCATTCCCTATACTACTACACAACACTAACCAGTGTTTTCAACATGACAAGCAACCACCACAGCATCCCTCCACAAGAGGAGGCATGTTTATAGCCAAAATCATCATATCCAGTCCAACACATCACAATGCATACTTATTCTCCTCTCCCTGGGGAGAATACTTACATTGTTTTACTACTCTTGGGGTTCGGCGCTATCTTTCCTGCTCCCTTCACACTGTGTGTCCCTGGTGGTAACTTGGCGGCGTTGTAGTCGGCAGCAAGGAGTTCGTTCACCGAGCCCAGGGATACCTTGTACACAAGGAAATAAGTTAATATTGATCCAAATTCTCAAAGTGACAACAGTGACATTCTTAACTGTCATACTTTAAAGGGGGGAGTCCACATTATGAACTGTCATACCTTAAAGGGGGGAGTCCACTTCTTAACTGTCATACCTTAAAGGGGAGTCCACTTCTTAACTGTCATACCTTAAAGGGGAGTCCACTTCCTTAACTGTCATACCTTAAAAGGGGAGTCCCATTCTTAACTGTCATACCTAAAGGGGAGTCCACATTATGAAGGGGAGTCCACTTTCTTAACTGTCATACCTTAAAGAGGGGGAGTCCACATTCTTAACTGTCATACCTTATGAACTGTTATACCCTCCACATTCTTAACTGTCATACCTTGTCCACATTCTTAACTGTCATACCTTAAAGGGGGAGTCCACATTCTTAACTGTCATACCTTTAAAGGGGAGTCCACATTTTAACTGTCATACCTTAAAGGGGGAGTCCACATTCTTAACTGTCATACCTTAAAGGGGAGTCCATATTCTTAACTGTCATACTTAAGAGGGGAGTCCACTTTCTTAACTGTCATATCATCAAGGGGGGGTCCATGTGTGGTGCCAACCTCACATAGTCCTAGATGTATGACAGCATGTGTGTAACCGAGCTATTGTAATAAGGGAGGTATTTACTACCAAATTGCTAAACAAAATAAAACACAAAAGTGGTGTTAAGGACTAGAATATAAAATAACACTTCTGCCAATTACCAAAAGCCTGGTCTCCCTTTAACAACGACCGACAAGAGCTGTAGATGCTCCTGTCTTGAGGCCCAGGCTTATTGATACGGTATGCCAGCTGCCACACACTCACACACTGATCAATAAAGTAGAACCTGCACAAGTCACAAACTGTCCCCACAAGTCTCACAGTACAAGTGGCTGACTGATGCTATTTGATTACTATTTTCATCGGATTCAAGTATTCTAGAACTATTATTCAAAGACATGTAACGAATTTGTATTATGACGAGACTGAATTTTGTCAGGTGTACATGAAAATTCATTTTCAATGACAAAAAGCAGTGCTAGCTGCATTACTTTTTTCCCTGTGAAATATGCATACAATAATCTAAAGCTAGTTCTTCTCACACTTACCTCACACAACAAAAGCAGCCCAATATTTTTTGCTCTTGACGTGAAGCAGTAGTTTGCGCTCTTGCTGGACATATCAGCAAAATACACACCCTTGCCAAACTAGGGAAGAAAACACAAGTGTCAAACTATATTAAACATGAGTGAATGAGCGAGTCAGATATTACTTCAGATTTCAATATTTGTTTGCATTTGTACAAGTATATATACACATAAACTGTTGTACACACTGTGGGGTGACTGGTATCCATGGCAATGACTCTATAACCTTAACAACAACAGACTGCTTTAAGCATTGACACAAAACACTGTAGTCAATAATACAAATGCGACCTTGTTTAATACAATAATGCATCACATGGATACTATGACATAATATGAGAGACTCACTTTCTGATCCTGTCAGTTGTGTCTTACGACAAGGTAGTATAACATAACTTCAGCTGAATGTGTTTACGACACACATGTGTTGAATGTTAGGATCACACACAGTGAACTGAAGGTCAAGGTGACAGACATCACAGAATGCCATCCACCCACACAATAACATTGCTGTTATACTCAGTAGCCATTTAACCCATCCAATCCCCCTAATATTAAGACTGTCCATACCATGTATCCTGTGACGGGAGCCTCGGGTGGAGCGATGCGTAGACCCTGGCTTAGAATACCGACCCAGTTGGTCAACCGCGATCCATGCCACAACAGCATTCTGGGAAAAGGAAGTCAAGGAACAGTTGAATTAGGGCGTACCAGGTGACACTGATCACTATGTTGAAGTTTGAGCGTTACTCGCACGGATCACAGCGACCAGTGATCAAATTGAATGCATAAATTTCCAGAGATCTGCCTAAGGTTTCAAACAAATAATGTGTACCCTTGACAGCTAAATTTGACTTTTGTATTTTGCCAGAATTTTAATATTGTATAATATAATAAAATTGAACTGAGCATTAAAGATTCTAATTCCTTAATGGTCCTGTCAGCACTGAAATAGACATCACCTCTACAAAGCCAAAGCCAGGGCTACAGATAAGGGGCGTACAGGCGTAATATATGCCTCAAAATCAATTAAGTACGACATAATATAAGATTTCAAGCGTATCGTGTACGCACATAAATACCTTTGTACGCCTAACATTTAATTTCCGTATGATCGTGCAAATGGAAATCTATTTTGATAAATACTTGTCAAGTTTCTTTTATAAAAACTTTATTTTACACATGAGGAAACCCCGACAGTAGGAATCCCTTGCGTTGCCATGCAACGATATGCGTCACTATTATTCGATTGGCTAAAAACTGCACTGTTCCTATTTATATCCAGTTGGACCTGACATTTCGAGCATCACACGGTCGCTCAGTTATTTCTCACGCGTCTTCAAATACAAATACATGGTTGAAAATAGTGATCGATGAATCGGCCAGACAAACCACATCACCAACTTGCTCACACAAAAACATGTCAGTAATCCTTCAAAATTCTCAGTACACCTCCACTTGCAATATGATGTGTAAGTACACTCGCACCCCCAAAAGTTATCTGGAGCCCTGCAAAGTAATATCACAGGGGGGGATAGGGCTGGGACGGGTCCAAATGTTCTACTCGGGTATCCCACCCCCTATTACCCTACCCTGATACCCGTTATGTTAATTCCTGACATCAACTTTGTAAGAAATGGCAATATATTCTTCAGCTCGGGAGGCTAAAATTTCAAGGTTTTCAATATCTTAACCATGTATTATATTCAAAACAAGTGACTGTAATTATGTCTAAATCTTCAAAGACAATACAACCTGTTAATCATGAAAGAATAACATATATTACATTGTTTAATATATTAGTTACATGATCATGACCGGTCCGGGTATTGAGACGAGTACCCGGGTCCAACTCATTAACCACCCGTCCCGGGTTACCCATCCCAACCCTAGAAGGGGACACAATGAATAGACAAATTCCACCCGTATTGGGTATCAAATCTATGCCTTTAATCCTGATGAGTTTAATCAATAGGCCATCATTCCAATTCTCTTTGATCCACAGACTAACCTGTTTCCATGGTCCACGAATTTAGCAGCCTCTCCTTCCTTCTGGCAGGCGAAGACGTCGAGTAGCTCCATCTTGTACATGTTGTGTGTGGAGGCGTGGGTGGTCTGGAGGTACTCATTCAGCAGCTGAAGTAGGCCAACATTTGTGGGAATTTACAAAACTGTGGACTAATATATTCAAGCAAATATCAAAGCAGATCTGACACTTAACTCCGTGTCTCATAAATTTTGTTACAATATTCTGTCAGGACACTGAAGTCAAATGATGCAAATCATCTTTGTAGCTATTTTATCCACCATGACACCGAGGCTGATCACCCAATCCACAGTCTCAAGTGTCCATGGATTACCAGTTTTACCTGACCAGTTTTAAGCCATAATTCTCATGAAACAGGCAGAAAGTTCTGCTTCCAGGTTGACAAAGTCCACCAGAGCTGCCATTTTGATCATCTGAAACTCACCTCTTACCACAAGAACAATGTACAGATGGCAGTTAGACATGGCAGACATGTTTAGTTTTGTATATTTCATTCAAATCACAGTCACCAACCAACAAATTTCAGAATTTTAGTTGCTCTGGAACGTACCTTGAAATCTGCATGACCCTTGCTCAGTGGGTCAAGGCCACATTTGAGTGAATGGTAGTGTCTGTCCACGGGATTCTCCGACATGTCGCCTTGCTTCAACATCTTGATTGCGATCTCTATATCACTCAGGGCCTGAAGAACAATCATGTCCATGGTCACACAAAAGCAATCAAGACAAAGATAATTATTAAGAGGATCACGCGGACCACTTCTAACATGAAGTGCGTAGCGTGAGATCAGCCAGTGACTCACCTCCAACAGCAGAATCTTGTCCTTCACTTCCTGCTTGGTCCTGATGATTGGCGGTGTCTTCATCCTGTATGAGAAATCAGCATCATCATCATCATCATCATCATCATCATCATCATTTCATCATCACCATCATATCACCATCATCTTCACCACCATCATCATCATCACCATCATCTTCATCATCATCATCATCATCATCATCATCATCATCTTCACCACCATCATCTCATCATCATTATCATCACCATCACATTATCATCATCTTCATCATTATCATCACCATCATCTTCATCATCATCTTCACCACCACCATCATCACCATCATCTTCATTATCATCACCATCATCATCATCTTCACCATCATCATCATCACCATTATCATCACCATCATCATCATCACCATCATCTTCATCATTATCACCACCATCATCATTATCATCACCATCATCTTCATCATTATCATCACCATCATCTTCACCTCCACCATCATCTTCATCACCATCATCTTCATTATCATCACCATCATCATCATTATCATCATCATCACGATCATCTTCATCATCATCACCATCATCTTCATTATCATCACCATCATCTTCATCATCATTATCATCACCACCACCACCACCATCATCATCATCATCATCATCATCACCACCATCATCATAATCACCACCACCTTAGAAAAGTTGAGAGTTAATTGAAGACTGCATATCTGAGAAAGGTGACCACAAGGTGTCAAACGCTTCATAGTTGGGCTCTCCCTATATTCAACATGTCAGAAAGCCTCAAGGAACACAGGACCCTTCACTGCTATCTGTGGAGTACATTCCACAAACATGTCCAGAAGGCTGCAGTGTTTTAACCATACACAGTTGGATTCCCATTGATATTTCCTTGTGGGCAGGCGTCATGGTTTAGCCAAATTACCTAACAACGGATAAGCATATTGTATTTCCACCTGCCAGCACTAACGAAGAAGTACTTCTCTGTAAGTATTCCCTTCTGCAGCCATTTGAAAACTGTCAACCACTAAGAATTGATTATTTTCTAAGGCAGAACCACATTGACAGAATCCATGTGGCAGATTGTAAAAATAATCATCAAAATACAGGGGAAGATAACTCAGGATATCTCTGCTGTTATTTACCCAAAGTTGTGAGGAATGCGAGTGTAGAAGTCGTTACACGCATCTGTCAACTTCCGGCTCGTGTCGCCCTTGTTGATCAACTCTTCAATGACTTTCAAGGCTGCATAACCAAACTTGATCTGGTTCTCCGTCAGTTTGCCTACAAAATTAGAACCCTCACGCATATGAATAGGAAAACTACATAAAACAGCGGTATTTAGCTTGGGGCAAATAGCATCAGGACATATGGGTATTTTTAAAAATTTGGAACAATGAATATTATATTTCTTAAGCAAAGTTTGTAAAATCTTAAGGACAAGCAGTAAGTATTCTAGAAAATTAATCTAAATGAGATGAAAAGGTTGATGACCATTTTTTATGGTCTCTGTATGCGTCTGTGGGCCTAAGCATGTCCGATGGTAATCGTACAAACTAACATAGGTTTCACTGACATAACAAGCTGCAGGTATATTGCTGAGTGCAGCGTTAAATAACAACCAAACCAACGCTGTGGGTAAACATAGACCACTCTAACAATAACACTGACCCAACCACTCCTAGTATCCACTGCACAAGACAGGGCAACAACAAGTACCATATCTTAATGCATTATGGCACGACTCTGCCAGACGTTGTACCAGACCTTCTGTTCTGCTGGCAGATGTTTTATCCACTGGACAATGGAGTTCTTACTGCCATCATACCTTAGTGGACATCACACTATTCATACAATGATTGGTTGTTTGTTTGTTTAACGCCGCACTCAGCAATATTCCAACTATATGGCAGCGGTCGGTATATAATCAAGTCTTAACCAGACAATCCAGTGGTCAACAGCATGAGCATCGATCTATGCAATTGGGATACGATGATGTGTCAACCAAGTCAGCGAGCCTCACCACCCCATCCCGTTAGTTGCCATTTACGACAAGCATGGGTTGTTGAAGACCAATTCTACCCTGATCTTCACGGGTGATTCCTACAATGATACACTTGGGGATACCATGGCTCTACATACTGCAACATGGGGAAGTGACCACCGTATTCAGTGTGACACGCTTTAAACTATAGACAAATAGTGTGGTGTATTTTGTTGAACAGTCACTCAAATCAGATGGTACAGGGAAAGAAACCTTTCAAAGTTTCCCACTAGGCCACAGGACAATAATTAGTGGTCCTGTCTGTACTTCACTGGTCCAAAACAACATTCGAAGATTTACTCAACTATCAATACAAATTTCACTGGCCCCCATGACCACTGCAAACTTTTTTTAGTGGTCCTGATGAATTTTTACTAGCCAGGGACCACAAGACCAGCGTATATTTTGCCCACTGTGGTATATTTTTCCCAAACCAAAAATATACCACCGTCCTCTTAGAGTACTCAACTATCTTTTCAAATTTGAAATAAAGTAAAGAAGACATTCCTACCTAAAGGAGCCTTCTTGGCATCGTACTTCATCTCAACGACGGCATCCTCCATGGACTTGATGTCACAGATCAGGTTGACCAGATCCTGCCAACACAAAGTGAGTATCAGCTAATGTCTAGTGTGGTAAAACAGCATAAGTGATTGTTATGGGTACAAGGTACTCCAAGGAGACACAATATGATTTTGAATACTATACATGAATTTTGATTGCAATCACATTCTCATTTCATTTAATAAAAAATACCTTAAATAGACAAACATAACATTTCTTAGCTCTCTTTGAAGTGAGTGATGAGGAGTGATGATTGTTGAGACACTGAGTGAGAGTGAATGTTTGACAGTTGGTTGGTCTATAAATATGTGAGTCTGGACCAGACAATCCAGTGATCAACAGGATTGTTGTTTAACACTACAGCCATATGACAGTGGTCTATAAATAATTGAGTCTGGACCAGACAATCCAGTGATCAACATGATTGTTGTTTAACACTCCAGTCAGCAATCTTAAAGTCACATCATGGCTGCATGCAAGTAACTGGACCCTTCAATCCACTGACTGACGGCAGGATGACATGGCATTGTCCCCGACACTTTACAGGATCATCCAGTATTTGTATGATATTCAGGATGACAAGAGTTGATGTCATAGATCATAAACAGATCTTAAAGCCTGTAACAGTGAAACAAGCTGCACGATACCTGACGATCACTGTGTCTTATAAATAGCTGCAGAAGAGGCACAAGCCAAACCTGAAGACCAGAATATTGTTTCCTTTTTGCTAAAGTATATTCCATGATGTTAACTGATTGAAAATGTCACAGTGACAAATGTCTTGTACATTACCAAGGTTTTCAGTTGACATGTATATAGTTAGCAGATCAAAGTCTTACCTGCAGCTTGGTGTCGAGGGTGGAGTCTGGCACTTTCACACTGTCTTCCTTCTTAATGCCAGGTGCATCCACTGTGTCCTCCGCTGCCTGTTCATATGCAAAATATAAGTGGATCATATTTTGGAATCTTTATTTTTTCTATTGGTGGCCAGAAAAAGCAATTAGTTCTCACCTTTCCCCTATAGAAAAGGAAAAGCAGTCAGTTGTCATCTGTGCCCCACCAAACAGACAGTGTCCAGTTCTCACCTGTCCCCCACCAACCATAGACAGTGTCCAGTTCTCACCTGTTCACCCACCAACCACAGACAGTGTCCAGTTCTCACCTGTCCCCCCAACCATAGACAGTGTCCAGTTCTCACCTGTCCCCCACCATAGACAGTGTCCAGTTCTCACCTGTCCCCCCAACCATAGACAGTGTCCAGTTCTCACCTGTCTGGCCATCAACCCATAGACAGTGTCCAGTTCTCACCCTGTCCCCCAACCATAGACAGTGTCCAGTTCTCACCTGTCCCCAACCATAGACAGTGTCCAGTTCTCACCTGTCCCCCAACCAGGCAGTGTCAGTTCTCACCTGTCTGGCTATCAACCATATATAGACAGTGTCAGTTGCCTCACCTGTCCCCCCAACTATAGACAGTGTCCAGTTCTCACCTGTCTCCCAACCATAGACAGTGTCCAGTTCTCACCTGTCTGGCCATCAACCATAGTAGACAGTGTCCAGTTCTCACCTGTCCCCCAACCATAGACAGTGTCCAGTTCTCACCTGTCCCCCAACCATAGACAGTGTCCAGTTCTCACCCTGTCTGGCCATCAACCATAGACAGTGTCCAGTTCTCACCTGTCCCCCAACCATAGACAGTGTCCAGTTCTCACCTGTCCCCCAACCATAGACAGTGTCCAGTTCTCACCTGTCTGGCCATCAACCCATAGACAGTGTCAGTTCTCACCTGTTCCCCCCACCATAGACAGTGTCCAGTTCTCACCTGTCCCCCCCAACCATGGACAGTGTCCAGTTCTCACCTGTCTGGCCATCAACCATAGACAGTGTCCAGTTCTCACCTGTCCCCCTCCCAACCACAGACAGTGTCCAGTTCTCACCTGTCCCCCCAACCATAGACAGTGTCCAGTTCTCACCCACAGTGTCCAGTTCTCACCTGCCCCAACCATAGACAGTGTCCAGTTCTCACCTGTCCCCCCAACCATAGACAGTGTCCAGTTCTCACCTGTCCCCCCCCAACCATAGACAGTGTCCAGTTCTCACCTGTCTGGCCATCAACCATAGACAGTGTCCAGTTCTCACCTGTCTGGCCCCCAACCATAGACAGTGTCCAGTTCTCACCTGCCTCCCAACCATAGACAGTGTCCAGTTCTCACCTGTCCCCCTCCCACCATAGACAGTGTCCAGCTCTCACCTGTCCCCCACCATAAGAGTGTCCAGTTCTCACCTGTCCCCCCCACCATAGACAGTGTCCAGTTCTCACCTGTCCCCCCCCAACATAGACAGTGTCCAGTTCTCACCTATCCCCCAACCACAGTGTCCAGTTCTCACCTGCTCCCCCAACCATGGAGAAAGTGTCCAGTTCTCACCTTGTCCCCAACATAGTGTCAGTTCTCTCACCTGCCCCCCAACATAGATACACAGTGTCCAGCTCTCACCTGTCTTCCCCCCACCATAGACAGTGTCAGTTCTCACCTCCTCCTCCCCCACATAGCCAGACAGTGTCCAGTTCTCACCTATTCCCCCACCATAGACAGTGTCCAGCTCTCACCTGTCTTCTCCCCCACCATAGACAGTGTCCAGTTCTCACCTTTCCGTTACCACTTGAGTAGTCCATGGTCAGCATGTCATACTTGCCAGCCATCTTTACAAAACTGTCACGTGATGCCCAATCATTTTTGGTCTTGTCTGTAAATCTGAAACAGTTTGCGGCTATCAAAACTCAAACAATCCACTGAGTCTTGGCTTCCCACTCTAAACTTGCTTATATACAGGTGGCATTGACACACCTGGGACACACCTGGAACACAGGTGACACATCTGTCACTCAAATTGATATAATGTGCGTGATTGAGTGAGTGAGTGAGTGTTTGAGTGAGAGAGCGATCCTGCCTTTAAAACATCTTTTAGCTTTTGGCCTTTACATACTAAACTGGGGAATTGACCCTGGGCCTTTGATATGATGAGAGAAGACGTAACCACTAGAATACCCCTCCGCCCCAGGATATTATTGAGATGATATGAACAAAACATAATATGTAAATATACAAGGACATCAGACCCATATTTTCAGACCATGGCGTAAGACAACTTAGCCAGCCACGTCCTCAGACAATTCGGCCAGCCATGTCCTCAGACAACTTGGCCAGCCATGTCCTCAGACAAAATTGGCCAGCCATGTCCTCAGACAACTTGGCCAGCCATGTCCTCAGACAACTTGGCCAGTCATGTCCTCAGACAACTTGGCCAGCCATGTCCTCAGACAACTTGGCCAGTCATGTCCTCAGACAACTTGGCCAGTCATGTCCTCAGACAACTTGGCCAGCCAGTGTCCTCAGACAACTTGGCCAGCCATGTCCTCAGACAACTTGGCCAGCCATTTCCTCAGACAACTTGGCCAGCCATGTCCTCAGACAACTTGCCCAGCCATTTCCTCAGACAACTTGGCCAGCCATGTCCTCAGACAACTTGGCCAGCCATGTCCTCAGACAACTTGCCCTCAGACAACTTGAGCCTTGTCCTCGGTTGTCACAACTTGGCCAGCCATGTATCAGACAAAATTGGCCAGCCATGTACTCAGACAACTTGGCCAACCATGTCCTCAGACAACTTGGCCAGCCATGTCCTCAGACAACTTGGCCAGCCATGTCCTCAGACAACTTGGCAAGTTGTGTCCTCAGACAACTTGCCCAGCCATGTCCTCAGACAACTTGGCCGGTTGTGTCCTCAAGCCGCAGTTAGATGTCTACTTACTTCTTACAGAAGATGTTCTTGGCCTTGTCGAGATCGCCTCCACAGGGGACAAGGTTGTTCTGACCCTTGTAGCCAACGCGCCCCCAACGCTGCCACACATGGAAGGCCTTCTTGCCGTCGTCCTCCAGAATCTGGATCAGGTAGTACTTGTTGTTGTTGTTACCCACATTAGTCTGAAACAAACATACAAGCTTATTGGACCATGCCTGTCTGGACCTTGTCAGTCTGAAACAAACATACAAGCTTATTGGACCATGCCTGTCTGGACCTTGTCAGTCTGAAACAAACATACAAGCTTATTGGACCATGCCTGTCTGGACCTTGTCAATCTGGACCCTGTCACTCTGGACCCTGTCACTCTGGACCATGTTAGTCTTGTCCTTCTTACTCAGACCCGTCGTGATATTGCTGGAATATTGCTAAAAGTGGCGTAAAACCAACCTCACTCACTCACTCTGGACCTTGTCAGTCTGATCCTTGTCAGTCTGAACCTTGTTAGTGTGGACCTTGTTACTCTGAACCTTGTCAGTCTGAACCTTGTCAGTCTGGACCTTGTTAGTGTGGACCTAAAAGCATAAAACCAACCTCACTCACTCACTCTTGATCCTTGACAGTCTGGACCTTGTCACTCTGATCCTTGTCAGTCTGGACCCTGTTACTCTGGACCATGTTAGTCTTGTCCTTATAAATCTGGACCTTGTCAGCCTGGACCTTATTAGCCTTGTCCTTGTTTATCTGGTCCTTGTCAGTCTGGTCCCTAGTAACCTGGACCTTGTCAGTCTGGTCCCTAGTAACCTGGACCTTGTCAGTCTGACCAGAGCTCCAGATAAGATTTAGCTCATGTGGGTACTGTACCCACTGTATTTTTTGGGAGTGGGTATTATGAATGTTGAGTGGGTATTTCATTTTCCGTTAGCCACTGCTTTCAAAGTAATGTCTGAACCTCAGTCATTTTGGTCCCTAAGTATTATGTCATTTGAGTTAGTTTACTAAGCAGGTATGTTCTGAGTTATGTCATACCTAATCAAAACCAACTTAAATATAATGGAAATGATTTCATAAAAAATCACTCATCCTTTACTGACTGTACAACACTTGTCCTAAACTAACGAGTGCGACCTTGTCAGTCGATGTCTTTTCATTCATGGCGATTTCTATGAATATCTGGTCCTTGTCAGTCTTGTTTTAAACTAACCTGGTGTATCTAACAATTCTGGACCTTATTGCGCAACAAATTGTTCAATCTGGTAATTGGAAGTCTTTCTATAGTAACCTGGACCTTGCCGTCTGGTCCCAGCTTATCTCTGCCTCTGAGTCTGACCCTTGTTAGTCTGGTCCTTGTTAGTCAAGCTCGCACATGTCATCGTATCCCAATTGCGTAGATCGATGCTCATGTTGTTGATCACTGGATTGACTGGTCCTGACTCGACTATTATATTGCTGAGTGTAGTGTTAAACATGTTACACACAGCACTCGGCAATATTCCAACGATATGACCGAAACCTGTGAATAATCAACTCTGGACTGTACAAACTGGTGATTGATATTGTGAGCAACGACCCAAACCATCAGGTACAATGACACAACCAACCACCCAAACCATCAGGTACAATGACACAACCAACCACCCACACCATCAGGTACAATGACACAACCAACCACCCAAACCATCAGGTACAATGACACAACCAACCACCCAAACCATCAGGTACAATGACACAACCAACCACCCACACCATCAGGTACAATGACACAACCAACCACCCAAACCATCAGGTACAATGACACAACCAACCACCCAAACCATCAGGTACAATCACACAGCCAACCACCCAAATTCACCAACCAATCCTTTTGCTCACATCTTCACCTGCTGAGAATCTATCCAAACCTGAATTGCCCTGGGTAGCATTAAGTGTATTCTCACCTGGTTAAGCATGCAGTCCCAGACATCCTTTGCATCAAAATAGACGTGCGTTTTATTTACCAGGCTGCATTCTGGGTCGACGGGAGCTTTCCCCTTCACAACCACTGTCCTCACTGAAACACAGACAGTTGTCAGACATTCCAAACTGCATCACTTGTCAAAAGATTGTTTGAACGATTTGAGAATTTCCAAATGCGAAAATTCTTCTCACCTGTGGATTTTTTAGGCTCTTCCTCTCCATCTTCCTCCTCCTTCACTCTCCCCGACTTGCCACGCCCGCTTTTACTTGCCTTGCCCCCACTCTTGGCAGCTGATTTTCCTGTGGACTTGGCAGCTGATTTTCCTGTGGACTTGGCAGCAGGGGCATCTCCTGCACTGGACACTGACGGCATCTCTTCATCCTCATCAGCGTCATCAACAGCATCTACTTCATCTACATCATTCTCTGGGGCAATGGAATCTGCACGATAAACATCATATTCCCCATGAATCTTATCACAGAACAATGTGGATGTCCCTGCATGTTATTTCACACACTTTATACATCCAGTTACATTTGAGTGATCCTTTTATACGATTGTTGCAAACTGTAAGCATATATTCAGAAAAGATAATGCTTACAAGTGAAGGCTAGGCCACACAGGGTCAGAAATAAATTAACAAGATCCAAGCCATATTTCAGGGGTCAATATCAATGATTCCTCATGGCATCACAATGTTTTCATCATGGCATCAAAGTAATTTTTCCATGACATCACCGCAATTCTTCTATGGCATCACAAGGATTCTTCCATGGCATCATAAGGATTCTTCCATGGCATCCCAAAGATTCCTCATGGCATCCCAAGGATTCTTCCATGGAATCACAAGGATTCTTCCGTGGCATCCCAAAGATTACTCATGGCATCACAAGGATTCTTCCATAACATCCCAAAGATCCTTTTGGCATCCCAAAGATTACTCATGGCATCACAAGGATTCTTCCATGGAATCCCAAGGATTCTTCCATGGCATCAGAAGGATTCTTCCATGGAATCACAAGGATTCTTCCGTGGCTTCACAAGGATTCCTTATGGCATCAGAAGGATTCTTCCATGGAATCACAAAGGATTCTTCCATGGCATCCCAAAGATCCTTTTGGCATCCCAAAGATTGCTCATGGCATCCCAAGGTTTCTTCTGTGGCATCCTTAAAGGATTCTTCCATGGCATCACAAGGATTCTTCCATGGCACAAGGATTCTTCCATGGCATCACAAGGATTCTTCCATGGAATCACAAGGATTCTTCCATGGCATCCCAAAGATCCTTTTGGCATCCCAAAGATTACTCATGGCATCCCAAGGATTCTTCCATGGCATCACAAGGATTCTTCTTTGGCATCACAAGGATTCTTCAATGGCACAAGGATTCTTCCATGGCATCACAAGGATTCTTCCATGGCATCACAAGGATTCTTCCATGGCATCACAAGGATTCTTCTATGGCATCCCAAAGATTACTCATGGCATCACAAGGATTCTTCCATGGCATTACAAGAATTCTTCATGGCTTAGATCTTAACAATGCACTTTAAGCAGCATAAGTATACTTGTACTTTCACATAGAAAATGTATGTACATATTCGTAAATACATTGCAAGAGACTACATGGCATTTGATTGGCTAGCCAAGCAATAAATAGAGAATTTATAATGTGTACACATGTTGTATAAATGCAATAATTGAGTCCATTATCAAATTAATGATTTCCTGTCACTAAAACTTACTATCTGCAATAACTTCAGACAGTTGCCAACTTCTGAAACAATAATCATCTGACAAAGGCCCCGGCAGGAGATCCAGGTAGACTAATTAATTAAGACTGACTGAGTGAGTTTGGTTTTTACGCCGCTTTAAGCAATATTCCAGCAACATCACGGCGGGGGACACCAGAAATGGGCTTCACACATTGTACCCATGTGGGGATTCGAACCCGGGTCTTCGGCGTGACGAGCCAACACTTTAACCACTAGGCTACCCCTCCGCCCAATTAATTACGAACACACCAAATAGCTCACCTGCTTTCTCCCTGGCCACTTTGCGAGCAACATTTGTCGTAGTGTTGATTTGTTCCATGGTCTTCAGGTCGATGCTGTAAGAGCGATGCATTGCCTCGATGTCGACCGTTTCGTCGGTGCCATCTCGCTGTGCCTGCTCCAACAAGAGACTGGTGTCTGCCGGGTATGGGTTCCACTTCCCGTGCTCATTCTCCCACTGCCACACATAAAAATCTGGAAGCAGAAAATACCCGGTATGTAATGCTTAGGGGTTTCTGAAATACTGACAACTCATAAAAGTTCCAGGAGGTTCTCCTCTTTAGTAGGGGCAATACAATAAAGGTTATGATAGGATACCAGTCCAAGTAAGTAAACTTAGGCACAGTATTATTCTATTACGCTGGTATACTGAGTCTAACAAGTTTACTTAGGCTATGTCCACATGTTGTCATGTGCCAGTGACATTCATTGTGTAGCAATATTCCAAGAATAAAATACTGTATATGTTGACAGTCAGTAACTGGCAGTGGTGTGCTATATTTGGATTTGTGCTATATTTAGACAGATTTCTGGAATGTACTACAAGGTATAAGCTCAAAGGCCTTTCTAGTCTGTCATACAGACCCTGAAGCAAACATATCCAAGAAATCCCACGCAAGTCTAGAAAATGTGGCAAGTCTAGATTTCCATGAAAATGAAGAAAGTTTCTTGGCTCCATTTCATTATATTCTATTTTCTTTACTCTGAACTTTTTCTTCTGTAAAATATGTTCATTTCAGAGACTAGTTGTTACTCTAAGGCCTTTCCACTATACTCTGACCCAGGGAGAATCTTCTAGAGTCTTTATCTTAGATTATAGGGGAGCTTACTCTTGCCTCTCATCTCACATTACATCTCACCGACTGACTGACTGAGTTAAGTTTTACGCCGCTTTTAGCAATATTCCAGCAATATCACGGCGGGGGACACCAGAAATGGGCTTAATACATTGTGCCCATGTGGGGATTCGAACCCGGGTCTTCGGCGTGACGAGCCAACGTTTTAACCACTAGGCTACCCCACCGCCCCACATTACATCTCAAGCTACAAGAAGACCATTAATTTTATTGAGATCATTCTTACCCTGGATACTAGCCTTGGCCTATTTTGGAAACCATTGTTGCTGTCAGGTGAATATTATCATCTCGTCTTTATTGCTATAAGCATTGTTTCTGTATAACAGTGCTTTTGAATTTGTGAGGTGAGGTGAAATTGGGTTTAACGTCGTGCTTGAGAATATTTCGCTCATATGACGACGTGCATGAGTGTGTATGTGTATTTGCGCCTGCTTGTACTAGCCCAGACTGAAGCTGGTTTTATAGTGCTAGCCCACTGAGATACCATGCCGCAGTGAAGCATGAATACCCCACTCAGACACATTATACTGACTCCGAGCCGACCAGTCCTTGTTGTACCCATTAATGCCGAGGGCCAGGCAGGGACCAAAAAGTACCATATTTTAACGTCTTTTAATATGGTATGACGCGGTCGGGGATCGAACCCACGACCTTCCGCTCCCTGGGCAGACACTCTAACCACTACACCAAGGAGGCGTTTTTTGAATTTGTACTGCCACTCTATCGTTGTTGCTGTAATACATTTGTAGTGATTTGTATTAATTTGTAAAGTTGGTTTATTCAAAAGTCAATTGTAAATTACATCATAATGCTTTGTTGATTTCAGGCCGAGTTCTTTTACAGACTGACCAGGGTTCTGAATGAAATGAACTAACGCTGAAAGTCCGCTAGTCCGCTAGCCCAAGGCTAGTAAATCTCCCGGAGGACTACCAAAACATCTAACAGTACTAGTCCGCCGGGCTACCAGGCAGTAGTCGCATCAAAATGATATATAACTTTAGGAACCTAACTAACATATGATTCATTAATTAAATCTATCACTTTTCACAATGTCTGAAAACACTTATTACATTTCAAATGACCATATATTATCGACAAACTTAAAATTAAAAGCTATTTTTCGCAATGTTATTGGAAAAAACAATTCTCAGACACATGCTTCGGCAACGGGTCCACATCAAAGTTGTCAAAGAGCAAAGTAACGATGTTTCGAGATGATAATTAAACAAATTGAATAAATTGAAGAATATATTCAATAACGGTACTCATAAAAGTTGTCAAACCTACATTATAACTTACTATTCCCATCTTTATTGTGCGATCGTGTAATGTAATTCAAGTGACATCTCGGCTTTCGTCGCCTCGAACTTCGTGCTCGGACACGATGTTTAATGCTAAAATATATGCATGAAGCATTTTTGTCACAGGTCATAACCTAGCACGATACGTCCACTAAGGTCCAGAATATACGTATAGGTAGTGATCTTGTGCGTAACACGTTCAGAATAGCATGAATTTACCCAAAACTTTCGTCTAAATCTAAAAGTTTTCGTTTACGAGGGCGGTATCCATTGCTGTAATATGATTGGCTGCCTTAGGTCACGTGTGTGATTTTGACCAATCACGATACTCAGTAGCAGACTGTGACAGAAAAGCGTCATTAGAAACCAATCTTTAACCAATCAAATCGCTTCTTACAACTGTGAAAATACTCTTGGCAAGGGTATAGTGATATAGTTGATGTTCAGAGCTTTCGAACGATACCCGCCATCAAACGAATCGCCTCACATGTTTTTTATACGAAGCTTCGAAAATGGAGGTATTTCCCACTGTTGTATCACGTTAACGAGCGGAAAGCCAATGTTATCGGGAAATAGACGACCATACATATTATTTGAGAAATATCTTGATAATAATTTTCCGATTGCGTAAACATGAAAAATAGAAAAGAAAAACGTAAGGGGATAATTATGACATGTTACAAATGGAAAAAATCGCTGCATTGTTTGCTTCCTTCATGGTTTATCTGGACATTATAAATGTATAAGCTTGCATTTTCATTAAATATTAACTTATTTACGTTGTAGTTGTGTTATTTGAATAATATGATCATATCCATCTGTCATGACTGAATTAAACTATGCCAAAACATATTGTGTGTTTGTTTGTTATGATACCACACCTCTGCCAATACTGCTTGACTAAGTCAAATTAATTATTTGGTTTATTAAAGATTGAAATTTGAGGACTACCAAAATTGTGTGAGGACTAGTAGTTTGGTGAGAGTCACTAGTCCTCATGGCTAGTAGACTTTTCAAAGAGATTTCTAACCCTGTTCTCTTGGCTATAAATATAAAAGTAGAAAGTCAGCAGAATGCAAACAACGAATTAACGGCAATTTCCAGGTTGTTGACCAGCAAAGTTGGAGAGGAGGAGAATCATGTTTTGTGTTGTGGAAATAAATAGCTATTCCATTCCAAAGTCACAACTAAACCTTAATGATCATAAAACGGGTGTCTAACACTATAATGACAGTCAAGAATCTATGATTGGAAAGTAAAAGTGAAAGTGAAAGAAGCATGCAAGATCTGGGAAGTGAGAGACACAGGCAACAGACTGAACAAATAAACATTATACAAACTGTGTCCAATAAATAACATTGCTGTGCAATTGTTTGATGTCATTATAATTTACTGAACTCCTTTGTGATAAGAGTTCCTTACGTACACACACGGGCTTGTAACGCTAAAAACTGCCATCAAGGCATATACTATCACTGACGGGGTCTTAGTACTATACAGTGATAGTATATGCCTTGATGGCAGTTTTTAGCGTTACAAGCCCCTGTGCGTACACACACACACACACACACACACCTATTTTTTTAACTATAAACGATAGATTAAACTATAGTGTTCGCTCATCACAAAAATAGGCGTTGGTTACGTAAGGAACTCTTTCCATAAGCTCTTTTAGTACCTTTGCCCAAGCGGGAAAACAGTAAAGCGCATAGTAATGATGTAAGCCCACCGATGATTACATTAAATTAATAGCAGTTAAATGACAGTCATCATTGTAAACTTTCAGAAGCACAATCAGTTATCTCTTCCATGTAAATGCATATGTTTCATTGTTTACAGTGATGCTGGTGCAGTTAATCCACGTGTCAATCTTGCAGGATGACAACAGCGTGCGCTAATTGGATAATTCGGACACCCTATTTGTATCACAAAACAAAGAGCTTGCTTCCTGGTACAACTCTCACAAGCATTGACAACCCTTCAAGTCCACACTGACTAAGTTGTCATGGTGATATTGTTACAAAATAATGGAAACTTTTCGGCACCGGCGCTTCCTGGCACACACTACCTGGTTTAGATCGCCGCCCCATGCTTGATCAGCGTGTCTTAACTGTACTAAGCCTCAACTTGCACTGTGATATTTATACCGACATTTGTGACAAGTTCCCACATGTGTTTGGGTTATCTCAAAAGTAGGATCCTCGTGCGAGCTTTCAAAATCGTACTGCTCCCAGATTTAAAACTGTTCGTCCGTTTCTGTTGCTCTTGTAACATAAATACACGTATTTTGGCCAAAGTTTACACCAAATAATACATTCGAAACACAATAACTTCCTTTGACGTGTATTTAAATAGATATAACTGTTATAAATTTACAGTCTCACTTTTATACGAAATTGTGCAATTTCCCGCCATGTGAAATGAAAACAACGTGACGTCAAAGGTCACGTGGTGTGAGCGTAGCTCAGTCTACAACTTCGTGGAGGGGTGTGTGACTTGAGCAGTGAGTACACTGTTTACAATTTGCATTATAATTGCTAATTAGCTTACGGGTCTGCTTTAATTGGCTTAGACGCTTAGGTGTTTCAAATCAATCAGTCCCGTGTCAATTCAGCTGGTTTTGAAAGTAACTCATAAGTGTTCTATTCACGGAAAACATGATATACTGTTTACATTTGCACGAATCGCACAGAAAACAATTTGACCTGCGTATAACGAACTTGTCTAAATAATTGAAGATTACAGCACTAGCTTGTCAGCGCGGATGAGAGAATGTTCGTGTCACCAATATATGTTGCTTGCTGTTACGTTTCGGGTGAGTGCGTGCTGTGTGGATTTGCTGTTTGTTTGTCGAGTTGAGTGAATGTTGAGTGTGTTACGTGTCGAGCTTGGCGATAGTGATTGGGGTCGTGATCGGCGCTGGCAGAGCCTAAGATGGTGACCTCAAACTCCTCACATTCTTAAAATTCCAGAATTTTTTTGTCGAGACAGTCAAAGGGAAAGTCGTGAATAACTCTGACATTGTATCGAAAGCAGTGATTTGTAAACTCAACGTTCATGAAAATATTGATTTAGATAAATAGGACATGAACTCAAACAATGCAGTTCAATATGTTGTTTGATTTTGCAACACATTGTCACCTGTATGGAGGAGTTATGTTTCATACATTGTTTTTTTCTGTTGAATAATAAAATCAATGAATAATGATATTTATTACCCCCAAACAGAATATTGCAATGTGGTGCAATTTTCAAGTTAGTTGCAAATCATATTTATTTGCATGAAAGATACCTAGCTCAGGAAAGTTAGCTTTCTTATCTGACATGTTCAACAGGTGAATCAATTTCGGTTGAATCAGGATTTTAAAAATGTTCCGCTGTTTGATTGAAAAGATGGTTTCTAAAACAGTGAACATTGCTTTTTTATGTTTGTAGCATGATAATTATGTCAATATTTCTCTTTAGAAAATAATCATCAATTCGCCCTTGTGGCATTTTTAGGATTTTTTCTTTTATTTTGCTTGTTGCATCTTGACGTCTGTTAAATCCACCCCCCAACCCCCACCCCAATCTATGTTAACAAGACAACAGTCAGCTGCTATTGTGACAAGCAATAACGAGACAGTGTTTGGGTTGCAGAAGTGTCTCTTGGTATAAGTAGAAGAGACACGATTTGCTAATATTTTTTATTGTATTGTGCAGTCAGGCAAGGCCAGGTCTATTTGTAGCTATATTTATTTTGAATAAGTTATTTGATATAAAGGCTGCCTTTTTTTATGTGCACCATCTAAATTTTGGTCGGTTGCAATTGGTTGGTTAGCAATAAACGATTTTTAATAAATATGAAAATCGAGATACTTTCATACCTATATCAGAAACAAAAACATCTGTAACTTTGATTCTGCTTTATTTATTTATGTCACAAAGTTAGACACCTCGGTCATTACAAGGTTGTGATTCTTTAATATGTAATATTTTATTAATAATTGAAATGTAAGAACGAAGAATGTTAAATAATACTTAGCTTTCTTGTAAATTTTCACATGTCCTCTACCTGTAGCCTTCATCCCAGCACTGACACAGGAAGGAAGCAATTATATGAGCGGTAGGTAGGGCCCGAGTTTCAGCTTGGGGAAATAAAAAAAATATAAAATTATCGGGTAGACGGCCAATTTACAGTCGGTTGAGTGATGAGAGACATTGAAATAAAATAAACTGTCCTTACCATCAGTAAAAAATTCAGCTTCAAATTTCAATATGATGTATGTTATACATACGTTGCTGTTGGGAATGTAAGTACATTGTATGTATCTTGCATTTATATTGTACTTGGGCCTGTGGCCTTTATACTGAATAAATTCTTCTATATTTCTTTTACCAAAGTTTCATTTGAACATGATTTAATAAAACTTTTATTGTAATATATTTGTGAAAGTAGGAGTTTACCCTATTAGCTCACCAGGACATGAGTTTTATCAGTGCGTATGCCATAGCAATGCAGTACTAACAGCTGAATATTTACTCACATACTATAACTCACAATGGGTATCATATTTTTCATTGGGTATTCAGTATTTTTGTTACACAAATTGTCTTTATTTTTTACATCAGTAAGGATACTTTTGTTTAAATAATTCTGCTTGAAATGTTAAATAACCTCACAATGGCAATAAACATATGTCAAATTCACTGTGAGACACTGCACATTTGTAGGCATTGTTCCCTACATCAGAGTTCATATGTACTGGTATGTGAAGCTTGCACTTGGTCAATAAATAAAGATCTTTAAGGATATACATGTACATGCATGTAAAATGAAAGTAAGCAAGGGCCAATTATGAAGTGTTGTTAAACTTTATTAAATGTTTTTGAAAAAGGTATTTTGGAATTGAAATATACAGATATGTTTCTGAAGTACAGTGATGAACGATTCACAATTTTTAAATATGGTTCAAAGCAAGAGAATTTTTTCAGGAAAAATAGAAATAAAAATATAACACTTTCTGGAGAACACAAAGGCCATCTGTTACTGAGTATGTTTAATCTCCCGACAGGTGACAATGGAGACATATGCTCTTTGCACTTCAACTACCGAGAGAAAATGTCATATCATCACATAATTTATGGACATATTGTGTAAGAAGTAACTCACAACAGAGACAGTGTTCGTTCGTGATTGAATGACCTGTCATTGTTGAGCTGCATCATCATCAATCAACAGCTGTTTATTACATTACAACATCAGAGAGGTATATTGGCACTGATGGCTCTGATAGGCTACCCTGTCCATTCAGCCCTGATCATCCACTAGGTTTAAAAGCTTGTTTATCAAGCCTCACATCTGTGTTCCAGCTTGTGCTAGGAGCCGGGCTCTGCTGTTACAATGCATATCCTTCTAATCAAAGGCGTCTGCATATTTTGGCGTACAAATAATGTAACTTACACCAGGGGATAGGTAGCAGGTAGTTATAGAGGGTAGAGATTTGTGGTGATGATAGGCGAGAATTAAAGGTGTTGGCAATGGGGTATACTTATAGCATGCAAAGCAGGCTTTCATCCAATATGTAGGCCATTGGAAGATTATTGTACGAAATGTCTTCAATAATTTATTTTGGAAATTTGATAGGATATTGATGCTTCTTTGAAGCCCTGCTAAACCTGATATTACAGAGATGTCCATATAAATACCCGAAGGGTGTTTTTGGTCTGAAGCAAATCCTTTTTATCGGAGAACTATTTCTCAGTGTAGAAGTTGGGGTTGAGGTAATTGTCAACTTTACTATCTGTTTTTCGTATTATTTTAGACCAGACTGTTAGGCTGTGTGTTGATTTTCTAGAAGAACACATCCTGAAAGAATGTCACACGAGAGGAGGTCAGTTTTACGGGAAGAAAAGCAAATCTTATGGTTTGATTTTTATTATACCAGTTTGTGAATGCTAACCTGAAGCCGTTTAGTTTTGCACAATCAAACAGACTGGCTATGTAGAAATGAGTATGTGAGTATTCTTTAATGGATCTGTAAGCACTATCACAGTAGGGAGTGCATCGGAAATTTGCTGTAAATATTGTACCAGTATTCACGAATAGCATCAGACCCTCAGATAAATCCGGCAGATTTGCCAACAGTCCGATGGAAGTCTACAACCTGCCGGCCCCAGTATCCGACTGTGTAGTTCTGTTCACAATGACTGTGCCTGAAGTTGTTATATGTGACATGTCACACAGGTTTGCTGTTTATGAAGTTTACATTTGTTAATAATTTCAGTGCCAATTATATGAAACGTTTAATCTGAAATGTGTGTTTAATTTTTATACTATGGGTCCTGTGAATTTTCAGTGGGTCAGACAGACATCTGAAACTTACAGGACCCAATGTCCTGTTACTTTTAAACACCATTTCTGAACACTGTTGTACCCATGAGGGGGAGTGAACTCGGGTCTTCAGAATGACAAGCAAATGCTTTAACCACAAGGCAACCCCTCTGTGTGCAAGAGGTATTATAAATAATGTAATGTTCAAATTGAATGGCAAGTTTGCTGTTAAATTTAACTTTGAATTTATGATTCACTTGTACTCATCACAATGTGGCTGAAGGAATGCTGATGTTATATCAAATTCTCCCTCTCCTTCGAGGTACAGAGCCTCAGGCTGGACTCACTCACCCTCTAGGTAGAGAGCCTCATTCTGAACTCGCTCACCTTCAAGGTAGAGAGCCTCATTCTGAACTCACTCACCTTCGAGGTACAGAGTCTAAAGCTGAACTCACTCACCTTCGAGGTACAGAGTCTAAAGCTGAACTCAATCTCCTTCGAGGTACAGAGCCTAAAGCTGAACTCACTCTCCATCGAGGTAGAGAGCCTCATTCTGAACTCACTCACCTTCGAGGTATAGAGTCTAAAGCTGAACTCACTCACCTTCGAGGCACAGGGTCTAAAGCTGAACTCACTCACCTTCGAGGCACAGAGTCTAAAGCTGAACTCAATCTCCTTCGAGGTACAGAGCCTAAAGCTGAACTCACTCTCCATCGAGGTAGAGAGCCTCATTCTGAACTCACTCACCTTCGAGGTATAGAGTCTAAAGCTGAACTCACTCACCTTCGAGGTACAGAGTCTAAAGCTGAACTCACTCACCTTCGAGGCACAGAGTCTAAAGCTGAACTCACTCACCTTCGAGGTACAGAGTCTAAAGCTGAACTCAATCTCCTTCGAGGTAGAGAGCCTAAAGCTGAACTCACTCTCCATCGACGTAGAGAGCCTCATTCTGAACTCACTCACCTTCGAGGCACAGAGTCTAAAGCTGAACTCACTCACCTTCGAGGTACAGAGTCTAAAGCTGAACTCAATCTCCTTCGAGGTACAGAGCCTAAAGCTGAACTCACTCTCCATCGAGGTAGAGAGCCTCATTCTGAACTCACTCACCTTCGAGGTATAGAGTCTAAAGCTGAACTCACTCACCTTCGAGGCACAGAGTCTAAAGCTGAACTCACTCACCTTTGAGGCACAGAGTCTAAAGCTGAACTCAATCTCCTTCGAGGTACAGAGCCTAAAGCTGAACTCACTCTCCATCGAGGTAGAGAGCCTCATTCTGAACTCACTCACCTTCGAGGTATAGAGTCTAAAGCTGAACTCACTCACCTTCGAGGTACAGAGTCTAAAGCTGAACTCACTCACCTTCGAGGCACAGAGTCTAAAGCTGAACTCACTCACCTTCGAGGTACAGAGTCTAAAGCTGAACTCAATCTCCTTCGAGGTACAGAGCCTAAAGCTGAACTCACTCTCCATCGAGGTAGAGAGCCTCATTCTGAACTCACTCACCTTCGAGGCACAGAGTCTAAAGCTGAACTCACTCACCTTCGAGGTACAGAGTCTAAAGCTGAACTCATCTCCTTGACTCTCCTTCGAGGTACAGAGCCTAAAGCTGAACTCACTCTCCATCGAGGTAGAGAGCCTCATTCTGAACTCACTCACCTTCGAGGTATAGAGTCTAAAGCTGAACTCACTCACCTTCGAGGCACAGAGTCTAAAGCTGAACTCACTCACCTTCGAGGCACAGAGTCTAAAGCTGAACTCACTCACCTTCGAGGTAGAGAGCCTCATTCTGGACTCGCTCACCTTCGAGGTACAAAGTCTAAAGCTGAACTCACTCTCCTTCGAGGTACTGAGTTTAAAGCTGAACTCACTCACTTTCGAGGTACAGAGTCTAAAGCTGAACTCACTCACCTTCGAGGTACAGAGTTTAAAGCTGAACTCACTCACCTTGAGGTACAGAGTTTAAAGCTGAACTCACTCACCTCACCTCGAGGTACAGAGTCTAAGCTGAGGTACAGAGTTTAAAGCTGAACTCACTCACCTTGAGGTACAGAGTCTAAAGCTGAACTCACTCACCTTCGAGGTACAGAGTCTAAAGCTGAACTCACTCTCCTTGAGGTACAGAGTTTAAAGCTGAACTCACTCACCTTCGAGGTACAGAGTCTAAAGCTGAACTCACTCTCCTTCGAGGTACAGAGTTTAAAGCTGAACTCACTCACCTTCGAGGTACAGAGTCTAAAGCTGAACTCACTCTCCTTCGAGGTACAGAGTCTAAAGCTGAACTCACTCTCCTTCGAGGTACAGAGTTTAAAGCTGAACTCACTCACCTTCGAGGTACAGAGTCTAAAGCTGAACTCACTCTCCTTCGAGGTACAGAGTTTAAAGCTGAACTCACTCACCTTCGAGGTACAGAGTCTAAAGCTGAACTCACTCACCTTCGAGGTACAGAGTCTAAAGGTGAACTAACTCACTCACTCACCTTCGAGGTACAGAGCCAAAGGCTGAACTAACTCACTCACTCACCTTCGAGGTACAAAGTCTAAGGCTGAACTCACTCACTCACCTTCGAGGTACAGAGCCTCAGGGTGAATAATTATTAGTGAAATAGGGTAGGGACAGCAAGCAGCCTATGAAAGCTGGACCCTAATCTGCCAAGCAAGTTCAGTGCTAAGACCATCAGACATCCCATACTTTAACACAAGATTTAGGACAGTTGTGTATTGATTGCTTTGTGAAACTGGTTCCTGATCTCTGACACTTAATATGACTTATTATGAACATGACAGGCTGGGCAGGAAAACTATAGATCCAGGTGATTCATACATCCAGTCATTGCACAAATGGAGCATTATTTGTGTTATCAAAGATTAATGCTCTTGGCATAATGTAAAGTTAATGTTCGATGAAAAAAAACTGAAGAAGATAAAGATGTTAGACAATGATGTTAGATTTAATGTCATTCAACATCATTTCAATCGTTTGTAATTATATGATAAAAGTTAAAAAAAACTCCACAAACACAAGGAGTAGAATGTTTGATCGTTATCATGAAAGTTAAGTCAGAAATAATAATGTCCTTAGGTTGCTTTAATGGAGGCTTGTATAAACAGCCTGTTAATGTTCTAAGAATTAGAATTTGAAATCTTTATTTGTCAACTGCATGCGACTGTCCTTTACAAATTAATTGGTATTAATATAATTGGTTAGTTTTTCAGCAGGATAATGACATCCATTGAGTCATGTACAGATATATAATACCATGAAGATCTGGGTAGAATTGATCTTCTGCAACCCCTGCTTGATGTTAGATGCGATTCAAGAGATCGGGTTGTCAGGCTCACTGACTCAGTTGATGCAAGCCATTTTATGTCAATTGTAAATCGATGCTCATGATGTCAGTTACTGGCTTGACTGGTCAACACTCACAGAATATTGTGGGCAGTGGGGTAGCCTAGTGGTTAAAGCGTTGGCTCGTCACGCCGAAGACCCAGGTTCGAATCCCCACATGGGTACAATGTGTGAAGCCCATTTCTGGTGTTCCCCGCCGTGATGTTGCTGGAATATTGCTAAACGCGGCGTAAAACCAAACTCAGTCAGTCAGTCAGTCAGTCACAGAATGCTGTTATGTAGCTTAGACAGTGCCGACATATTCAACAAACATGCCAACAAGCATCACTTGCTTGATAACGGTGTTAGTACCTACACCGACATGTTCCACTCATTGGAATTAAGAAGTTGACTATCCATAGAACATGGTTTTCCTTCATCTTCACAACTTCTAAAGATGCCTATCAAAGAAGATGACAACAAATATTTCTGTGATGGAATCAACCATCAGGACACCAGACAAATTAGGGGATGGTTGTTGACATTATCCAAATAATGGTCTAGGGTCCTGAATTTCTGTGATGGAATCAACTCTCAGGATACTAGACAAATTAGGGGATGGTTGTTGACATTATCCAAATAATGGTCTAGGGTCCTGAATTTCTGTGATGGAATCAACTCTCAGGATACGAGACAAATTAGGGGATGGTTGTTGACATTATCCAAATAATGGTCTAGGGTCCTGAATTTCTATGATGGAATCAACCATCAGGACACCAGACAAATTAGGGGATGGTTGTTGACATTATCCAAATAATGGTCTAGGGTCTTGAATTTCTGTGATGGAATCAACCATCAGGACACCAGACAAATTAGGGGATGGTTGTTGACATTATCCAAATAATGGTCTAGGGTCCTGAATTTCTATGATGGAATCAACTCTCAGGATACTAGACAAATTAGGGGATGGTTGTTGACATTATCCAAATAATGGTCTAGGGTCTTGAATTTCTGTGATGGAATCAACCATCAGGACACCAGACAAATTAGGGGATGGTTGTTGACATTATCCAAATAATGGTCTAGGGTCCTGAATTTCTATGATGGAATCAACCATCAGGACACCAGACAAATTAGGGGATGGTTGTTGACATTATCCAAATAATGGTCTAGGGTCCTGAATTTCTGTGATGGAATCAACTCTCAGGATACTAGACAAATTAGGGGATGGTTGTTGACATTATCCAAATAATGGTCTAGAAAGTCTGAAAGTCCTGAAAGTCTGTGTCTATCATTCTCGTACCTGAGAAGTTTTCAACTTTAGGTAGTACCTAAGATATGAGTAGCAACTTGGCAAGTAAAGTAGCCACAACCGTTTTGCTACCTGTGCTTGTAACCTCTGCAGCTTGGGGTCTTTCCCCAAATTTCAACTAGTTGGATTTGACTTGAATAAGATGCAGAAAATTTATTTTGTTCTATTTTGTTGCAGTATGGGACATCTGAGGGCATTTTGTAACATTATAGTAATGTAACATAACAACCTTTATTGACAGGCAGACCCCTAACAAACTGTAGTCACGTAGACACAAGTAGTTTCCCTTTGATAAGAAGTAGGTATTCTCATGGGCAGTCAGACCACAATAATATCTCTGAAAAGCTATTTGTTTGCCTTAAAAAGTTCACCTTGGAAACTTATGGTAGATAAGTCACTTACTAATCATTGAGTTAGAGACGTAATAAATTAATGCACACGTTCCAGGAAATTTACAATGTGTAGATATCAGTTGTGAAAGATGTTTTTCCAACAACAGACTTTAAAAATGACATTCTATGACAATGAAGTTATGATGTATGTTTATTCTGGAATAGAATAAGTATTGTGTTTAGCTAGGGATGAATTGCTTGATATTGACCATCCTGAATACTTGCATGATAATCTCTATGTATGTCCTATCTAGAAAGCTGTAGCAATTGTGTGGCATTATACATAGACACCATTGTCCTGACTCACATTACTAAAATATTTCTGCCTGAGCAAACAACAAAAAATTAAAATATTTCTAAAAGCAACAAATAAAATACCCAAATCTTGCTAGACAATCACTTGTTGTCTTGTTGTGCAAGCACATACCAGATTTTCATTTAGCTGTTGCCTTATTTTTGCTGATGAGTATATTTGTGAATACACAGCCAGGCAGGATGAAAGGGATGTATTCATTGATGCACAGTGTGACTGGTGTAAAGGGAGGGTTGTTTCACATTCTGCAGCAGTCTGCGACACCTCTTTAGCAGCCTGTTTCAGTTGCTGGAGATTGTGTGTCTGGAATTCTTCTAAATTAGCATTTTCTGATGAAGGGGGTTATTGTCTGGGGAAATTCTATCCTAAAGGGCAGCTTTTCGTCTGAATGGTTTTCTATCCCGACAGCTACCCCTGATGAGGTGCATACCGACTGAGTTACACTCCAAGCCTGCCACCCATGGCCAAGTCTTTCATTAGCTGCACAATACCAAAATAGAATGTTAACATGTTAAGTTAGACAGTATTGAGTGGCAGTCTGTGGTGTGTGGTTTCATTGTGTTTGTACAAAATCGGAGACTATTAGCAGTATAAGACTGTTACAGTGTAATGAACCTGATCGGCAAGGCCTGTGTGTGTGGTGTTGATGTTTTCAAACATAATCTGGCTGTAGGCCAGTCAGTTTGTGCTTATTCAAGTAGTCTTGTTTCTGGAATAATATTCAGTTTTGTACCTGGCTGGTTTATGACTGTGATCATTCTGACACCAGGATTGTTGCTCGCACTGTCGACCACATGTTTTGTCATGCTCCAACTGAATCTAGTTGTCATTCAGGAGCAATAGTCGCTCCTAACTGGGGTCAGGATTTATCTAGCAGGGCTCGATTTAGTGCTTTGTTAATTGCACTGGTGCAACCCAATATATCAAAGTGCAACCTAGCTATTAGTCTAACTTGCACCAGGTGCAAGTCAATTTTTGAGTGGGTAAACTTCTGAATAAAACATTGAAGTTATTCAATAGCATATTTCTTTCATTACATATTGCTATAAAAGCAGTGCAACTGGAATTTGTCTGGTGCAACTAGGTTTTTATCTTAGGTTGCACCTGGTGAAAGTAGGTTAACATCTCTTTAATCGAACCCTGTTTAGACCTGCTTAAAGTGTAATATTGAAGCCCAAGTGTGCAAACTTTTCTGTAATGATTCACAAAGGAGAAATAAATATTTCCTGTTTCATTGTACTAAATGAATTGACCCGTGAAGGTCCGGGTTATAATTCAGTATTCAGTAACCCATGCCTCGTAAGAGGTGATTAACGGGATCAGGTGGTCAGACTTGCTGACTTGGTTAACACATGTGATCGGTTCCCAATGGCGTAGGATGCTCATGCTGTTGATCACTGGGTTGTCTGGTCCAGACTTGATTGTTTACAGACCGCCGCCATATACCTGGAATATTGCTGAGTGCTGCGTAACCTTAACTCACTCATTGACTAAATGAATCATGTAGCTGTTGCATGGCAAGGACAGCTGTAAACCAGTCCTTTTGAACTTGAGTGTTATACAGGGCAGAATGGCCCCATAAAGAACCAGGTTAGAATTGGTCTTCAGCAGTGGGGCTGTGGGATAGCCTAGTGGTAACAGCGTTTGCTTGTCACGCCGCAGATCTGGGTTTGATTCCCCACATATGTAAAATGTGTGAAACCCATTTCTGGTGTGCCCTGCTGTGATAGCGCTGGAATATTGGTAAAAGTGGCATAAAACAACACTCACTCACTCACTCTTCAGCACATGCTTGTTGTGAGAGGGAGATAACAGAATGAGATGGTTCAGGTTCGCTGAAGCGATAGTATTCAATTACATAGATTGATACTCATGATGTCAATCACTGGATTGTATGGTTCAGATACAATCATTTACAGACCACAGTTGAATAGCAGGAATAGTGAAAACTAAACAAACATTAATTTGATTGATAGCATGTCACTGTAACCTGACAGCCTGGATTGATGTTTTTAATATCAATCACTGGATTGTCTGGCCAATGTTTTCAAAGGCCACCATCATATAGCTAGAAAGTTGCTGAGTGTGGTTTTAAACAGCAAGCAAAGTAAGAGAGATACAAACAAACTAACAAACAAACATTAATTTCTATGGTCAGGAAAGCAGGAGCAATTGTGATTGACAAGGTCAGTGGAATGCTGCATACATGTTTGTGGAAAGTATAAAAGAATATCCCTACATACCTACATACAGCCTTTACCTACACAGACAGGTAAGACAGGTGTGTTGTGTACCTGAACAGCACCTGTATTGACACTGCAGTCAACGTGACTGAACTTGCCCCTTGTGTACCTTTTCTGTTGATATACTTTACGAGAATTGTTAAGATGTTAAAGCATTAAAGTGTAAATGAGGTTAGCTATCAGTGACTGCTTTAGGACAGACAACTACTGTCTTTGTGGGGATCTGTTTTGTGAGTGTTTTATGTAGGTAGGTGAGTGATCATTGAGCCGTGATCTGCCGAGCTGACTGACAGGTCGCTAAAGACGACAGATAGTTGGTGAGTGAATCACACGGGTATACGCTCACAACAGCGATTGTGTGTTTGGAATGTACTGCTGCCTTTTGTGGAGGGCTTCTGTTGCTGCTGACTCTGTCAGATTGTGTACCGAGTGGCTGTGTGGAGTGTGAGAGTGCTACCGGAGTGTCAGTCTGGAGTGTTACTGGGCCCGTCCACAGCTCGCCAAGCAGTACGTCAGGGCATGTCAAGTGTTGACCACAAGTTGTCCACAAGTGAGTCATACTGTTGATTTTTACAATTTCCTTCCAAACCAGGATTGTACAGTTCAGTGCTAATGTGAGGTGTATGTATTAGCAACAGTGATTTCTTACAGGACTTATTGACATTGTTGTGTTGTTATTGTTGGGTGCAGAGTTTCTGCAACATTCGCTGTTGTTGTGTGTCAGTGGTGGTGGTTATCACCTGCAGCAACAAGCCACTTGCTTCACAGTCAGTAATGTGGATTAACGGGCATCAAGCAGCTCACCTTTAATCTTGGTTAATCCACAAAAGAGACTTCTGATTCATGTTTATCAATATCTTTCAGTTAGAACACAGTGATTAAGCTGCAGATGCTGCGAAGCTAATATTTGAACCCATGTCAGCAGAAAATGTCTTTTTTAAAGAGTAATTAAGAATCTTGTTAATTCCTGATAGTCTAGAGTTTTACATGTATAGCCTTGTTGGAACGTGCTACAAGATAACATGGACGATGATGATTGTAAAGAGAAGGCAATACTGCTTAGTTTGTTATTCCTGCATTGAGTGTAATATAGAGAATTCATGTTGAAATGCCCCTAAATTAAAGAAAATAATGTTTTAAAAATCGTACTTTTAGCAATAATTGTTTCGCAAATTTGCCTGTCAAGGGCACAATGATTTAAATCCGTACAAATAATCTGGAATAGTATCAATCAGGTGGAATGTTAAGGGTAATTGTATGTGTATGTTCTGTGAGAGACTGAGTATAGGTACATATTTGTGTGGCTTATAGATTCCAGAGGTCCATTAATCAGGTGTTGCCTGAGGCAGTAGCTCCTTGCTTTGTACTTAATCCACCAATCTATATATACATGGAACACATCACATGACACCTTCATGTTAAAACACATTGAGGCTGAGGCTGAGATTACACTGTGTTGTCCTTACCAGACATGCTAAAGCTGAGCATGTTTCCTATCAGACATGCTAAAGCTAAACTTGTTTCCTATCAGACATGCTAACGCTAAACTTGTTTCTTATCAGACATGCTAAAGCTGAACTTGTTTCCTATCAGACATGCTACAGCTGAACTTGTTTCTTATCAGACATAGCAGAACTTCTTTTCTATCAGACATTCAAAGCTGAATTTATTTCCTATCAGACATGCTACAGCTGAACTTGTTTCCTATCAGACATGCCATAGCTGAACTTGTTTCCTATCAGACATGCCATAGCAGAACTTCTTTTCTATCAGAATTGCTAAAGCTGAACTTGCTTCCTATCAGACATGCCATAGCTGAACTTGTCTTCTATCACACATTCTAAAGCTGAACATATTTCCTATTTGTCCCACTAAAGCTGAATATGTTTACTTGCAATTATTGAAAAGCTGAACATGTTTCCTATCAGACCTATTAAAGCTGAACATGTTTACTAGCAGTCATCGTAAAGCTGAACTTGTTTCCTATCAGACATGCTGAAGCTGAACATGTTTCCTATTTGTCACACAAAAGACATGCTAAAGTGAAATGTATTCCATGTCTGACATACTAAGACAGAACTTATTACTCTGTCAGTCAGTTTTAAGTCTTCTAAACCAACTGAACCAATTCAGGGACAGAAAGTGTCTGAGTGCAAGCAGTGGTTGTCTGTCCAGTGACTTCATTGTTGGAAACTAAGCATGATCATCGAGGGCTGATAACCCATACTGTGATGACCTCCCTCCTCTGCCTCTCTGTCTCATGCACATACATTGACAATAAGTGTGTGTGCCTGTCTGCCTGTCGAGTGATGCACAGGCTGTGGGTGCTGAGCTGATTTTGCGTTATTTGTGCATGTACATTGACTACAAAATGTCTGTCTGTCTGAATCGCTGCACTGACTGGGATGAGATGTGGATTGACAGTTACAGATGCATGTACATGTGACCACATGTGTCTGTCGACTACAGGGCTGGAGTGACATGTCAAGGTTGACAGTGTGGTGGGAACTTGACCCTGATGATAATACAATGTAAACTATGGCACACTGAACAAACAGCTACATCACATCATAGCTCATCCTGCACTAAAGAGGAGGTCATTTACCCCAGCCAACTCAGTCTGCAGCAGCCATTTTTGAGGAGCAGTATGTTTGACGTGTTCTTTCTAGGTATCTGAAAGCCACACCGATTTTGTTTTATTTTTTGTAATACAGATTCTTTGCACCAAATTGGCTAGGTTGGACAGAAGAAAAATTATTATCCTGAAAATTAAAATTTGAAATTTCAATGGTTTAGGAGATAAAGAGTGAATGTTTTGTTTGCCATGACCAGCACATGTGGTTTAAACTCTACCACTGAATAAATGTGGACAAATGACGGATTGAAACATTGTCTAATTTTAACAGCAGTGACATGTTACGGAATTTTCCTGGTGTGATAGAGGAAAATAGTGACACTCCATTGGTGTGAAATTAATCAATCAGCTCAATATTGAGGCACTGACTGTTGATTGATTAAAGGATGAGATTATCTGACAGTTTATCTGAGAAAATTTGTGTAACACTATGTTTTGTTTGACTGAAAAGAGACTAGTCTTCAAAATCTGTCATATTTTAACCCCTTTACCTTGTTTCATGCAATATTTATCACCCCCCCACTCCCACCCACTATATTTTTTCATGCCTCAACCTACCCTCACCCTCACTCACCACCAAAATCTGGGGGCGGTGGGGTAGCCTAGTGGTTAAAGCGTTCGCTCGTCACACCAAAGACCTGGGTTCGATTCCCTACATGGGTACGTGTGAAGCCCATTTCTGGTGTCTACCGCCGTGATATTGTTGGAATATTGCTAAAAGCAGTGTAAAACCAAACTCACTCACCCACCCAAATCTCACAGCTGGCTGACTGAGTCGATCAGTTGTTGGTAGTTGTCATATCCCAAATGTTAAGATCATCTGACACATGCAGTATTGCAGAGTGCAACAAATGATCTACTCATATTATTACTTAATACTTGATCACTGAAACGACAATGTTGATCAACATGATCAGGACTGAATCAGCCCATTTATGACATTACCAAACAATGAGGATCTTAGACAACAAAAACCAGATACAAATCCCCGCCATGATAGAAAGTCTTAGTGTCACATTATGATAATCTAGCAGAGGCCCAGATAAGCTGCGTATCTGGGTAAAATACGCATAGAAAATTTCCAATTACGCATTGAAAAATAATTGTTGCGTACCAATTACGCATTAAAAATGGTAGATACGCAAAAAGTTTAAAACAAATGCGTACGAAATATATTTATGAAAATCACTTGCGTAATGAAAAAGACATCGATTGCTATCAAGTTGTACTGTTAGTATTGGACAAGTGTTGTACTGTCAGTATAGGATGAGTGATTTTTTATGAAATCATTTCCATTATATTTAAGTTGGTTTTGATTAGGTATGACATAAGGCAGAACATACCTTAGGTGAGTAAAATGACTGAAATACGCACATATTTCAAAGCAGTGGGTAATGGAAAATGAAATACCCGCTCAACATTCATAATATCCACTCAAAAAAAATACAGTGGGTACCGTACCCACATGAGCTAAATCTTATCTGGAGCCCTGATCTAGATCAGAACAACAGTCTTATCCAATTCCTGGCTTTTATATGAATTCTTACTTGACCCATTGTGGTATCTGGTGATAATGTTATGTCAACTGATTATATAACTGCTTACAGCTGACCATATCCTGTAACACACAGCAAATATACACTGCAGAGTCGTCTCCCTTAGTTGTGACAGGTTCCACAGGTCATTAAAGTTCGAATCGTAAGTTAACCCTGATTTCTCTGTGTGGTATCAACTATGTACAGTGTACACTTGCTGAAAGATTTCATAAAGTGGATATTATGACCACCTGCATATCCTGGCTCGTTAAGTTGACAGAATGGTGGTGTCACTGAAATTATTCACAGTGATTATCAATGCAGGCCTATTAGTTAGATGATTTAACCCGTTTATTTAAACTGGAATAGCCACTGACCAGATTAAGGTGGTTGTCCTGTTTATAGTGAGTGAGTGAGTTAAAATTACATCGGCAATATCTCAGCCATATTGTTACGAATTCTGTTTGTATACAATAAGGGTTGTTGGAAGTAGTAGGGCAGGCGAGTGTTTAAATTGTTCAACTATCTTGCAGAGGGCCTTGGTTTGATTTTTTACTTTTATATATAAATATGCACCTGAGTGTAAGTACAGTAACCTACATTGTGGTATTAACCGCTTTATGAGTCAGACTCGAGTGTGACAAATAAAGGGGACCCTGCTTGTCAAACCAACCAAGTTGTTCCCCATTGTTGCAGTGGATTGAGATGCCCCATTGAGAGTTCTAACAGGGACTGCAGGCATCATTGCTTTGTAGGTTTCTAACACTGCTCCGTTTGTTATAAAATCTTGAGGCCTCAATGCCAGACGTACTGCAGAAGAGAATCACGACTCCTCATCTGCTTTAAGTCGCTATAAATGCCTGTTAGTGATGGTGTGTGAATCTTGGGGCTGTAGTTTTGCTCCATGGATTTGAGTGAGGCTTTGTTGGATGACTGCAGCAAGCAGCGGGGTGTCTGTTTATGTGTGTCTCATCTCCAACAGTCGTGACCTCCGTTGCAGGTTATAGTGGGTAAGGGGAAGATGAGGTTTGTTAATACTAGCTTTATTGTTTGATTGTGTGGCATGAAGCGGCACCATGGTGTTTGTGACACCGTTGTTGAGCAGGTCGTGTTCTGGGAGTAGGAGTATGAAGCGGCACCATGGTGACTGTGACACCTTTGTTGAGCAGGTCGTGTTCTGGGAGTAGGTTTGGAGTATGAAGCGGCACCATGGTGACTGTGACACCTTTGTTGAGCAGGTCGTGTTCTGGGAGTAGGAGTATGAAGCGGCACCATGGTGACTGTGACACCTTTGTTGAGCAGGTCGTGTTCTGGGAGTAGGAGTATGAAGCGGCACCATGGTGACTGTGACACCTTTGTTGAGCAGGTCGTGTTCTGGGAGTAGGGTTGGAGTATGAAGCGGCACCATGGTGACTGTGACACCTTTGTTGAGCAGGTCGGTGTTCTGGGAGTAGGAGTATGAAGCTGGCACCATGGTGACTGTGACACCTTGTTGAGCAGGTCGTGTTCTGGGAGTAGGGTTGGAGTATGAAGCGGCACCATGGTGACTGTGACACCTTTGTTGAGCAGGTCGTGTTCTGGGAGTAGGAGTATGAAGCGGCACCATGGTGACTGTGACACCTTTGTTGAGCAGGTCGTGTTCTGGGAGTAGGGTTGGAGTATGAAGCAGCACCATGGTGACTGTGACACCTTTGTTGAGCAGGTCGTGTTCTGGGAGTAGGAGTATGAAGCGGCACCATGGTGACTGTGACACCTTTGTTGAGCAGGTCGTGTTCTGGGAGTAGGAGTATGAAGCGGCACCATGGTGACTGTGACACCTTTGTTGAGCAGGTCGTGTTCTGGGAGTAGGGGTATGAAGCGGCACCATGGTGACTGTGACACCTTTGTTGAGCAGGTCGTGTTCTGGGAGTAGGGTTGGAGTATGAAGCAGCACCATGGTGACTGTGACACCTTTGTTGAGCAGGTCGTGTTCTGGGGGTAGGAGTATGAAGGCACCATGGTGACTGTGACTGCTTTGTTGAGCATGAAGCAGCTTTGTTGAGCAGGTGGGGTTCTGGGAGTAGGGTTGGAGTATGAAGCGGCACCATGGTGACTGTGACACCTTTGTTGAGCAGGTCGCGTGTTCTGGGAGTAGGGTTGAGTATGAAGCAGCACCATGGTGACTGTGACACCTTTGTTGAGAGCGGGTCGTGTTCTGGGAGTAGGGGTATGAAGCGGCACCATGGTGTTTGTGACACCGTTGTTGAGCAGGTCGTGTTCTGGGAGTAGGAGTATGAAGCGGCACCATGGTGACTGTGACACCTTTGTTGAGCAGGTCGTGTTCTGGGAGTAGGGTTGGAGTATGAAGCAGCACCATGGTGACTGTGACACCTTTGTTGATCCGGTCGTGTTCTGGGAGTAGGAGTATGAAGCAGCACCATGGTGACTGTGACACCTTTGTTGAGCAGGTCGTGTTCTGGGAGTAGGAGTATGAAGCGGCACCATGGTGACTGTGACACCTTTGTTGAGCAGGTCGTGTTCTGGGAGTAGGGGTATGAAGCGGCACCATGGTGACTGTGACACCTTTGTTGAGCAGGTCGTGTTCTGGGAGTAGGTTTGGGGTATGAAACAACACCAAGGTATGGGGTATGGAGCAGGCCAAGCTAACGCGTTTTAGATTCTGCATAATTGATTTCAGCATAAGACGCAGTAAAGAGGTTCAGTTCGGTTCATTTCGGTTCCGTATATGAGATGTGATCATAATGCAGAAAATTGACAAGAGACGTCTAGCAAAGAAATGCTTAGATTTTGACAAAATGATTCGATTTCTAGACATTTTAGAAAAGGTTTACAAAGGTTAATAAAATGTCAGTACGAAAACCGAAATACTGAATTTTTTTATTTCATTATGGTATACCAAACCGAAGGTAAAGTACCGCGGTATTAGTTGAACCGTTGCCGTTTCACCCCAAACATTACTCTACTGTATCATAGTCAGGAGTAGCGGAACTTGATTCACCTGTAAAACAAACCAAAATGTCATACACATTATACTCGGTCTGTAATTCTATAAGTTGGTCTCAAGTCTAAGGCAACAAACCAAATTACTTTTCTGTCAAGCAAACTAAATTCTACTAAAACTACCAAATTACCATTTTGATTCCAGTTGAATGTCTGGGATGTGTTTGTCATCAGAGGTATGAGGTTGAATCTGATGGTCAGACTAATTACTACGTCATTGGCAATGTGTCACTGTACCCTTGTAGTGAATGAGTGAGTTTAGTTTTATGCCGCTTTTAGCAATATTGCAGCAATATCACAGCATGGGACACCAGAAACGGGTTTCATGCATAGTGTACCCATGTGGGGAATTGAACCTGGGTCTTTGGTGTAATGAGCAAACACTTTACCCAACTGTCCCTTGTAAAACAACATGGGCCTTGTTTTTAGTATCAGTTATTGGACAGGCTAGCACAGGGATGATCGGTTACAGTTGGTGGTAAATAGCTGGGAGTACTGCAGAGTCAGATAATAACAAACAAACACACTGAATAAAACTCACTTGGATGCGTCTCAATTAATCCTTGTAATGTGGAACCAGATATAATGGAAGTTTATGGTGGCTATGTTTGATTTAAAATAATTTTTCGTCAAATAGCATGATTTATTCATGTATATTATTTATATGTTAAGTTAACCTGCTGGTGTCGTGTGCTATCGGCTTACCAGCTGAAGACTTGTAAATGATACAAGTCACAGCATGAGATAAGTCGGATCTCATTTGTTTTCATGGCTGAATATAGGTCACAGCGATAGTATCTTAAGTTAGTATGGATTCAGTCTATTATTAATATTTGGTGGGCAGTACAGACTCTCAGGTCAGTGGTGTTCCAACCTGTTGATGTGAATGTGTTTGGGGCACAGGCAGTTGTGTTAGTGAAACTCCTTGGACTTATGAATGTTTGACAGAAGCTTACCGCCAGGAAAACTGGTTAAAATTGGTCTTCAGCAACCCATGCCTGTTGTAAGTAATGTGTCCTAAGAGACTGGGTGGTTTGCTTGCTGGCTTGGTAGATGCACGTCATTGCACATGTATCTCAAGTGAATAATCGAAGTCACTCACTGGATTGTCTGGTCCGGGCTTGAATTTTTCAGACTGCTCTCGTCTAGCTGGAATATTGCTGAGTTGGTTGTAGCACAACCAACAAATGTTGAAATTATCTTCTTGTATAATAATGCCCAAATTCACAGGAACTTTAGGTCATAATATTGTAGTAAAACCATTTTATTGTTTGAGGTAATATTTCAGGGCTACTACATACTTTTTCTTCAAAGGAATATTGATATCACGTGAACGGTGTTGAAATCATATATGTCACATTCACAAGCCTAGTGATATCCTACTAATGTAAGGCAGCTGCTGATATTAAACTGGCAGTTTAAGTTTTGGGAAAAACAGCAAGATTTTAGGATAAAATAAGTAGTCGATTTAGCATTTTATGAATATACTCATGAATGACTAACTGAGTCCTTCCTAGTTTCATTGTGTTTATTATTCCTTTCATTGTCTTATGTCTGAAGGTTTATACAGGGTATTCCAAATGACAGTTGCTGGCTGTTTAACTGAATCCATCAAAATCATTGTCAACTGCTTCCTTCAGTGGGATAATCATTTCAACAGACGAGACTTTCCATCGACCATGGGAACAGCTGTCATCCAGTCTCTGTTACACATTCAAGAACATACTTTTGTTCTAAAATTCATCTTTTTTATCAATGTATAGTCTTGAGCAGAGATTGGTTTATAGAAACTACTGCCATATTGTTTGAGAAATTTGCCTTTCTGCTTGTCAAGTGGATTCTTGTTAGTTGTTTGGTCAGTCAATGTTTTAAGTTGGCTGACGTAACCGAAAATGAGATGTCCTCAGATCTTAGTTTTGTAGTAGCAAAATGTAATATTAGTGTGAACATTCTCATTATAATCAGGGTAACTCGCAAACATTTCAGCCAGACCACAGGACTGGTTAGATGAGAAACTTGCCAGCCCTGACCAAAACTTCCATGTCCACAAAGTATATTTTAACCCGACCGTCAGGCAGGTGAATTTGAGAATCTGGCAGTCCGTGTTGAAAATAAGCCATAGGTATTTCGAACGCTGCTATAATGCAACTAGTGTTGAGGATTGTTTTGAATTTATTGAGTTCAAGGACAAGCTCTCTTTGCAACCATACTGATGAATCTCAACAGAGATGAGAGAACATGCCTTGTTTCTCTGTTCCATATTTCAATGACCCGTGAAGGTCCGGGTTAGAATTGATCATCAGTAACCAATGCTTGTCGTAAGAACCGACTAACGGGATCGGGTGGTCAGGCTCGCTGACTTGGTTGACACGTCATCGGTTCCGAATTGCGTAGATCAATGCTCATGCTGTTGATCACTGGATTGTCTGGTCCAGACTCGATTATTTACAGGCCGCTCCCATATAGCTGGAATATTGCTGAGTGCGGCCTAAAACTAAACTCACTCTCTCACTCAACTTATTTCAATAGGGATGGCACTTATTGCTTCTTAATCAAACTTTCTCTTTCCAGACATGGAGCCCTCAGTAGTGAAAGGAAGGCGGAGTCAATATTCCAGTAGATATTATGAGTGGGGCAACAGAAGCAACAGATGCCCTTGATGTGGTCACCAAGGATACCACTCACAGGCTGTCTGAAGACGATGGCAGCCAACCACCAAGGAATTTCACATGAAGCCTGTGAAACTTGTTCAGGAAAGATTATCTACATAAATATCAAAAGCTGATAAGAAGTACCCCATCTGTGGTAACCCACTATTTCTCCAGTCTCCATAGCAACAAATATACTCATCATCTTCATAGCAACAGATCTACAGATTTCGTGGCCATAGCAAACAGAACTGCAAAAAAGTTTCAGAAGCTACAGATCTTCAACTGTGGTTGTGTACCAATTAGATGATTATAATATAGAACCCATGCTCCCCATGACCCCATCACAAGTTTGAAAGAACTTATTGTACAGAACGTAACCTGATTATTTAGGTTATTACCTCAAACATTCCAGTACTGTCTACATCCTATATTCCATGTAAGGAAATATTGACACATCATATTACATATCAACGATTACATACCAGAATATTGTCAGGGGTTCATGCCAAACTGTTGTGATCCCAAAATAATATTTCCATACTTTTACACCTTAATCATTCCATACAGAAACTTCACACCCTCAAGCCAAGAAGTTTCTCGAATCCTTTCTTTTTTTCATTTTTACAAGTATGTGTTAATTTTTCATGATTCCGTGAAGCAGAAGAGTTCACATAACAGTTGTCATTGATTACCTCGTTTCAGCAAATTAACTGCACTCACCTGTCAGATCTGCTTGACAGATTACTACTTCCAAGCAAAGTTCATTAATCTTTTGATGGGAGAGTAATTAATCTGTTGCTGATACTCAGAACAATAGGGCTGCCCTTGTCGAGGGTCGGTGTAATTCAACCGACGAGATCATCATTCTTGGATTGTTTAATAGGACCATCAGCAAGGTGTTGTGTGGATCAAGTTAGAGACTTACGTTTGTGATTGAAGGCTCCTGTTTTACGACAGTGTTCATGGGACACAGCTGACGGTCCTGATACTGATGGTTGACAACTGTTTTCAAGGGTTGCTGTGAGCGTTGATCTTGGTTTGTGATGATAGAAGCTTTGTTGACTTTGTGATAAAAATGTGATAAAAACACGCCATATCACTGACTCAATTATTGAACAAGCTCTTATATCCGGCAGATATTATCCGAGTGCGTGTTTCATTTCCTTGGAGAAATTTGACGTCTGCCCATATCAAGATTTGATGTATATTGGTGTGTGATTGGCACGTTAAATCAACATTGCCAGCACGGATCAAACTTCAGGTGAATGAATGTGGATGAATTAATCGTAACCTAGGCAACATGCTTCAATCAGAGTTGGCTGTTTAGACAGTGAGATTACCGTCACATATGAAACAATGGCACCAATTCATTTATGAGAGAACTCAACAATACCATGTGGAGTACTGCTGTGAGGATTATATATGAAGCCAGAAATGGGTGCTAAAACAAGATAGTGGTTCATTGTGTTCCATATGGATTATATTGACAGCAGTGTAAGTGACAAATTCGCAGGAGATTGGTTTCGATTTATTGAATATATTTATCTGACAGTGTAATTAATGTGACCCCATGGTGCATCTGTGACTTGATTTGTTGGCATCGTGGAGTGTCATTGTCAGACGCCTGTCTTGGAGTTAGAAACAGTACAACGCTGTACAGAAGGCAGCCAGATGGTGATCAGCTTACAGTGCTGTCAGACGAGATATACCATGAAGATAGTTATCTCCCTTCATTCAAGTCGTCTATTTTCTGGGGCGTTGTGACAGCTGGCGTTGTCATGAAGTCATCACTTGTTCTGGTGGCGCTGGTGTCGGCAGTATTCTGCCGTTGTTTCAACAAACAACCAGGTAAGACTTACTTCCTGTATTTTTACCTACATTGTTAGCTTAAGTGGTGCTCCCAGTAGAGGATCCCTGTAAAATCCGGATTAGAACTGGTGTCTGGGAACCCATGCTTATTGTAAGAGTGAGTTAGTGAGTGAGTGAGTATGGTTTTACACCGCTTCAAGCAATATTCCAGCAATATCACGACAAGGGACACCAGAAATGGGCTTTACACGTTGTACCCATGTAGGGAATCGAACCAGGGTCTTTGGTGTGGCGAGCCAACGCTTTTACCACTGGGCTACACCACTGTCCCCATATTTTGAACTAGGCTTGTGTTAGGAGCCATTGATTATTAGTCAGAAAAGTAAATCTATCCATTACTTGGTCCATAGTGTATCCATCCATTTGCTTGGTCCAGTCATAGGTCCATCCATCCATTGGCCGCACATTGGGTCATCCCTCCTTTAGCTCTACAGTGGGTCCATCCATTCCTAGGCCTTACAGTGGGTCCATCCATCTCTTGGCCTTACAGTGGATCCATCCATCTCTTGGCCTTACAGTGGGTCCACCCATCTCTTGGCCTTACAGTGGGTCCATCCATCTCTTGGCCTTACAGTGGGTCCATCCATCTCTTGGCCTTACAGTGGGTCCATCCATCTCTTGGCCTTACAGTGGGTCCATCCATCTCTTGGCCTTACAGTGGGTCCATCCATCTCTTGGCCTTACAGTGGGTCCATCCATCTCTTGGCCTTACAGTGGGTCCATCCATCTCTTGGCCTTACAGTGGGTCCATCCATCTCTTCTACAGTGGGTCCATCCATCTCTTGGCCTTTCTCTTGGCCTTACAGTGGGTCCATCCATCTCTTGGCCTTACAGTGGGTCCATCCATCTCTTGGCCTTACAGTGGGTCCATCCATCTCTTGGCCCTACAGTGGGTCCATCCATCTCTTGGCCTTACAGTGGGTCCATCCATCTTTTGGCCCTACAGTGGGTCCATCCATCTCTTGGCCTTACAGTGGGTCCATCCGTCTCTTGGCATTACAGTGGGTCCATCCATCTCTTGGCCTTACAGTGGGTCCATCCATCTCTTGGCCTTACAGTGGGTCCATCCGTCTCTTGGCCTTACAGTGGGTCCATCCAGTTTTTGGTCCAGCTGTAGGTCCATCCATTACTTGGCCTTACAGTGGGTCCATCCGTCTCTTGGCCTCACAGTGGGTCCATCCATTACTTGGCCTCACAGTGGGTCCATCCATTACTTGGCCTCACAGTGGGTCCATCCATTACTTGGCCTTACAGTGGGTCCATCCATCTCTTGGCCTCACAGTGGGTCCATCCATCTCTTGGCCCTACAGTGGGTCCATCCGTCTCTTGGCCTTACAGTGGGTCCATCCAGTTTTTGGTCCAGCTGTAGGTCCACCCATGCCTTGGCCTTACAGTACACTGGGTCCTTCCATCTCTTGGTCCATCCATGCCTGTCCATCCATTCCTAGGCATTACATTTGATCCATCCATCTCTTTGCCTTTACAGTGGGTCCATCCATGCCTGTCCACCAATTGACCTTATACTGGATCTATTCATCCTCGGCCTTACTATGGGTCTATCCTTTCCTTGGCTTAAGAGTGGGTCCATCCATTCCTTGGTACACCAGAGGCCACATACATTAACTGCCTGTCCCCTGTTTCATATGAATAAGTAAATGACTGATAGACGTTGTGATTAAGTGAGGTTTTTTTACATTTTGAGATGATCAAATGATCCATCATGTTCACTCAACCTCATGGTATTTATAACAACAGCACCCCTCCTAATCCCCTTTCCTAGTTGTGGGCACAGAATGCATGAGATCTACAAGAACATCAAGTAAGTTCTAACTGTGTTTTGTCTTTGAGGATAGAATAGATGCACATTGAAACATTACTCTTGGCCTCAGTATAACTTGGTGTACAGTGACTAACTTGGTTGGTATGATCTATAGAATGTATACTGTTCTGTATTGGTTGTAGGGGCGGTGGGGTAGCCTAGTGGTTAAAACGTTGGCTCGTCACGCCGAAGACCCGGGTTCGAATCCCCACATGGGTACAATGTGTGAAGCCCATTTCTGGTGTGCCCCGCGGTGATATTGCTGGAATATTGCTAAAAGCGGCGTAAAACCAAACTCAGTCAGTCAGTGTATTGGTTGTGTGTTTATGGTAACATGCTAGTTTTTCAGTAAAAACAGTGTTCTTAGTTGTGTTGTCTATTGTCAGCTGACCCTAAGCAATCTAATTTGTTCTGGTCGCCATTTGGCTGAAGCACTTTTTATGTGACTTGAAAAATTCACTCACTCACTCACTTGGTTTAGTATCTTGTAATATGTCTTGTTTACCCATGTGTTCTGATGTTCCAGATAAATTAAAGTGAGCTACAGAGATATATTAAGTAATTTTAGTTCTTAATCCGTATCTATATCATCATGTTCTATAATTTCCTGTAATTTTCATCCTTTTTAAAGCATACTTGGTAAACAGTTATTGGGAGTGGTTTATATTTACCAGTAACCGCCTCCAAAATGGGTTTGCCTGCAGATGACTGGTGAGGTGAGGTGAGGTGAAATTGGGTTTAACGTCGTGCTTGAGAATATTTCGCTCATATGACGACGTGCATGCATGTGTATGTGTATGTGCGGCTGCTTGTACTAGCCCAGACTTAAGCTGGTTTTATAGTGCTAGCCCACTGAGATACCATGCCGCAGTGAAGCATGAATACCCCACTCGGGCACATTATACTGACTCCAAGCCGACCAGTCCTTGTTGTACCCATTAATGCCGAGAGCCAGGCAGGGACCAACAATTACCATATTTAAACGTCTTTTGGTATGATGCGGTTGGGGATTGAACCCGCGACCTTCCGCTCTCCGGGCGGACGCTCTAACCACTACACCACGGACGCGTGAAGATGACTGGATAGCAACACACTCTTGTAAGAGTTTGACAAAGGAGTTTTTAGAGCACTGATATTGTTTCCGAGACCATTGCTAGGTGTAGTGGCCACCACATTAGATCAGGTGATCAGGTTGGATTACTTGGTTGATGCAGGTTGTCACACCACAGCAACATGGAATATCCTCTTGAGGTTAACATGGGTTTCACAGGTTTGATTAATTACAAGCTACAGAGATAAAGGTGGGTAAGTGCTGCGTATAAAACAACAAAGACACAATTGTATATTTTCTGTGTCACAACCTCTGTGTATTACCTCCCTGTGGGGAGTCAAAGTCACGAGCATGTTCTGGTCATAAGGCCTCCTTCAATGGTCAGGTTCAGTGATCTGGTTGATAACACCCTTGCACCCTGACAGTGAGAATTGGTCATCAGTCACTGGATTGTCTGGTTCAGGGTTGATTATTTACAGATCGTCATCATCAGCCACCAGCCTGTTCCTATCTGTGACTGGTCAGTGGTGTGGGATTGTGTCTCCTGGTGTGTGTTGCTGGGCAGTGTAACCGGGCAGGTGACAGCTCCACTGCAATATCAATAAATGACTGGCTTGTCAGACAAAGACTCCTTGTTGTCAAGCTGCCGACAGCTTGGTAGCAGTTGCACCGACAACACCAACCCTGGCTTGTTCCCATCCTAGAGATCCCAGAGTTCCCAGAGTTCCCAGAGTTCCCAGACACAGGCTGGTTGTTAACCTGTGGAGACTGTGTGTCATTGTGTCTGAACTTGTTAACCCCTTTGAGGCGGTGTCAGTCTGCACTGCTTCATTAAGCTCTTCCAGGCTGTCTGTGTCAAATAGTCTGCAATGATTTAATGGTTAACCTGATCAGCAAAAACTACTGGGAATGCTATATACAGACTATAATTAATTATACAGTCCAATCCCGATGAGTCGAATGCCGGTGTCTCGAATATTATGCATAACTCGAAGTACCTGTCGGTCCGACCATTCCCTGTTATAGTTGTCATCATTTGATTTCTGGTTACACGAATTCGTCTCATAAATACACACGATGACTCGAGAAGGAAATTTGGTCCCATGAGATTCAAACAACAGCAATCTTGTATACATAAGCCGAAGTCAGTCAATGAGAAGTTGATTGGTGTAGCAAACAGATCCAATTAACAAACCATCGAGGCTCACACTTTTTCGCCATTGACGGGTGAGTTCAAAAGGCAGATTAGTGATTTTACGGAAATCACTGGCCGTGCTAATCAGACTGGAAGTGATAAGGTGCCCCTATTAGTGATTTGGAAATCATTAGATAAACAAATGCTTAGGTGGAGGAATTAGGACTGGATCATCTTTTTTTCTACCCTCATAGACATACCTATGTCTCGAATACATCGATAAGTCAAATTTATTACTTGGTCCCCATTGATTCGACTCATCGGGATTTGACTGTAATCCTCACGCTGAACACAGTGAACCTGTTAATTATCATGTTCATTACAGTTTTGACTCTATCAATGTAGTGACAAAGTTACGGGCTCAGGGGTCCATGCGATTGTTCCCACAGTATCTAAATCTAGGTAAATCCTATGCTTCTAATATACAGGTTATAAAAATGACTCGTTGACATTCATGGTTAAAGTGTTCGCTTGTCTTGCCGAAGACCTGGTTTCGATTCCCCATATGAGTAAAAATACTACAATATGGGAAAATCATTTCTGGTGTTCCATGCCATGATATTGTTGGAATATTACGGCATTGTGAAGTAATACTCTCTGCTCACTCATTCACATACCATTTGCACCACAGTTGAAGAAATCCGAGGGTTGAAGATGACCTTTAAAGTACTGCAATGGTGACTGTTTCAGAGTACTTCCAGCACCGGTCCCTGTATCACAATGAGAAGAATCTGTCCATCATTCTGGAGGGCAGCAACAGGTTCACCCACATGGTCGCCAACGGCATCCTCAAGATCCTTCTGGAGGAGACGATAGGCTACTCTGTGAAGGTCAACAACCAGAACTCCATCAATGCCACACAGATACTCAACAGAATCTTCGGATGCCCAATTCGTCAACAGTGAGATTATTTGTCTGTTTACAAATATTTGTGTTTGTTGTTAAAGAGTACTTAGTAATGATAACACTGGTTTTATTGTCTCTTGAAGCTTTTTTAGTTTATCGAATGCTTGTAGAATGTAGAATTAGGGAACGGTCCAGGTATTCACAATTGTTGAGTGCTGGTACAAATAGTACAGTTGCTTTACAGATTTTTCCCCAAAAAATTCAGTAATGGAGTGGAACTGGACGCAGGGCAGGATAGGACAGGTAATCTGACAAGACATGGAAGGGTGATTGTTACTTCAATATGGCTTGACTGACTGCCTCTCACTGTCAATGCTGGATTGTCCTGTAAATTACTTCTATTTTTTCCAATTTTCAGTTTTTATGTCAAAGTTGTCTCATTAAGGTATTGCAAGATTTTGAATTTTTTAGATTTTTATACAAAACATTATACAAATATTAGTTCTATTATTTTTCTTTCCAATTCCTCTATTTTGTGTCACTTGATCCATAAACCAAATAATGATTAAAAAGGCATTTGCCTGACCTTTCTCTTTAAATTTGATGCCTAAAAGTGTATATTTATCTTACCCAACCTAATTGCATTTCACCCCAAATGGAGACTTCCTTTCATCAAATATACTTCAGTTAAAACATGGAAAAGAAGGAAACATTATTTGAGAAGACATTCTCTGGTGATAGAAAAGCTAGGAAGTCTGCAACATATAAGGGGAGGTTGGGTATCTCAGTGGTGAAAGAGATTGCTCATGAAGCAGGAGCTGCCTGAGGGTTGATTCCTTCCCAACATTGGTACTCACTGGGACATACATAGGCAAAGGAGGAACTGGGTCTGTTAAAGCTGGTGAAATATTGATAACATAAAGTTATGAACCTAGTCAACAAGTGAATCAGCCAAGGATATGGTTAACAACAGAACATGGTCAACAAGTGAATTGGCCAAGGATATGGTTAACACCTGAACATGGTTAAGAACTGAATCAGAGAAGGATATGGTTAACAAATGAATCTGTCAAGGATACGGTTAACAGCTGAATCAGAGAAGGATATGGTTAACAGCTGAATCAGTCAAGGATATGGTTAACAGCTGAATCAGAGAAGGATATGGTTAACAGCTGAATCAGAGAAGGATGTGGTTAACAGCTGAATCAGTCAAGGATATGGTTAACAGCTGAATCAGAGATGGATGATGGTTAACAAATGAATCAGTCAAGGATATGGTTAACAACAGAACATGGTCAACAAGTGAATTGGCCAAGGATATGGTTAACACCTGAACATGGTTAAGAACTGAATCAGAGAAGGATATGGTTAACAAATGAATCTGTCAAGGATACGGTTAACAGCTGAATCAGAGAAGGATATGGTTAACAGCTGAATCAGTCAAGGATATGGTTAACAGCTGAATCAGAGAAGGATATGGTTAACAGCTGAATCAGAGAAGGATATGGTTAACAGCTGAATCAGTCAAGGATATGGTTAACAGCTGAATCAGAGATGGATGATGGTTAACAAATGAATCAGTCAAGGATATGGTTAACAGCTGAATCAGAGAAGGATATGGTTAACAGCTGAATCAGAGAAGGATATGGTTAACAGCTGAATCAGAGATGGATGATGGTTAACAAATGAATCAGTCAAGGCTATGGTTAACAGCTGAATCAGTCAAGGATATGGTTAACAAATGAATCAGTCAAGGATATGGTTAACAGCTGAATCAGAGATGGATGATGGTTAACAGCTGAATCAGTCAAGGATATGGTTAACAGCTGAATCAGAGAAGGATATGGTTAACAAATGAATCAGTCAAGGATATGGTTAACAGCTGAATCAGAGATGGATGATGGTTAACAGCTGAATCAGTCAAGGATATGGTTAACAGCTGAATCAGAGAAGGATATGGTTAACAGCTGAATCAGAGAAGGATATGGTTAACAGCTGAATCAGAGATGGATATGGTTAACAGCTGAATCAGAGAAGGATATGGTTAACAGCTGAATCAGAGATGGATGATGGTTAACAAATGAATCAGTCATGGATATGGTTAACAGCTGAATCAGTCAAGGATATGGTTAACAGCTGAATCAGAGAAGGATATGGTTAACAGCTGAATCAGAGATGGATATGGTTAACAGCTGAATCAGAGAAGGATATGGTTAACAGCTGAATCAGAGATGGATGATGGTTAACAAATGAATCAGTCATGGATATGGTTAACAGCTGAATCAGTCAAGGATATGGTTAACAGCTGAATCAGAGATGGATATGGTTAACAGCTGAATCAGTCAAGGATATGGTTAACAGCTGAATCAGAGATAGATGATGGTTAACAAATGAATCAGTCATGGATATGTACACCAGTTTTTATGTGATAGTGATAGTCCCGGCAATTCGAAGTATGTTTGTCCAACCAGGTGCAGCTTGCAGCAGATTAGCAAGGACTCTATTCCGGAGACCATGGTAAACCTGGAGGTGTGGATGCCAGCTGGGTTTAATGAGGCGCCATGGATGAATACTGGACAGGTGTTGGACTGTGGGCCGTTTGGGCCATCAGGGAGGAGGTGAGGCGCTGTCAATTTGGGTTCTATCATTGATATTCTTCTCAACAAAGGGGAAATACTATTGTGCCTGCTAATTGAAAACCTGTAAGATTGTGTGATTTCTTATATGTTCAAAACATGTATAAGATGTTACACCTTTATGTCTTATGTTACACCTGTATGTCGTTTATGATGTAATACTTGGATGTTGTATTTCATCTAATATCTGGATGTTGTGTATGATGTTTTACCTGGATGTCGTGTATGAGGATGTTACACCTGGATGTCGTGTATAATGTTACAACTGGATGTTGTGTATGAGGATGTTACACCTGGATGTTGTGTATATAGAGAATACTACACGGGGTCTCATTACATACAAATTATATGAAACGAGTGTCCTTCCTATGGTATCTGACCAAGTGAAAGCAAGGTCAGAAACCATAGGAAGGTCACGAGTTTCGTATAAATCGTATGTTATGAGACAGAGTGTGGTATTTTATTTATTACCCACGTCTTACATGCATTAAATTGACAAAATAGCGTATTTTTGTTATTGTTATGGTTTCCAACCGAAACTGGTTTCATAAAGAGGTTGCGGAAGAATGTTGTTCTGTAGTACACTTTTTGCATGACGTCACACTGTAATGACGTCACTACCCCTTGCTCGTCTGCCCCCCTTGGTAACCGACGTCACAATGCATGTCAGTTGTCAATGCCTCATACAGCCTCCAACATTAAACTACTCCGTAGCTACTTTCTTGGTTTGCAGTTGCTTCACTCGGCTAACCTCACTAGTGGAAACTTTGCGTTTATGTTTTTCGACGTATATAATGCCTCAGTTCAACTCACAATTAAACAGCGATACGGCAACGTTCGCAATATTTACATTCCCACAATGCATGTAAGTTGTTATGAATGAAAAAGTAGTTCCGTCACAATGTGGCCTAAATGAGTGGTCATTGGTTAACCAATCAAATCGTTAGAATCTCACGTCAAGTCGTTACGACACAGGTCAACGCGATACGACACTTGTCTGACATACAAGATTAGTATGCAACTACCCATATGTTGACCACGTGGGTAATAAATTATAATGTTACACCTGGATGTTGTGTATTAGGATGTTACACCTGGATGTTGTGTAAATTATAATGTTACACCTGGATGTTATGTACATTATAATGTTACACCTGGATGTTGTGTATATTATAATGTTACACCTGGATGTTGTGTATATTATAATGTTACACCTGGATGTTGTGTATATTATAATGTTACACCTGGATGTTGTGTATATTATAATGTTACACCTGGATGTTGTGTATATTATAATATTACACCTGGATGTTGTGTATATTATAATGTTACACCTGGATGTTGTGTATATTATAATGTTACACCAGGATGTTGTGCATATTATAATGTTACACCCGGATGTTGAGTATGATGTTTCACCTGAATGTCGTGTATGAGGATGTTACACCTGGATGTTGTGTATATTATAATGTTACACCTGGATGTTGTGTATATTATAATGTTACACCTGGATGTTGTGTATATTATAATGTTACACCTGGATGTTGTGTATATTATAATGTTACACCTGGATGTTGTGTATATTATAATGTTACACCTGGATGTTGTGTATATTATAATGTTACACCTGGATGTTGTGTATATTATAATGTTACACCTGGATGTTGTGTATATTATAATGTTACACCTGGATGTGTATATTATAATGTTATTATAATGTTACACCTGGATGTTGTGTATATTATAATGTTACACCTGGATGTTGTGTATATTATAATGTTACACCTGGATGTTGTGTATATTATAATGTTACACCTGGATGTTGTGATATGTGTATAATGTTACACCTGGATGTATATTATAATGTACCTGGATTATAATGTTACACCTGGATGTTGTGTATATTATAATGTTACACCTGGATGTTGTGTATATTATAATGTTACACCTGGACCTGGATGTGGATGTTGTGTATATTATAATGTTACACCTGGATGTTGTGTGTATTATAATGTTACACCAGGATGTTGTATATATTATAATGTTACACCTGGATGTTGTGTATATTATAATGTTACACCTGGATGTTGTGTATATTATAATGTTACACCTGGATGTTGTATATATTATAATGTTACACCTGGATGTTGTGTGTATTATAATGTTACACCTGGATGTTGTGTATATTATAATGTTACACCTGGATGTTGTGTATATTATAATGTTACACCTGGATGTTGTGTATATTATAATGTTACACCTGGATGTTGTGTATGATGTTTCACCTGAATGTCATGTATGAGGATGTTACACCTGGATGTTGTATAAGAGGATGTTATGTTTGCAACCTTGTTACACCTGATTTATGGTATTTTCTGAGGTTTGGGTCTGAATGAACTTGAGACAGATAATCTGTAATTATTATAGGGTTTAATTGTTCTTCAAATATAGTATATCGGAGTTCACTTCACTGTGTTCTGAGTTCAACCATGTTTGTTCCAGGTTGGGTTGGTTCATAGATACACACACTGTACAAGAGTTCTGGAAGAATGGTACCATCATTGACCACTGGAGGGCGCTGCAGCTCCCAATGGTTGTCAATACATTCCACTGGATGGACAAGTTAAATACATCAAAATATATAAATATAGACCCTAAGAAAATATTTTATGGTCCTCGCTGTCGAGGAAAAGGAGCAGGTCGTATCAAGTGTGCCACGATGTTTTCTAGTTATCAAGGTGAGTTGAATACTTCATTATCATATTATAACAATGTTATGTGGTTTGTCGTATGCTTTCCGAAAGTCTGCATAATTGTATTGTTTTGCTAATGTGCCATGAGGAACTAAGAGGAAGTGGTTCTAGAAAGTAAAACAAATGTATGAAGATTTGGTTACCTCACATTTTAGAATCTTACATACTGATTGCTCCGTTGGCAATGTCACATTTACGTTTGTCCATAATTTTGCTGGGGACAGAATTAAAGTGATTAATTAAAAGCCGCCAATTTCAAATATTAACCTTACTTTATTTACATCATCTGCAGTAACTGTGGCAATTTATTTTGAGAAATATTTTGACAAAAAATAATTAGATTGTTTCGTAAAATGAAGTAATCATGACTTTTGGTGTAACTGTATGACATATTGTGACCTATTGTTTCATGTATCACAATGCTTAGACTTCCAATCTTAAGACATCATAATAGTGATGTGTACTTCAAAACTTACAATACAAAGGTCAGTTCGTTTTCCTTATGGATGTTAGGTTGAATAACACTTAAAGGATACATGTGCCAAAATTATTGTATTGGGTGTGAGTGAAGTAGTTCAAGCATTATGGTGAGAATGATGGTTTGGATACATGCAACAAACATTTAGACAGATATATCTGCAAATCAATCTTTACTGATCCTAGAACCCTTTCAACTTAAAACATCAGGTCATTTGATGCCCCATTACTTGTCAAATCTGCGATAAACAGTTTGCCTTTGTCATTATGTAATGGTAGAATTTGAAGATAAACCTTCAGTGTTTTCATTCCAGAGGTTTCTATCATGGATTCAAAACCTGTAAATATCTGAATATTTTTATCTGCAAATTTATATGTATCAAATCAAAGTTCACAGAGGTACAGATAAGCTGCATATCTGCGTAAATTATGCAAATAATTATTTGAAAACTCAATTCCTATTAAGTTATTGCGTAAAAAGTATGCTTGAATTTTTGTAAATACTCAATAAATTTAATCTTACATGCGTACACACAAAAACAGATACAATAACTGAGGTATATTGAGAGGTTCTATTTCAGCACATGAACTTGGCAACTTGCAGTCTTTCTTCTTGTTTCTCATATTAGAGATCAAATATAAATAACAAACACATAAAACAACATTTGAACTTTATTATATTTTAACAGTATATGGGAAATGGCAAAACACCCAACTGAGTTTGAGTGAGGTGGGTACAATTTTTTTAGTTACTCAAAGAAAAATTAGGATACCCAATTGAGATGAACACAAGCAAGTACATAACTCAATGACCCAAAAAGTTATCTGTAGGTCTGAGTTCACCTCTGCATTAAAAATAGAGTTGTCAAGCTCCACTACTGCTATCGCGAGCTCTACATGTCACTTTTTGGTTCTTTTTCAGATTTAGCTGCTGAGGTTATAAAAGAACAAGTGAAGAGACTAAATTTGTTGGTGGATATAGTGTGGTTAGAAGGAAATCTCAATAATTTTGTAAAAGAACAGTCCGACAAGAAAGCCCCACTGTTGCTATTTAGTTGGCACCCCAGTGTCATCCTAGCTTGTAATAATTTCACACGAATTAAATTACCTCTGTGCAAAAGTGATGCTTTAAATTTACCGTATGATTGTGACTTTGATGTAAATCAACTTAATAAGGTTGTATGGCATAAAATCAAAAGCAATGCTCCTAAAGCTTATGATCTAATATCGAAAATGACATTTTCACAAGACGATTATGATCACATCTTACAATTACATAACCAAAACGTGACTGCAACAGCAGATGATATAGCATGTAGATGGATTCACCATCATAATTCCACATGGAAGGCATGGATGCCGAAGGATTTGTCCAATAAAACCAAAATCTATCTCGGAGGACTGTTCCCCATATCTGGAGAGCTCTGGACGGCGCCAGGTCTAGTGGAAGGTATGTTTGTCATGGACTGTACTGAGAGATCAGAGGGTATCAGTACATATGAGCAGGATTGTAACAAGGGATGAATTACGTTTATTGTGAATTGTTTGCAGGTTTTTAAAGATATTTGAAAGACTACATTTCTGACAAAAGTAACATAGCTTTCATTGGATTGAAGAACTGGGTGTGTCAAGATTGGTCTAGCTGTCCCTTGTCTTGATTACTACAGCTATTCTATGGGTCCAAACTCGATATTACTGCATTATTGCTGTAGCAGAATATCCTTCCAAATTAATGTGCAGGATAGTTGCAAGGGGAGACAATTCTGACACTGGACTGATCAAATAACACCAAAGCAATGCTGGTATTCTTATGGAAATGTTTTGCTCAAGACAAACTATTTCATATGAACTGGTACTTGGATCAAACTGAATCCCTCACCGCTCAGATACTGCTGAAAAGGATTAACAGTCAGATACAGTGTTGAACAGGCAATGAAGCCCAAATAGATAGTTTCCTGTATATACATAAGGATTTTGGCCCATATACATAGTGAGTGAGTGAGTGAGTGAGTTTATTTTTACGCAGCACTAAGCAATATTCCAGCTATGTTGCGGCGGTCTGTCAATAATCGAGTCTGGACCAGACAACCCAGTGATCAACAGTATGAGCATCGATCTACACAGTTGGGATATGATGACGTGTTAACCAGGTCAGCAAGTCTGATCACATGATCCCATTAGTCTTCTAAAGACAATCATGGTTTACTGAAGATCAATTCTAATCCGGATCTTCACGGGTCATATACATAGTGTTATAATGATAGGCAAAGTATGGACAGTGCATATAATGAAATACATCACGACAGTGGTAATTAGTTGCTAGAATAAATCAAACTCCATCTTTATGTCAACAATGGTGTTAAAAACAGGGACAATTTTATATGAACAGATTTGAAGTGTTTCCCTCGTAGGGTGACACAAATATTTCTGTGGAATATACTCCTTTCTTAAATCAACATATGCATAACATATAAATAACAGATGATATCTACCATACAGATAGGATCTCATGCAACCTGGCTGAGACTCATACTGTTACTGACCACAGGATGACTCTGTTCCAGGAGGTCGGTTAGCTATAGAAATGGTCAACAGAGACCCCAGAATTCTACCAGAACACCAGCTGGAGATGCTTGTGAGTGACACCCGGTGTGTTGCGGACGAGGCCATGAGGGCTTTCATCAAATTCATCACCGAGAAGACACCAACTTCACCGATGGCAGGAATATTAGGTCCCGGGTGTTCGGACACAGCAGTACCCATCGCTGCTCTCTCCAAACACTTTAACATGGTGTTGGTGAGCTACGGTGCTGAGGCTTCCTCGCTCACTGACAGAAGCAAATACCCATACTTTTTCCGTACCATCCCACAGATCAACTACCACAGGTGAGTAGAGATGAGAGCTCTCTGACCTAGGCTACAGTCCACTGTCTTTGGGTCATGTAGATTTAGAGTTCATGAAAAGTTTAAAGACCATTTCAATTTATCTCCATACAAATATATCTGTAGTACAGCACTGTCTACTGTGCTAAAACTGATGATATTTTGAGGATGATGATGAGGATGAAAGCATGGCATCTTATTTTGAGTGAGTGAGTTTAGTTTTACGCCACACTCAGCAATATTCCAGCTATATGGCAGCGGTCTGTAAATAATCAAGTCTGGACCAGGCAATCCAGGGATCAACAGCATGAACATTTATCTACACAATTGGGAACAGATGACATGTCTCAACCCATTCAGCGAGCCTGACCACCCGATCCCGTTAGTTGCCTCTTATGACAAGCAGGGGTTACTGAAGATCAGTTCTAACATGGATCTTCACAGGTTGTCTTATTTTGAAGATTGTTGACTTATAATGATGATGATGATGATGATGATGATGATGATGATGATGATATGTGACAACTGATGAAGATGATAAGGAGTGGTGGTGGTGGTGGTATTGAAAGCCTGGCGTTTTATTGACATGATGATGAAGATGATGATATGTGACAACTGATGAAGATGATGAGGAGAGGTGGTGGTGGTGGTATTGAAAGCCTGGCGTTTTATTGACATGATGATGATGATGATGATGATGATGATGATATGTGACAATGCTGATGAAGATGATGAGGAGAGGTGGTGGTGGTGGTATTGAAAGCCTGGCGTTTTATTGATATGATGATGATGATATGTGACAACTGATGAAGATGATGAGGAGTGGTGTTAGTGTTGGTATTGAAAGCATGGCGTCTTATTGACATGATGATGATGATGATGATGATGATGATGATGATGATGATGATGACAGTGATGATGTAAGTTGCTGTCTGATGTTTCAGGTTTCTTTATGGGAAGCTGTTCAAGCAGATGGGTTGGGAAAACGTAGGAGCACTGGCCGAGAGTGGCCAGGAGTTCCCTGACTACCACATACAGCTCCAGTCCTACCTCCAGAAGAAGGGCATCTCTGTCATAGCCAAGCGTCAAATTGTCCGTAGCGGCAGCAACATTGACGTCTCCCAGGTCGGACATAAATCCTTGCAATACTATTTGTGTGTGACACCTGAGGCTCTCGAAGTTAGATATCATCAATGTTATCTACAGTTGGCTTAAGTAGCCCTGTCATTTATGGGACTGCAATTTTCTGGGCACAGTTGTGTATCTTGGGCACATCAGGAACCTGTGATTATGAATGTGAATCCTAGATTTGCCGTTGGACTTATGTCTATGTGTGTTTTCTTCACACAATAAGATGACATCAGGAGATACAACTACTATAACTGTCATTTTGAAAGTGGCATCAATCAAATTCACTCACTCACTCTGTGTTCTAGTGATTGGTTCCTTAGCTGGTGAGTGAAGAGTGTTGAGCTGTTGTTATGGACTGATGTGGAATGCAGTGTTTAATGATACAGACATAACTGGGCTTTGGGAGTTTGTTTTGATTGAGCATATAGATAAAGGGGAGGAGAGTTTGGCTGTGTCACAGTTGCAGCTGACTGTCATTGCCATGAAATGTGGGATAGGTTTAGAAGTTTTTTGGACACTGTCTAAGCTATGTAGTTTTTCAGAAAGATAAATCTTTCATGCTTCCACAGGCATGGGTGAGTGAGTGTGTATAGTTTTACGCTGCCTTTAGCCACATTCCAGCAATATCACAGCAGGGACATCGGAAATGGGCTTGACACATTGTACCCATGTGGGGAATTGAACCTGGGTTATCAGTGTTATGAGCAAATGCTTTAACCACTACACTACCCCACCGCCCCACAGGCTTTGGAATGGTGTCATGTTTGAATCATCATTGTCATGTTTGAATACATATGCGTATGGCCATTTTTGGAGGATAACTGCAGTTTTTTTAAAGAATTAATGATCTTTCTGATTCTTGCTTTTGCACAAATAGTATGGTTGAACTGGTTGGTATTTTAGAAATAACTCCCTTGTTCCAGATATTTGCTGAATTGCGTAATCGTAATGTGAGGATCATCATAGCCGACTTTTACGACTCTGCTGCACGGGCCGTCATGTGCGAGGCGTACAGACAGGTATGGAGGACTCAGCGTGAAGCTCAACATCAGTAATTCCGTCCAAAAGAACAACTCTTGACAGTGATTAGCTAAAGAATCGTTCATGTTTTCATGTATTGTTAGGTGAAAATAAAAGGCTGTACAGCAGGTCAAACTATTATTAATGAACAGTCAATAGATTTCTTCTTTAATCCCTTTGAAAGTACAAATCTCATTGACTGATGATTGTTAATTTGCTGAGTTCTGATGGCTGTGTTTCAGAAAATGACAGCCTACGAGGGTTACGTATGGTTCTTGCCAGCCTGGTACCCTGCCCTTTGGTGGGATGTGGACTACTACAACGGAGAACCCAATCACAACGAGCCCGATCTGCAAGAGAATGTCCCATGTAATCGCAAACAGATGGAGACAGCCATTGAGGGTCATTTCATTCTGTCCAAGGCGTACCCAGAGTCTGACGATATGAAAGAAAGCAAGGTGGCTGGAGGAATCACTGTCCGCCAATACCAGGAAATGTACCAGAACCGAGTAGATAAGGCTGTGAGTACCTTGTTAGACTAACTCTTAGTACCTGAATACATACAGTGTGCGAAATCTAAGCTGGTCCTGTCGTTCCTGGCTAGTAAAAATTCAACAGGACCGTGATAAGTTTGCAGTGGTCCTGGTGGGCAGTGAATTTTGTATTGATAGTTAAGTAAATCTACGAATGTTATTTTGGACCAGTGAGGTACAGAAAGGACCACTAATTATTGTCCATTCACTGGTCCTGTGGTTTTAGATTTGCTTCATTCAGGGCTTCAGTATTGCAGAAAAGGTTAAGCTGAAGGGAAATAATGCAGTTCAAGGACTGACGCCTGTGGTGAGAGCCATGTGATGAGTACATGGCAGTCACAAGGTATCCACCTCTTGTGGGATATCAGAAAATACAGATATTAACTCAGTTGGCTGGGGACTTGTCTGTTGGAACTGGATGAAATAGATCTGAATGTTTCTTTATTGCAGGATGTAGAAGAGACCCCATTTGCCAGCTTCGTGTATGATGCCGTGTGGGTGTTTGCCCATGGGCTGGACCGGCTCTTTCGAACCCAGCCCAGTGCTATCAGCACCCTGCATGAGAAGGCTACCACACTGTGAGTTACTAAAATCGCCAAATAAATCGTTTTGTCTACAATAGCATCTGTTTGTATGTAAAGTCAAGCTTGCCAGCCAGTCATTTGCACCTGGGAGTAAAGTCTTGTGTTAAGGATAGTTGTTTGTTTTGCTTCAAAAATTGAAAACCAAAACTCCAATCATGATATCTGGAATGGTTAACTGCTGGGAATATACTTCCCAGTGCAAATTTTGGTAGGGATCATTACATATGACATTCTGTTTTAATATATATTCGCCGAATCAGAATAACTTATGTTTATTATGGAAAGAAATTATCCCTATTATGAATACAGTAGTAAAAGTTATCACTTTCAACTCTTCCTTATTTCATCCTTAAGAATGTTTAAATCACTTCTTATGTCTGGTTTCCTAATTCTTAAGGTCTGAGTACCCTTGTATTGCATAGAAATTGTATTGTACTGGAGAACAAGAAAGGAGTATCTTGAGTGAAAATAACTTGTTTGCACTTCTACTCATTGCAAACAGCAAACTCATTGTTCCAACAGATTCCAAAAGTGTCACAAGGTGTTAATTACTCTCTGTGTCATACTGAGGTGTGGTTGTTTGATTTCAGACAAAGTAGTTGGTTGACCACATCTTTATCTCTAAAGATGAGCTACTGTACCTCTACAGTCAGTACATGAAGCCAGTAGTCACCTTGTCAAGTATTTTGTACAGGTTGACATATTGTTCTCAGTGACATTATGACTACGTTGACTTTTTCTAGCATGTATTTTCTCGATGTTGCAGGAAGCTAATGGAAGCTCTGAATGAAACAAGCTTCCAAGGAGTGTCTGGGCTGATCAAGTTTAATGGAAGTGATCGCCTGGGGAACGTGACTCTGCTGCAGTTCTTCAACAACGGGACAAAGGTGGTAGGCCATTACAATCCCCAGCAGTTGGAAGAGGGTGGTGTGCTGGATATTTACAAGGACAAGATAAGATGGCTGACCAGGGACCGCCGCCAGCCGACTGACGGACACACTGGTCAGTAGCTGCAGTTCTGTTCTATCACTTGAAAACTGGGAAACATTGTGGTTAAGGCGTTAGCTTGTCATGTTGAAGGCCTGGGTTCGATTTCCATTCATTGCTAAATGTTCTATTTTTCGCTTGGTGCAAATTTGGCGGAATTGACAGTTTAGACTACATTGCGCGGTCAATTATTCACGCAGTCAGTAATTGCCGGAACTGCTGCCACTAATAGCAGTGAAAACAATTGCAACCAGAGTGGCAAAGATGACACTGAGTCCGAAGTCGTAATCGCGTAATTTCAAACAAGCCGGGTTGTTGTGAATGTGATGATTGATGTGTTAATTGACTATCAAGGAAATGAACTTCTACCGTATATGAAGGTTTTTGTGATTTCATTTTCGTGATATGCAGGAATAAATATAAATAAAATCTTGATGAATAAATAAAATACCCTTATTTTACCCCATTCCATTGTGCGTACAACTTACCACGTTCATAGAGGGTCCGTATAACGTTAGTGTTGATTATATATATTTTACATTTATAGAGCAAAAACTGTAATTAAAATTACACAACGCTAGGTTATATTTCTTTGGGTTAAATAATAGTAATCTGCATTATGTTTTACTGATGACTGCGTCAGAATTCATCCCGTTATATTATTGTGCATGTTTGAACTTGTTCGCCGGGAAACATGTGCACAGCTGATTGCTATTTCCGACTCAAATACACACGGTAATCTTAGTTAATTTATAGAGCAAAAACTGTAATTAAAATTACACAATGCTAGGTTATATTTCTTTGGGTTGAATAATAGTAATCTGCATTATATTTTACTGATGACTGCGTCAGACTTCGTCCCGTTATATTATTGTGCATGTTTTAACTTGATCGCCGGGATACGTGTGCACAGCTGATTGCTATTTCCGGCTCAAATACACACGGTAATCTTAATCCCTGCAAATAATACAATGAACGAATGAAAGGTTTATTCGCTGTGTATAAATTTTCGCGGTAAAATATTTTGCGCGAAAATAAAACCTGCGCGATATATAATACGTTTACAGTATTGTGTGAAGCCATTTCTGCTCACAAACAGACTGACTCACCTACTCACTCAACATGGCGATTCTAGGTTAGAATCGGTTTCCCATAATCTCAATCTCTGGGAGTTGCAATTAAGATATATTGTATTACTATTTCAGTTCCATCTGAAGATTGTGCCATTGAGCGTTTTCGGTCCGTCCTAGGCGTGACATCGTGTGAGATGGCAATCATAATCGCTAACGTCATGGGCTTTGTTGGCTTCATCATCATCACCATTATCAGCCTCATCATCATCAAGTGCAGGTAGGTGCTGACTGTCTTGGTGCCTGTCCATATGCCTCACTGAACCACCCCATGCACCATCAACACCATGATAGTGCAGGTAGGTGCTGACCGTAGAGCCCAGTCTTGATGCCTGTCCATATGCCTCACTGAACCACCCCATGCACCATCAACACCATGATAGTGCAGGTAGGTGCTGACCGTAGAGCCCAGTCTTGGTGCCTGTCCATATGCCTCACTGAACCACCCCATGCACCATCAACACCATGATAGTGCAGGTAGGTGCTGACCGTAGAGCCCAGTCTTGATGCCTGTCCATATGCCTCACTGAACCACCCCATGCACCATCAACACCATGATAGTGCAGGTAGGTGCTGACCGTAGAGCCCAGTCTTGATGCCTGTCCATATGCCTCACTGAACCACCCCATGCACCATCAACACCATGATAGTGCAGGTAGGTGCTGACCGTAGAGCCCAGTCTTGGTGCCTGTCCATATGCCTCACTGAACCACCCCATGCACCATCAACACCATGATAGTGCAGGTAGGTGCTGACCGTAGAGCCCAGTCTTGATGCCTGTCCATATGCCTCACTGAACCACCCCATGCACCATCAACACCATGATAGTGCAGGTAGGTGCTGACCGTAGAGCCCAGTCTTGATGCCTGTCCATATGCCTCACTGAACCACCCCATGCACCATCAACACCATGATAGTGCAGGTAGGTGCTGACCGTGAGAGCCCAGTCTTGATGCCTGTCCATATGCCTCACTGAACCACCCCATGCACCATCAACACCATGATAGTGCAGGTAGGTGCTGACCGTAGAGCCCAGTCTTGGTGCCTGTCCATATGCCTCACTGAACCACCCCATGCACCATCAACACCATGATAGTGCAGGTAGGTGCTGACCGTAGAGCCCAGTCTTGATGCCTGTCCATATGCCTCACTGAACCACCCCATGCACCATCAACACCATGATAGTGCAGGTAGGTGCTGACCGTAGAGCCCAGTCTTGATGCCTGTCCATATGCCTCACTGAACCACCCCATGCACCATCAACACCATGATAGTGCAGGTAGGTGCTGACCGTAGAGCCCAGTCTTGATGCCAGTCCATATGCCTCACTGAACCACCCCATGCACCATCAACACCATGATAGTGCAGGTAGGTGCTGACCGTAGAGCCCAGTCTTGGTGCCAGTCCATATGCCTCACTGAACCACCCCATGCACCATCAACACCATGATAGTGCAGGTAGGTGCTGACCGTAGAGCCCAGTCTTGGTGCCAGTCCATATGCCTCACTGAACCACCCCATGCACCATCAACACCATGATAGTGCAGGTAGGTGCTGACCGTAGAGCCCAGTCTTGGTGCCAGTCCATATGCCTCACTGAACCACCCCATGCACCATCAACACCATGATAGTGCAGGAATAATGCTAAAAATGATCAAAACCTGTTCACTCTGTTATGCACAATGATACACCTGGTGCTCCCTACTCTATATTTCTTGAGTATTACGATTGTGGTGTCAGGTATTACTGGTACTAACTTAGTCTGTAAGGATTCCTGGGAAACAGGTAACCTGGGCTTCTTGTTGTTTGGGGTGATTACAGGAATTTGGGTGTTTACTTTACTGTCTTTGTACTCTCAGTCGTGTGCAGACTATTTACAGACCACATACCCCTGGAATGTTGCTGAATGGTGTTAAACAGTGCTCACTCACTCACTCACTTAGGGATGCCCATTTGTGGGGTGCCATCGTGATTGTTCATCAGTTTCATGCATTAATTCACACAATGATCATGATAATGGGGTGTACAAAATATTTAATTCAATATCGTATTGATGAGCATAAATATATGACAACTCCTATGTCTATGTGACGTTACTGGACAGTACTCACAATAATGGCTTATTTCCAGATACGATGCAAAGGTTCGTGCAACACATGAGCGCATGAAGGAGCTTGGACTACTTTCACCAGACTACTCGCACTGTCTCTCACTTGATGACTGGGAGATTCCTAAAGAAAATGTAGTTCTTAATCGTAAACTCGGTGAGGGTGCCTTTGGAACAGTTTATGGAGGTGAAGCTGTCATTGATGGGACTCAGTGGGTGTCTGTAGCTGTCAAAACTTTAAAAGTTGGAGCTATGGTGGAACAAAAGGTAAATTCAATTTAAGATATTGTTTGCTCTGTTTTTGTTCTCTAGGCAAGAAATAAATGAGAAAAGGGCATTGATTCAAGCACAATCTTTCTTTATGTCAAATCTGTACCTGCCCTTTCTTTTGAGAACTCTACTAAGAATTGAGATCTGGTTCATACTCATTATGCCAAGACCCACATGTATGATTCCCAACATGGGTACAATCATTCTCTTCCCACAGAGGTTACTTGTCATTTATTACCCATACAGGCTAGGATACACAGGTGATTATTTTTGTGATAATCACACATGTGCTTTTCAGTGATTCTCAACGTTGACTGGTCAGCTAAGCAGAGAAGAAATATGATTGGTTGACGGAACTACTTTTCATGATCAAAGTTTATTGACAACTTTCACCGTTTCATTGATAATTAGAACGTGCTGTGCTCACACATTCCGAGATTAAAAAAAATAAAACATAAAGGTTAAAGAATATGAATACTCTTTTTATTAGACATCATTATTTTGCAATATGTTGTGTTATAAATAGTAATTTTTCTAAAATAAATAACCTTATAAAACCCAAAACAATCGTTTGCATTGTTTGTAAACAAACATGGCTGCCATTAGGCTAACCCCGATCAAGGCCCGAAAATGTCTCATCCAGACCCTCTCTAACAATGGTTTACCAGCATATCAAATCATGCAAATTTCCGGGCACAAAAATGTGCAATCAATATGAAGATATGGCAAGTAACTGCTGTGGGAAGAGAATGGGGTACAATGTGTGAAGCCCAATTCTAGTGTCCACTGCTGTGATGCTGTTGGTGTATTGCTAAAAGCTGTGTAAAACCCAACTGAGTCACTCACTCACGCCACACATACAGTGCAAGATTCTAATTCAAGTACCTGTTCATGATTTGCCAAGATTACCCAAATGAATGATGTCTTCTTCCAGCTTGATTTCTTCAGTGAGGCTGATGTGATGAAGAGGTTTGGCCACGACAACATCGTGCAGCTCCTGGCTGTGTGTACCCGTGGAGAGCCCATGTATGCCGTCATGGAGTACCTATTGCATGGTGGGTCATCTGTTCTCAGGAGTCTTTCCTGGTGTTAGCTTCCCTGTCAGTATTCTGGGTTAGAATTGGTCCCTAGCAAGCAGTGTTGGCTAGGGGAGACAAGTGGGTCAGGCTGACAGAGATGTTACTATTTTGTCATCTGTAATCTTATGAAATATTGGGTCCAACAACAATGTAAAAACATGATTGATTTTATGTTATCATGATTGATTTTATGTCATCATGATTGACTTTTTAAAATTATTATCATAATTAATTTTTTAATTATCATGATTGATTGATCTGGATGCTAGCTGGCTAACTGTTGTTTAGATCAGTTGCCATATTGGTTTTCCAGGTTTTGAGAGAATACTCTTTCATGAGTGTATTCTGCCCGAATGACTATTTCAAGCTACATGGTTTCAAATATACATGGCCAAGGTATTTATGTTATATGCAGTGGTAATCAAGGATAGCTGTACCTAAGCAAGACTGACAAAATCCCATTTTATCGTCCCAGGTGACCTGAAGACGTACCTGTTGTCTCGACGCAACCTGGTGGGTCAAGATACACCTGAGGGGGAAGACGTCAGTCCCCTCAGTCTCACCAGAATGGCGAGAGACGTAGCCAGTGGTCTTCAGTATCTCCATGATCTCAAGTATGTCCACAGGTAGGCAGATCTCAGATGTGTCCACAGGTAGGCAGATCTCAGATCTGTCCACAGGTAGGCAGATGTCAAATAAGTCCACAGGTAGGCATATATAAATTGTAGCCACAGGTAGTCAGATGTCAAATGTGGCCACAGCTAGGCAGATATCAATTGTGGCGACAGCTAGGCAGATATCAATTGTGGCCACGAAGTTGAATAATAGCACAATGATGATGGTTTACTTCCATGATACAACATGTCAAGCACATTGCAGTAATGTTTCCGTATGTAACATGCCATTATGGTGGTGGAGCCATATGAACATTCTTATTGGCTTAGCTGCCTGACTGGATTCACCTTGGCTGGATTCACGTGTCTCCAGCACTATTCTAGCCTTGTGACTCATGTCTTTCTCTTGTGTTGCAGGGATCTTGCCTGTAGGAACTGTTTAGTTCATGTCAACAAGACCGTGAAAATCTCAGATTTCGGAATGACAAGGCACACATTTGATTCAGATTACTATCGCTTTACTCGGAAAGGTAACATTTGTATAGCTTATTTGTATTCTTGAAATATTTATGAAGCTTATCCCTGAGTGCTGCTGGTGAGGCAGAAGGTGCCAAGTTCAAATTCTTGTCATGAGAGTCAACTACAATGAGGATCAGGTGGATTTCATAGTACACTAGGCAGATTGTATTCTATAGTTTCGTAGGCAGATTGTATTCTATAGTACCCTAGGCAGATTGTATTCTATAGTACCCTGGACAGATTGTATTCTATAGTACCCTAGGCAGATTGTATTCTATAGTAACCTAGGCAGATTACCCTAGGCAGGTTGTATTCTATAGTACCCTAGGCAGGTTGAATTCTATAGTACCCTAGGCAGATTGTATTCTATAGTACCCTAGGCAGGTTGTATTCTATAGTACCCTAGGCAGATTGTATTCTATAGTAGCACCCTAGGCAGATTGTATTCTATAGTACCCAGGCAGATTGTATTCTATAGTACCCTAGGCAGGTTGTATTCTATAGTACCCCCTAGGCAGGTTGTATTCTATAGTACCCTAGGCAGATTGTATTCTATAGTACCCTAGGCAGATTGTATTCTATAGTACCCTAGGCAGATTGTATTCTATAGTACCCTAGGCAGGTTGTATTCTATAGTACCCTAGGCAGATTGTATTCTATAGTACCCTAGGCAGGTTGTATTCTATAGTACCCTAGGCAGGTTGTTTTCTATAGTACCCTAGGCAGATTGTATTCTATAGTACCCTAGGCAGATTGTATTCTATAGTACCCTAGGCAGATTGTATTCTATAGTACCCTAGTGGTGGTAGGTATCAGGTGACTATTCTGTCTATATATAACTATCGCTGGTGAAAGCAGTTGCAATAAATCAGTACTTGTTCTTCCTCTTGTCGTTTGGCACAGAGACTTTTGTGACTGAGTGTCATTGTACCGAGAATATGTGGGACGGTGTGCATAATATCAGTCACACGATTGTCTGGCCCAGACTAAGTTATAACAGGCTGCCATCATACAGCTACAATATTGCACAGAGTGTCACTTAACAAAAAACAAACATATGAATTGTTCTTGAGCAGTTAGCGTACACTACAAAGTTGTTTCCATGCCAACAGGTATGCTTCCAGTACGCTGGATGTCTCCGGAGAGTCTAGTAGACGGTATCTTCACATCCAAGTCGGATGTGTGGAGTTTCGGTGTGCTCATGTATGAGATTGCCACGTTTGGCAGCTTCCCGTATCAAGGATATTCCAACAGCCAGGTGCTGGACTATGTTAAAGTCGGCAACAGACTTGCCGTCCCAGACAAATGCCCAGAAGATCTGTAAGTTTTTGCAACATTGCCAGGCTGTTTTAAATAAAACAGTTTTGGTTAATAAGTTACTTTGTTTTCAAGCTGAGTTTATAATACAATGTACAGCTAAACTTTTAAATGTCAATAGGTTTATTTGTTATCTATAAGAAAATAGAAATGTTTACCCTGAAGATCTGTGTTGGAAATGTTTTTTGGGAACCCCTCCTTGTCATAAGAGATAACTATCAGAGCTAAGTTAAGTTTTGTGACTTGCTTGATGCATAGGTAGATTGATCACATGATGCCAGTCACCGATTTGTCATGGGGAACATGGCTGGGGGTAACCTGGTGGTTAAAGCGTTCGCTCGTCATGCCAAAGACACAGGTTTGATTCCCCACATGGGTACATGTGTGAAGCCCATTTCTGGTGTCCCCTGCTGTGATATTGGTGGAATATTGCTAAAAGCGGTGCAAAATTAAACTCACTCACTCATGGGAAGGCTGAATGGCATGTATTTATATTCTGTTGTCATATGACTGGAATATTGCTGAGTATGTTGTTAAGCAACAGCCAACCAACCAGCAACAATTACTCACTCCTTGTATTAACTGATACCACTCAAAGTATGTTTAGTTTTGCTGCAGATTTCCAGTTAATAAGCTACTGTACTGAGGGACCGTTCATAATTTATGGCTAGGGGGGATGATGATGATTTTAAGGGGGGGTCACCCATTTTGTTGTGGGGAGGTATGGGGGTCATCAATTTTGTACACGTTTCTTGGGGGGGCAGCAATTTTGTACATAAAAATATTTTAAAATTATGCTTAAAAAATATTGGAAGGGGGAAGGGGATCATTAATTTTGTACATGACATGCAGGGGGTGTCATTCACATTGTACATGCTTCTCCATAAAAATCATCATCACCCCACTGGCCATAAATTATGAACGGTCCCTTATTGCAAATCTTTTTGAATGATAGGTCTCACAAGTCTCTGGTAACGGTAAATTGTTTTCAAGAAAACTTTTTCTGTAACTTTTGGATTTTTTGGCATTATTTAGATTTCTTTTTGTTTTTATTGACAGGACTTTATTCATCTACGAATGTATGTCATACCAACCTAAGTCTCGACCAGATATCACCTCCATCATCAACCATCTTGAAAATTACCCAGAATTCCTGGTTCCATGTTTAGATGCACCAATGAGAAGTGTCATTATGGAGGACACAAACTCACTAGAGTTGGCAATGCCGTCGGTTCAGAATACCATCACCAATTCCACACCCGTATCATTCCTTCACAGAAGATCTACTGCTTCACAAGAAAAGTTATCTCCCCTTCGCAAAACTCACACCAGCCAAGGATTTAAGTTCACACCACTTCGACACTCAAAAACGTATTTATCAGCAGCGGAGAAAAAACTGAGGCGAAACAGTGTTGGTACTCCGCAAGCACTTCATCGTGAGACGATATCGCTGGTGGCAAATGTTGACTCCCCTCTTCTCCGAACTAATTCTTTTCAGCGCCATCTGCCATCAGTGACATGTAGTGAGAGAGGCGAGAAGGACAACAGTAGTGACTATTTCAGTGATACATCCAAAGAGTTATATCAAACCATCACGTCAGTTTGACGTTTAAACACTCAAGGGTTCCCGGTAGACTATCATTCAGTCTGATGTTTTAATGACTGAGAAACCGCCTGTCAGACTGACATTTATGTCAAGGAATCTCTGCCAAACCATCATTTCATGTTCAAGACATTCACAGAAATCTTCCGGAATATCCTTCAGTCAAAGAGCTGTGTGAGTTCAAGGAACTCTGCTAGACAATCTGTCAGTCGGATGGTGAAATGTTCAAGGAACTCTGTAGACTGTCCATCAGACGGTGAAATGCTCAGTGAACTGAGACTGTCAGTCGGATAGTGAAATGTTCGAGGAGCTCTGTAGACTGTCAGTTTGATAGTGAAATGTTCAAGGAACTGAGACTGTCCATCAGACGGGGAAATGTTCAGTGAACTGAGACTGTCAGTCGGATAGTGAAATGTTCAGTGAACTGAGACTGTCAGTCGGATAGTGAAATGTTCAAGGAACTCTGTAGACTGTCAGTCGGATAGTGAAATGTTCAGTGAACTGAGACTGTCAGTCGGATAGTGAAATGTTCAAGGAACTCTGTAGACTGTCAGTCGGATGGTGAAATGTTTGAGGAACTCTGGTGACGGTCAGTCGGATAGTGAAATGTTCGAGGAGCTCTATAGACTGTCAGTCGGATGGCGAAATGTTCATGGAACTCTGGTGACTGTGAGTTGGATGGTGAAATGTTCAAGGAACTCTGTAGACTGTCAGTCGGATAGTGAAATGTTTGAGGAACTCTGTAGACTGTCAGTCGGATAGTGAAATGTTTGAGGAACTCTGTAGACTGTCAGTCGGATGGTGAAATGTTCGAGGAACTCTGTAGACTGTCAGTTGGATAGTGAAATGTTCAAGGAACTCTGTAGACTGTCCATCAGACAGTGAAATGCTCAGTGAACGGAGACTGTCAGTCGGATAGTGAAATGTTCAGTGAACTCTGGTGACTGTGAGTTGGATGGTGAAATGTCCAAAGAACTCTGGTGACTGTTTGATGCTTGGTGAAATGTTCAAGGCACTCCAAAGTAGCATTTACAATACTATGATCTCAGTCAGATAACTTGTAGTATCAACAGTGTAAATTAATCAACGTAAGATGAGATATTACAGTATCATCTATGATATGGCCTGGTTTGCTTCAGCCAAGGCAAAAAGATGCATTCATTGAATGCAGGTCACTCGCTCATTCACTGGTGTCTCAGCTTGAACAACACATGGGTATCATATGAAGATGAGGATGTTGCCGTCGCTGAATGAAGATGTGTGGAGCGCACCAGTGTGATATGCACTTTCCTGTGGTGACTGACGGCCATCTTGTACAGGGATCACTTTGTACGTACCTTTCAGTTCGTGAAGATGATCATAAGTGGTGTTTTCAGACTGTGAAAATGTGTATTGGACGAGGGGTGCACAGGTATTGAAAATATGTGCAGCAACATTGTGATATGATTTCATAACTGGACTCAGTGCACATGCACTGAAACATTGGAACTGTGGTGTTACTTAAACACAGGGAATCGTTTCCTACTGCACCAAAAACATGGAATATAGTTGTCATGATTGTAGCATGTAAGGAGGAGTGTGTTCAAAGTTCAAGAGAATCAACGTCACTTGTCATTCCAGCTTTCTAATCACTGACCAAGGATATTGACAGGATGTTGTAACCTACTTTATAGTTGGCACAACATTTCAATTTCAAAAGAAATAAACATGACATTTTTATTTCATGGAAGTTACAGTGAATGAAACACTGAAACTGTGGCAAAAATTTTGAGTCTACTGGCCTGAATATTTCACAAGACATCATTTTCAGCAAATGTTGTAGACATATGACTGTAACCAAGGTTACCAGCAAGGTTACCATTCTCTGGCTTGAGATGGGTGGCTAAAGTCTCAGACTGCACTCAGATAACAAAGTTAACATGACATCAGTAGGTCTATGGATTATAGCATGACATTTTGAAAGTGGAATGATGTTAGCATGACACTTTTAAGGTTATTGGAAATTAGCATGACATTAAGTTTCGATGAAAGTTTGCAGGTGTGTAATGTAAACGTTGATACTTCCAAGTGATGTCTTCAGGATAAAGTTCAAGGAAGGGAAAGCTAGACAGTGGATCTGATCTGGTGATCAGAGCTTCCCCCTGAATCCTGGAGCTATAGCAGGGTGGTGTTCAGGTGGAGACACTGGCATGATGCAAGACATCAGTCACATGGTTCCAAGATGGCTGACAAACACATCGTAATAAGTGGTGTCTGCAAGCTACATGCTGTGACTGCAAAGTGTCTTCAAGTGTGTCTCCATGCGTGTTGTTGCCAGATAAGAGTTTCTACAATCTATTCATCAAATGGTATCTACTTTACCAAGTGTAAGGTGCAACAAGAAATTGACTATGTTGGTTCGGCTGTTTTGTGTTCTGTGGCGAACTGTTTCAGTTCATCAAATACTACTGTGTTGAAAACAGTGCCACTCCGGGATGTGTTTTCAGAAGAAAGAGGGAATTTTGTGGAATCAAGAAGTGTGATTAAGCAAGATGATTCTTGCAAATGAAACGGGCCCAATAATTCCTAAGACTTTTTCTGGTCTGCCATTGTTGATCCATCTTGGGAGGGTTTATATACTGTGACACTGACAGGGTTCATGTCGTGTGGCATTGGCAGGGTCAATATGTTATGACAAGGTTAATATACTGTGACACTGACAGGGTTAATATACTAGGTGACAGTGGCAGGGTTAATATACTAGGTGACACTAACAGGGTTAATATACTAGGTGACACTGACAGGGTTAATATACTAGGTGACAGTAAAAGGGTTAATATACTAGGTGACAGTAAAAGGGTTAATATGCTGTTGAAATGAAAGGGTCAGTCTATTACGACACTGACAATGTTTTATGTATACAAGGCAGCACTAACAGGGTTAAAGTACTAGTGACACTAACAGAGTTAAACTCTGTGATAGTGACATGGACACTGACAACGTTAATACTCGGTGACACTGACAGTTAAACACTGTGACACTGAAAGGGTAGGTCTACAGTGATTGTGTTATTGGTTTTGTCATTATGTTAAAAGATCACAGAGTTCATCCAGTTCAAAAGAGTATGTGAATTATAATCCTTTCATGAATGTACACATTTTTCGGTTTTGCTGATGTGCTTGAATAGCATTTGATCAATCTTCAATCCTTGCTGTACATCCAGTTTCGTCATCTGTGTGTGAACGGAGACAAGAGGAATGTACCAACCAATCACCAACTGTCCGCCTTCAGGTAGCATATTGAATAATTTTGAAGGATGTTTTGGAAGTTTTTATGTTTTTTCAAGTAAAAGGCATTAAATGCTTTCTCCCCAGATCTGTATGAACCCTGGCAATTTATGTATACAAGTACTATTGTCTTCCATTTTACTTCTGAACAGACCTTAAGAGGTGCATATGTCTCAGACGTGTTGTTTCTGGAGCAAGAAAAAAGTCTTTTGTTTCTATGGTTCTTCACGTCATTTTCAAACCTGACATACCCTTCCCTCTGTATTCATTAAATCATGACAAGGGCAGATAACTCACTAGCTCTGTGGCATATACATGCATATATGTTCCAGTGACCCCAAGGGCCATTCCTTTTCACTACAGAAATTTCATTCATGAGATTATCATTGGTCACAGTAAGAATGAATATAAAATCTATGCAGCATCTGAAATGTTATTTTAAACTAGATCCTAAGTTTACCTTCCTCAAAGTTTAGTTCCTTCATTACAGTCATAAGTTACAGATGGGCACAATGTGTGAAGCCCATTTCTGGTGTCACCCGCCGTGATGTTGCTGGAATATTGCTAAAAGCGGCGTAAAACCAAACTCAGTCAGTCATAAGTTACAGATGGCGTCGATCTTATAGCATGGTACCCTGATGTGACACATGTGCAAATAAGGTCACATGGAGGGAACTATCTTTATCTCTGTACATAAACTGAATCCTATTTCTGCATAAGTGTCAAGTTATGCTCTTGGAGTGATCAATAGGGCTTGATGTGTAAACAAACATGGCTGCCAATCCTTTGGTTCAGTTGTCATAAACAGGACAGTTTACGTGAACCTGTGGGTTCATTTAAGTTACAAAGATGATAGAAAAGAAATAGAAAGCAAACAAAGCTGCTTTATTTTAAAAATGAAATCATCTGATAATTCAATTATTACCCTTATCTGTTTATTGTAAGTATCATGTACAGGAATGAAATGTAAAGTACCAATGCCAAAGGCCTTCAGAATACCATTTTTATTCTTCATGTGATGCATACAATTACAAAAGCATGCTGATATTATTTTATTTCTTTATTCAACATTTGTGATATTTTGAGTAGGTGTACCGCCATAGAATTAATTAATGATAAAAGTCCTGTGTTCGACAGTTGGAAGTTGGAATCCACCAGCTCCAAACAACTGGAGAACAAAACTGAAATTTATGAAATGCATTTTTATTCTGCTTTGATGTTACAAAAAAATCTCATTTACAGATACGATAAATATGAATTCATTTTTCAAAACATTTACGAAAACCTATTGTAAATTAATGTTAAACAAACTCAAAGCTCAACAAGTAATGGATAATGGTGACATAGCTGTGTTAGTAAAGGAAGGGAGTTAACTCCAATCTTGTTTCTTTCCTCCAGACTTCTTACTTTTCCTCTATCTACTTAACATTTGAGGAAATAAAACAGAACGTACAAACTTGGCATTGTTTTTGAAACATATTTTTTAACTATTGGCCATAATTTTGGGACGTAAGTATCATTATCTGGGCAGGATATGTGCCAGAGCCAAGTGATTTCCTTGTATCTGTATGCACCAACTGAGGTAAACAGAAAAATGTTGGTTCAAGTTTACTCAAATCAAAACCATGAAACAAAAGACTTTTTTGTTGCCTAATATTGTAATGACATTTGTTTTGTAAATACTGCATTTGTTTTGAGGAAATACTGGATATTTCACTGTTAATGGAATGGCTGCTGACTTAATGTGTGTGATGCATTTTTGCTATGAAGTGTTTATGTGGCTCAGTTATGAAAATGTGTACATATGTTGTTTATTTACATATACCGTTAGTCCCAGTGGAGAGTGCTATGCAGCTGGATGTGACCCAACTGCGTCACGTGTAAATACTATTTATTGAAGAGTCTGTTCCAGGTTTCTAAGACCTGCCAGGCCTTCAATTACTTGTATAATCATTGTCTTTCAACCGTTTCATTCCAAATACCTCGGATGCTTTTTCACCAAAAAATTATTTTGATACCCTTTACAGATAGAATCTGTCTGATGAAGCATTTATGAGACGTATTTTCCCATTTGTGCATCCCGATATCAGGGTC